GGAGAGTGACGACAGATCTGTGGCTTTCAGCAGTAGGCTACTCGGTTAGACCGCAGTACCGCCGGGATCCGCCAGGTGGCGTTCAGTCCAGAGCCGGTGGATACCACAGTGGAATCTGGGCATTTTTTTTTCCTCCTCTTTTAATGACCCGTTTAGTCAATCAATGTGCTTTCTTTTAATTTTTATATTCTCCTCTCGACCCACTCTCTGTGCTTTATAAAATTGATTGATTTTGTGGCCTGTGCGCGCACATAAAGCGTGGCTCCTTTCTTGAATCTGGCAACAAAGGCGTGGTAGCGTTTTTAAAATGGCCATGCCACCAGTGAGAGCGGCCCCAAACCCCCGCTGCACACATCTCAACCAAATGAATAAAAAAAAAAAAAAAACAAACACCACACTGTTTAGGAAGCTGCAGCCCCAGAGTAACTGAGTAATGCTTATAATAAATAAAAAATGTCACAACAAAAAGAATTGTGTGATATATTAAACATTCATCAGATTAGTTATGCAGCCTGATTTCCTTCATATTCAAAAGGATGAGTTAAAAATATAAATGTCTAAATGTAAACCCTTTCAAAAAAAAATAAAGAAAAAGCCTCAATTTGAGAAACAATGTGCTGCAAAATGCATGAAACTGTAACAATGCACTCGCCGGTGAAAATGGATACATGTGGCCACTTTCCCTGAATGCCGGTGAGCGTGGGGATGCGCTACAGGGAACATGGAGCACGCCATTGACGCAACACATTGCTAAAATGAGACAAAATGCCGCTCCAGCAATTAAGACTTGAATCATTAAAATGCATTTTACCTGTCCGTTTGTCTTCGCTGCAACAGCTGCACCTTCTGCGGGCTTTTCCACCGCAGCTTCCTCCTTTCCAGCGGTTTTGGAGATTTGTGCTCCCATGCTTTTTGGCGCAACAAAGGAACCCAACCGATCAAATGAATGAACAAAGACCGCAAGCTTCCTCCCAAAAAATTCAAGTCGAGCGCCGACACCTCCTTCTGCAAACGAAGCCGAGGAACAAGCCCGAAACCGAAATGACCGCAAAGGGACGTGTGAGGACTTGCGAAAATGTGGCAAAAGACGCAAAAGAAACGCGAATTCTTTCAATTTTTCTCGAGCGGAGTTTGTAAATGGAGAAATTGGCCCAGCCGCAAATGAGATGCGGAGTACAACGCCCAAGTCCACTGATGAATGGGCACTGGGGCTATGACGACAAAGCCACCCCGTCTCCGCCAATCACAAGTCCGAAATCCAACGAGTGGGGGGGTCATGGAGTAGGGGGGACATGGACAATGGGAGAGACACAACAACATGGCCAACAACTTGTTTTTATATCCACTTTAGAGTGCAAAAACTTGATTTTATATCTGACTAAAATAACGATTGAGATTATGGCTTTACAAGGTCCAGCAGATTTAGATGATTTCATGAAGGAAAATATCCCAGAAATCTTTGATAATCCCATACATAAGTAAACAATGTGTTTACCAAAGCATAAAAATGACCAACATCTGTTTTTATATGTTATTGTTTTGGTATTTTTCACTATTAATTATAGCTACTGTTAAATATTCAAATCAAATAGTCTTTTATTTCTAAAATGTGCCATCTACAAGAGCAATACAATTGTATCATTTATTACTATGATTTACAGTAACATACAGTCAATATAATAGCCTACATCATTATATGTATATGCTCTAATTCAATATTTAATAATATAGCCTAGACATTGCATATTTTTGTAAACTGTAAAACGTAGCTCGTATTTTTACCCTTCCCTGAGTTAAATGTATTCATTGATATACAAAGCTGCAGCAAATGGGGTCAAAGACGTTTTTTATCACAACCTTTAAACGTATATGCAAGTGCCAAAACAACAGCATGTTTTGGACAGCTGAGCTGTGAAAGCACTGCTCAGCTGGCCTCATATTATATCATCATGCACCCTCCTGACATATGCTTCACACAGTAAACAGACGTCCCCTGTAACTATAAGCCCCTGTGCCCACAACTTCCCTCATCCCTCTTCTTGCATAATAGCGTCTTGTCTGCATGTTGCAGCTGGAGCATCCCAGTGACCCAGATATAATGAGAGTTTATGGCCCTCTGCTCCGGCAGCCTGCAGTGCTCCGACTCCACCACCAGCCACATGTCTCCTCTCTCTGCCATCACTGCATGACCCACATCTCCATGGTTACCAGTCCAAAATGGCTCCGAGGGAAGAGGCTGCATGTCAAGCACTTTTAGCGATCATGACTCCTGGTTATGGACAAGTAGGGTGAGAGTGAGTTCAAAAACTAAGCAGCGCAGACAACAGTTTGAGGATTAGGGTGACTTCTTTCACCCACCCTCCCTTCATCAGGCTAACTAGGCCACGCTCATTGTTGTGATATTCTGATTACATGCAAAGCTGCAATAATTATGGTGAGCTGCCATGAATATGTAAACCAGGGGACAAAGCCAGCAGGGCATCAAGTGTTTTTAACAACATCATGCAACCCAGACATTCAGACAGACTTCACCTGTCAGGAAGACGCCGTATCACGCCGTATCACGCTGTATCACGTCAGTATCCTCGGGGGGTGTGTGTGTTTGTGTTTGTGTGTGTGTGACTTGCACACTAATGCCTTAACTTATAACAATACATGAATCAACACAAAATCTTAAACATGTCAAAGGTTTTCATTAAACTTCTCACTGTAAACTGGACTTTAATAGTCACATTTTAAAAAAGCAAAAAGGAACAGAAAAGGGGTTTTGTTTATTTGTTTGTTTCTTTATGACTCTTTTTTCAATTGACCACAACGTTTTTGAGCCAATATCAAACATTTAATATGTCAATTTATGGTAAATGAACATTTATACCAAACAGTAAACATGTGTACAGTAAAAGTACATTCTTAACTATGAGCAAATGCTGATCTAGAGTGGCTAGTCCTGTCTGTATAATGTTGTGCTCCCAATATATAATTAATGTGGTTTTTAAAGATAATTCACAGTCAGATTTTTACTAAAAGAACTGACTTTCATTCTGTCTGGATTTTGATGAATTTAGTCATATAAAAGTGATCTGGCCGGTCCACTCTAGTCTGTCTAATGATTCATTGCCATTATATAAATTTTAACATGGTTATAGACATCTAAGTGTGCTATATGCTAGAAAAAGCTCTCAAATGGTAACAACGCTGAAGATTAAGGTAAATTCAGTACACCTTTATATGTTACCCAAAAAAAAGACACCAAGATCATTTGTCAAGTAAAAATTAAAACCATTTACATTTTCCAGCTTGTTCGATGTGAGGGTTTGCAGGATTTTTCTGTTGTGTATCACTATAAATTGAATATCTTTGGGTTTTGGACTGTTAGTGGGACATCTGAAGACATTACCTTGTACTCTGGGAAGCTGTGACAGACATTTTTCACTATTTTCTGACAGTTTATAGACAAAACAATCAACTGATTTGTTACACCAAAACACCAAATGAGTGGGCCTGATACACAATAGGTGACTTTTTTTGTTCTAAAAGGTCCAGTGTGTAGGATTTAGTGGCATCTAGTGGTGAAGTTGCAGATTGCAGATTGCAACTAATAGAACACAGCTCACATCTGTATTTGACGACCTGGGAATGAAATGGGGCTGTGAAGTGTGTAGGAGAAACTACGGTGGCTGTGAAAATGCAAAACGTCCTATCTACAGCCAGAATTTGGTTTGTCCATTCTGGTCTTCTGTAGAAACATGGCGGTTCAACATAGTGGACTCCATGGAAGGCAACCCGTGGCATCTGTAGATAAAAAGGGCTCATTCTAAGGTAAATAAAACACAATGATTCTTATATAGATTATTGAAAACATAGCTATAAATATTATACTTTATTTCTGCCAATAGATCCCCCTAAATGTTACAAACTGAACTTTAAAGTAACTTATTCAGTCACACAAATAAACCTTGAGAGCATGTTTGGCATTCAAACAGCTGGAAATTTGAAGGAATCTTAAGTGAATGGAGGTCAGAGGTCAACATTGTGATGCATAATTACATTCCTGAGCAGGATTGAATTACTGTAACTCCTTATAAGTAGCAAAAAGTAAAATATTCTAATCCGGGTGAGGGTTGTTTGTCCTTATTGTTGCAATACATGTTGCATTTTATATTCAAAATATACTCAGTGGCTGAATGTTGCTGATGTTTTCATGCAGAAGGACAGACTGTTTCCAGTTTTTATCACCTGAATATGTGATTAATTTAATTTTCTGCCTACTAATCTCTCGGGTGGGACTGCTGTTATTCATGGGCCATGGAGGACCAATTATGTATGCAGTTTTAATTCCAACGAAAAAATATATTTAAGTCGGGGCAATGCTAATCCACTTATACCACTGTGGGGAATTGTTGACAACAACAGACTAAAATAAATTTTGACTCAAAGATTTATGAATTTCTTTTGGCTCTAATTTAAAATTTAAACCTCTTTAATGTGTCTTTCTCTATATGAGGAGCTGTGTCTAAACTAAAAGTGAGCATGTGTAAAGAGAGCTCTAAACACTTAAACAAAAACAGACAATTTGCCAACCTTGCCCTGTTTTTCAGTCACTCCACAAACAAGGAGGTGTCCCACTATAAATTGTAATCTGTTATTGGAGGGAAGCGGTGTCAATCACTGCTCCGGGTCGGTGTGGAGCCGCATCAGCCGTACGCAATCACAGCTGCGTCAAGACGCACACAAACAAACCGGAAAATAAAACAGCGCCTGCAAGTCAAAATAAAAGCACGAAAGTTAGAAATCACGGACTCGGCGTCCTTAACATAATCTTACTGATACAGAATTAGTGGACTTACTTTTTAATACACTCAAAACACTAGATTGGTTTCTCTGCGTTCTTGTTTTTACCTTAAAATGACATTTTGTATTTTACTGAAAAAAGCAGCTTTATTTTGACAGGATTAACCAGAAGCTGCGTGCGTTGTTGTTGTGAACTTGACGGCTGGTCGCCATCGTCATCATCTGTACGCACGGCGGCGACAGGAGCTCCTGAATTGGCAGGGACGGGTTATCCCACCGCTATTCTCTCTCAATGCGAAGAAAAAGCACTAACAGAGAGTAGAAAAAAACATCGGCGATTCCCCCCCAACGAAAGTCCCCCTGGAAACTCCGATGGATTAATCTTGATTTTTCTGCGGTAAGCACGTTTATGGGGTTTTTTTTTCCCTTCCCTGTGTTGAATTTCAATTGGTGCACCCGCCTTGTCCCCTATTTTGCGCTGTGGACTGCGAGATGAATTCATCTCGGGAGAGAGAGAGCGAGAGAGAGAGAGAGAGAGAAAGAGAGAGCATAGGAGATAAATAACACACTGTGGGGTCGTTGTCTTCTCTCCAGTCATTCTGCAGATGTAGGCTAATGTATTTGACGGATCACTCTGCCCTCAGAAGAGGGGATCAAAACAGAGCGAGTGGTAGTGGTCTAATTGTGGATGATGTTATGCAGCGCTGTGATTGTGGAGAGGGGGCTGCAGGGATGGATGCGCTGCAGAGCAGAGCTGACCACTGAGGCCATGCACACAGATGATGAACGCCACAATGGCCTGCAGACAGCCTCCTATTGATTCACCCCAAAATAATTGTCATATGCTTCAAGCTAATTGCATTGCCACACTGTTAAATATCTAATTAAAGCTGTCCTAATCGGGTTATCTGATGTGTCTGGAGGTGCAGCCATCCATCTTGTAGGCAAACACCGGGGGGAGGATATATTAAGTGTGTGTATCTGGGAGCTAAAACCTCAGTTTTATACATGTGCAATAAGTTAAGGGAGTAGTTGTGTGTTGGTTTGTGAATATGCACTCAGCAGTCTGTGAGGATTCAGCCTGTCATTGGTCCATGAATGACTTCACAATTGGCGTGCGTGATCAGATGTGAATGAAAGGAGTAGCATATTATTATGGTTCATGGACCATGTATATTTCCCCCTCAGGCCTCTCTCTGTCCATACAGTGGAGCCTATACTGGCAGTAAGCTGCTACTTGTGACTTTAGCTTCAAAAGAAATATGTCATCACAGAGGGGAAGTCCTAATAAGGAGTTCATTGATTACTTTGGTTAAAGCAATATATCTGCTTTTACAAGTTAGTTGTTTGCCTTTTTGTGTCAGTCAATAAATATCAATCATACAGGCTGCCACTTCTGCTTATTTTCATTGAGAGCTGCAACAATTAGTTGAGTTGATCGACAGAAAACAAACAACTGAAAATGCAACTCATCTGTTAATCGTTAAAAGTTATTTTTTTAAGGCAAAATTTCCAAATTTGATGTTTTCAGCTTCTCACATGTGATGATTTGCTGCTTTTCCTTTTCTTAACATTATCGTAAACTGAACAGAAACAAGGTTTTATACTGTTGATCGGACAGAACGACACAGTTTCCTTGAGCTCAAGGAAAGTGAGAAAATAGTCAGCAGATGAATCGAATATGAAAATAATGGTTAGTTACAGCATTGTTTTCTTTATGGATTAATCTGACAGTTATTTACTCAATCAATTGAATAATCATTTGTGTCATGAAATGTCAATAAATATCCATCCTAGTGTCCCAGAGTTCTTGTTGATGTATTCAGATGTCTAGATATTCACTTCATACATCATACAAAACAGATAAAAGCAGCAAATCCTCATGTTTTGTCAATCTACCTATCAATTAACCATCTAATCGCTGCAGCTCTACAGCACTCATAGGGGCTCGTGCCTCTGTTTTGCACTTTCTATCAACCCTGAAGTGTTATTCAGTTCTACCAGAAACCTTCCATCGCTGTAGACCCACCACATCATTATTTCCAGTGGATTCTTACATTGAACATTGCCCTCCACTGGCACAAGATCTGGAAAGAAAATGTTTAAACCCCCCCCCCCAGTGCAGACTGGACTGGACAGACAGGCAGAGGCAGCGAGAATCTGCTCCTGTTTGTGGAAAAAGGTTAATGTTTTTCTAATTTGCCCTTTTCTCCCATTTGGAAAATATTCATCTACTAGGCACAGATCTCACTGACTGGATGGATGTTTACAATGGGCTCAGTGATTTAACAACATGACTGAGCATACTCAACTGTGAACATTGTGACACCAAAACACAGTTGGGCTTAAACCCACACATAGCCTACATACTGTATGGAGCTCAGCTGTGTGTTTTATAACTAGTTCATTCAGTACGTGAAGAATGCTTTGAAAGCCTTAACAGGGCATTTCATTGTGCTGATAATCTTGAGTGAAATGTGGTCATTGTCTTGTTGTTGATACACTGAATGAACTCAGTTGTCCGACACAAGCAAATATTGTAACTATTCAGAGAATGGCAGCCATAAGGAGGAGATTGTCAGAGTTGTACCAAATCAAGTAAACACAGCCACGAGTTTCATACACATTCAAATGTCACACAACTGAAAATGATCCTCTTTAAGGTCATTTCTTTGGTGATAAATAGATATAGATAGATATATGCTTTATTGTCCCCATGAGGTAATTTGATTTGGTTCAACAAAGCTAGACCCTTCAGTATACGTGGGCACACAACAACAGCAGGGAGAGGACATTAAAGAGTACGCAAAAGTGCAATACCAGAAACAAATACAAGAATACACACTTATGGTTGCTTCCGTAACCTCTTCTTATTTTAGACTCCTATTTAGAGCTTTGATTAACAGGCACCAAGGAGTTCTTAAAGCGATTCAATGTACACTGCTGAGCTCTGTATGATGAATGAACAGTGTTTCATTTCGGAGTTGAATAAGGTCAATACGAGTGCGACTTCAGTAGGAGGTGTGTGGGAGGTTTGACCTTGTTTTGTGCCATGTCAATGATCTGGGTGTAAAGGCAACCCACATTTAAATTAAACAGAGCTGCCTTGTTCCAAAATGAATCGCAAAATGATTGTACTCTGGAGAAATTTGAAAGTTCATTGGTTTCAATAATGAAAGCATTCTTAGATGTAATGACCAGTTGAACACAGTTTGTAAGTCAAATTTCAAATACACTTCTTGGGCTTAATTTTATGATCACTGAAATCGGAAAGAAATAACATCAGGTCAGCTTGTTACTGACTAAATAGCGTGTTCCCACTGGAGCTGAAACCATTCGCCCATTGTTTTAAACTATTTTGATAATCACTTAATCTTTCAGTCATTTTTCAAGCATAATTCCCTGGTTTCAACCTCTTATATGTCAGAATTTGCTGGATTAATTCATTAATCCTGAGAACAGGGCTGCAACTAACAATTTTTTTCCATTATCATTTAATCTGCTGATTGCATTTTTGGTAAATAGATTGATGTTTAATCTATGAAATGTCAGAAAGAACAGTCCAAGGTGATCAGCAGTTCAAAACCCAAACATATTTAATTAAAAATGATATAAAAAAGAGATAAGCAACAAATCCTCACATTTGAGAAGCTGTTTTTTTGATAAATAATACAGCTCTTGATAAATATTTTAACGATTGTCAGAATTGAATTAAATGTCTGTTGATGGACTAATCAATTAAGTAAATATTTCAGCTCCAGAGTGTTCTTGATTATTTCAGTCCACATGTATAATTTTTCCAGACTGTACATATGTCTGTTTCTCAAGCCTGCCTGTCTCCTGTTTAATCCATCAGTTACGCTGTGTGACCCTGACATGTCTGTCCTTTTTAATTTAGTATATTGATCTGGCAGCTTTACTATAAATGGCCGAGTATCTCATTATGGCTCCCAGCTCTCTGTGTTACAGTAGATGATTAGCACTTGTGCCTGTACAGCATCAAAATAAAGACCATCATTTCAAGAAATTAATTTCCAGTTGAGCCCAGCAGCTGTGGCTGATGTAGTAGCACTAACCCCGTCCTGTTACTCTGTTCAGATAATACTGCCGTCTTCATTTCTCTTCACTTGCTGATGTGAGGGAATCTTGCAGCGGCGTTGACAAATACTACCCAACAGATTTGGCCAGACATCAAAGTCAGATTTCAGACTGCATCTTGAGCCAATCAAGATGAGGAGAATTAATATGATACTGCTGCCTGTCTGTGTTTTCGTGTGTGAAAGTCAAGTCCCCCCCCCCCTGTTTCCCTGCCTCTGCCTTTTGCTATTAACTGTTACAACACACCACATAGCAACAAGCCTGTCCCCATCGGACCCTCCTTATCACGCCAGTGTGGTCCTCTTAGGGGCAAGCTGTTCATTTGGGTCTGAGAATAGCGTGATGAGTCTTCTTGCAGGCTGAGGTGGTCATGCGATACCCAGGCAGTGCCACGGAAAGGAACAAGCCCCGCGGCTGCATGCCATCATCTGCTTTTTTGGGGGGGGCGGAGGGGGTAGTTGTGCTGATGGTTGGGCACGGAGCAGTCTAGTATGTGGCTGTGTGTCTCACCTAAAATCATTATGTTGCAGGGCTTTGTCTTGACATTTTGATGTGATCCACAGTGTCGATTCATGCGTGTAATTGAATAACAGAGATTAGTTGTCCCTTGGATCTGAAAGCCGGTGATGAACGCTTGTGAAACTCTGCATGTTATTGTGAAAATGTGATAAATCTGCCTGTTGCTGGCGCTAAACTTGATAGATCCAGATTACTGTTTCTTAGGTCCAAAGATGGCCGAATTTTTTATAGCAACTTTAGTCACAACACAACATGATTCATATGCAAATGTTTACTAGGCGAACACTGTGCCCAAAAAACAATACCACAAAGGGAACATATGTATATAAACAATACAAGATGGCCTAGTTTCTGTGCAGCAGAATGGTTACAGATATGTTAAAGCTATGGTAGTCCCTGGCCTTTTTACTTCAAGAGCAGGAAGATTTTCATAATCCCCAAAGGCAGCACGACGACGTGAGATCTCCCCTCATTTACTCTGATCCCTCCAGGAGGGGATGCAGTGCTATTTCAATCACTGCAGTTAAAGAGAAAATGCACCAGAAAACAGACCTTACCTTTGTTATCCCAGTCAGTTCAGTTAATATGTTCTTGCTTGTGCAGTTCTCCACGAGAAGTTGTCAAAGATTTTAATACGTTACTACCCTTGTTTTCAACAAGCAGGAGGCTGGTCTGGACTGGATTTATGTGATCTATATTATTTTCTTTTAACTTGTATATATAGGTGCTGTTTTCTGACAAATGCTACCAGTTGAAAGTTAAATCAATCTGCTGTGTATATAGGGTTGCACTGATTTATTCTTGTTCTTGTTTTTAGTAACTGTTTAGTCTACAAATTGTCTATCAGATAAAATCTCAGAAAATTGATTGTGTAAATGTCTATCACAGTATCCCATAGCTCATAGTAATGTCTTTTAAAATGTTTGTTTTGGCCTCCCAAAAAGGGAAAAAACAGAATTATATTAACTTGAGCCAAAATATCCTTCATAATTTATCACTTATGGAAATATCGTCTTGCATATTTTCCTTGGCTAATCGATAAAGCTGCAGAAAGTCTCACATCGACATCATAACAGTAAAGTTCCTCATTTCTACTTTTTGGAGAGAGGCATTTCCCTTTAAATGGAAATTGTAGGTATGTTTTAAGGTGGATTTGTACTTACCTGCTATACTGTAGAGAGGGGCGCTGTAGACACCAGAAGATAGAAGATGTAGATATAAATGGTCAAGGAAAATTATTTGTTATTTTACGGATTACCATAGAATCAGCAGTCCTGCTCCTCCTTTTATTTCAGTCTGTGGTCTCAGCTTTGGTTTAGGCTTATACTGTAATGCTACCACTGGGCTTGTTTCTTTCTGGGTATTTAATGGGCTTTTATTGGCAGTAATGAATCACAATGATCTCCTTCTCTCTGCAGTGGCTCTGTTCTTCTGTTAGTTAAGCAGTGTGGGGCAAATATAGGGCTGGAGGAACTGAAAATGCCGTGCACAGGAGGGGAATTTTGCATTTGGTTGTCATGTATTCTATACTTCCCTTTACCTGAGGGGTGCAGGTAACACAGTAGAGATATGTACCTGTGTGCATCAAAAAGGTGGTTATTTCTTATTAATGCAGCCTGTTGATGGGGAAGAATAAATACACAAATGTGCAACAGCATAGGTATAAAAAACTAATGTTGCTGTTGTTTTGATGAGTGGTATTTGAACTATGATAGTGACAGTGATAATCATTTTTTTTTTTCTCTTGTACTACTAAAGAGTCTTGTTTAAGTGTAATTTTCAACTCAAGCATCAAGTCCACAGTTGAATCCATAATATAAAAAAACACTTAATTCTGGTGTCAAATTACAAATGTGATAGTATTAATACCAGCCAGAGCACTCCTCTTTTTATTTTCCATTTGTCCTAAATATTAGGCAGGTGCTTTAAAAACATGTTAAATATTAGGTTAAGATTTCAGTTTTCAGCCCCTTTACTCTGTTGCAGTACTCTCTGTGTGCAGCAAGTGACACATCTGTTTGCACTTTTTTCAGATGTAGGCATTTGGGTTGCTTGCTAGTAAATGTAAAACAGGCCTGAAGGAATTTGGTCATATACTCTGTAGCTTTCCCGGTAACCATTAAGCTTCAGTGTCCTTCATGACATGCCTCTACAAACTAGTTTCCTAGTACCAAAAAAACAGAAGTTTTTTTTTAAATCAATTATTTTGCCCAACTGATTGTTCAAACCAAAAAACTAGAAGAATTTAAAATTTGACAAGCTGGAACTGGTGAATTTTTGCTTAAAAGATGAATTGATTTTAAAAATAAATATTTAAATGTAATGAGCTGAAACTGTTGCTGCCAAAATTCTCTATGTGCTGCTGCTGGTTATTTTTATATCATACATTGCTTATTTTCACTTATCCTGGCCTCATGTTTTGTCTATATCATTTACAAAAACATTTTTCATTAGTTACAACTGTGCTGTTAGTCTGGATCTGAATCTGAAAAGTTTCCCTCTTCCTCCGTCTGCTGCAGCACTGGCGTTTGCCCCGTAGCACCACCTCTCTCCATCCACAGCGACTGTAAACAAGTGTGTTTCCAATTAGCTGTCTCCGGAGTCAGCTGGCCGCTAAAGCTGATGAAAGACAACGGTGCTGTCAGCGGTCTCTCCCTAGCCCTGTTGTACCAGCTCCATGAGCTTCCAGGGCTTAAAGGGGGGCACGGTGAACCGAAATGTGCATTAGTTTAACTAGGTCTTAAAGACGGTAAGGCTCTTTTTAATTGGCAAAACAGATCGCCTCACTCATTACAGAAACTGGTTTAGCTTTGCCTTAGTGAGGCCAAATGCTCCATCCGTCCCCCTCATGAGACTCAGTGCAGAGCCAGTGGTTTGCTGTTAAGGGTCTCCGTGCATTTTAACTCACTGCTGTGAATCTAAAGATGGGTGTTGGGCTCCTTGTAAAGAAAACAAAAATAACGTGCATGCCAACTTGTAAATGCAATGGCTGGGTGTAAATTCTTCTCACAAGTGTGGTCTTGCAATAAGATGTAAAAGTAAACCATGATAAGTGGTGCTGTTAAATCCTTTCATGCCAAGTTAAAGTGAATCTTCTCAGAATAAAGTATCTAACATCAGCGTGTACACATATTTACATCAGTGATGACATTAGCCATATGCTACCGCTCTGTCACATTATGTTCCTCTGTATAATTAGTAAGAGTTTCAAGTATCGTGTTTAATTTTGGCCTAATTGAAAGATTTTTCACAAGGCTCTGTGTAACTCTCAGAGGAAGCTCTGAAATAATGGAATATTGAATCATAATTTCCCCAATGGAGACAGCTTTTGAGCTATTATTTTACCTACATACTAATTCCATCTCTGTCTCTTCCTCTCTCCACCCACAGAAAGTAGAGAATGGGCTGTGTCCAATGTAAGGATAAAGAAGCAGCAAAACTCACTGATGACCGGGAGACCAGCCTCTCACACAACTCGGGGTACCGCTATGGGTCCGACCCCACACCGCAGCACTACCCCAGCTTCGGGGTCACCACCATCCCCAACTACAACAACTTCCACACTGGTGCCTCACAGGGGGTGACCGTGTTCGGCGGAGTCCACACGTCCTCGCAGTCTGGGACGCTTCGGTCTCGGGGTGGCACAGGTGAGGTTGAAGAAGCTCTTTTGAATTTAGTCTGAGAGTGCATGTAAGATGGTTCCAGTGGAAGGCAGCTGTTTCAAAAAACCAATAGGATTCAGTTAGTCCAGGTTTTTAAAGGCTGTAGTTGTTTTAAAAGAGACATTTTGTGATACTTTTTCATGCTAAACACTTAAAATACTTATTTAGTGCTATTGGCACAATGAAAAATCTTAACATTTTTAGACCAACATATAACACACTCTTCACTTAACTTAATACAAATACAATATTTGGGTGGTTTTGTAGCTCTTTAAAGAAATAGTTTGACATTTTGGGAAATACAAATTTTTTGGTCATCTGTCCCTCGCTCTCTGTCAGAACAGATACTCAAGGATTCAAGTTTTTTTTTACTGTCAATTACAATGCAGGGTTGTATAATGAAATGTACCAGATGTTTGCTACTCTTTTAATCAATCCTGCTGTCTATGCCGTGTTTTACTTGCGCTATACGCGTGACAGACAGCAGCTGGTTAGCTTAGCTTAGCATAAAGACTGGAAGCATCTAGCCTGGTTCTGTCTGGAGGTGACAAACTCTGCCTACCAGCACATTTTATCTCATTTGCTTCATCCATACAAAACCCCGAACTTTAAATTGCGGTTTTACAGGGCTCTATGTGCCGTATTATGTCTTGGAGCAATAACTTCCAGAACGTTACTCTGCCTGGCCAAGAAAATCTGGCTACTGGCTGTAGCTTCATGCATTTTGCAAGTTTCATGGCCACAGTAGTTTCTCCTTCACGCTTGGAAGTCTGAGCTGTTTTCAAATGGTTGCAATCTGCAAGTTCACTGCTAGATGCCACTGAATGCTGCACACTGGTCCTTTAAGACAGGGTGACATTGTGAGGGGAAAATTCTGAATTATGTCACTAAATGGGGTCAAATTACAAACAGGGCAATTAATGGAGAAATAAAATGTCAGTCTAAGTTGTAAAGCTGTACTTCTCTAAGGACCACTCACTGTCTGGCCCTCATCCAATATTCAATAAAAAAGAAGCTAATGTCAGCTGAATATGTTGACTGATCAGTATACAGTATTTGCCAAGTAACTTGTTATCACTTCAGACATATGAGATACTGTCAAACTTGGAATTTCAGATGTCAAATTCCTCCCGTATTCCAAGTAAATATGTGATTCATTCACATTTCTGCAGAAGATGTATGTCCACTGGCTGAAAGTTAATGGAAAACAGAGTGACCTAAATTATCGCTGGTACTCCGTGAGGCACATCTGACGACCATAAAGATCAGACATTGTGCTGAATAGTCCAAAAAGTGTTTCTGTGGCAGAGAAATGGGTTTTACAGTCTCTCACTTAAGATTTTAAAGATACATATGATGTGTGATGCATAAATGAACAGCATCTTCTTTCTTTGATGCCAACTACTTAGGGCTTCTTTTTTTACGCAGCTCAGATAAACACTCTGTGGAGTCAGCACCACCAGCTTGTATGAATAAGAAATTACTCCAGGAGGGCAGCACTAAGCAACATTCATATCTGAGACTTTGAAGAGAAGACTTGAGTAAAAAATAATAATAATTCAACACTCAAACAAGATGAAAACCTCATTTGACCCCCTTGTGAATACATCAACAGTGAGCAGTTCTGGTGATTGTAAGGTGTGTTTCGGAGGTCACTGCATTGTCAGAGAAATGTGCAGGGCTTTATCGCTGCATTGTAGCTCTGACTCTCCAGGGATGATTCAGATCGAATCAGAAAATGAAATCATTTTACAGTTTCAGGCTTATTAAGAGACACAGGGACTCCGGGGCCGTTCCAAATCACATCAGATAAATTTGATTGGCCTCACCATTCGTAGAGGATGCCCTGTCTGATAAGGCTTCAAGTCAGATTTGTTTTTTTGTATTTTTGTAATAATAGATTTTTTTGGATTGTTGTTTTGCCCCCTTGGGGACAGTGCAACAAGCTGTACATACACATGTACATGTTATTAGCTTATAAACCTGGTGAACGTCTTCGCAAACAGCTGCCAGTTTACACATCCGGCAAATTCAAGCAAACTGACTAATGGCCCAATAATCACTCTCCTTTCAACTCCGATTTGGTCTCCACCAACTCCCGAGGGAAATATCAGACTCTGCAGTTGTTGTTCAACAGGTAGAATATAGTGGATTTATCAGAGCAACTGTCAGTTGCAGCTAAAAACAACACTTGCAGGACTGTTTAGATTAAAGCAAAACATTAAAGTTGCAGGCTGGAAAACCAAAACAATGAGCTGAAAGACACTAAATATCTGAGCTGAGGGGAATTAGAGTTGGGTAATAACTCCTTTAATATTACATGTAGTAGTCATTTGATTCATTAATATAAAAAATATAGATAAGTGCAGCTTGAAAATGAAATAAATACATTTTGACCACATGAGGAAATTTGTTTCTTACATGCGGATCTCTGTCAGTGAGATTTTTGTAAAAATAAACATTAGATGATGTCTGGTTGAGTGAATCTGTGAACTAGTTTGACAAATAACTTTTTTATAATAAGACATCTCGCAGCAGAAGAAGAGGGCAGCGATTCTTATTGCCATTACATAACAAGCAGCCCATGTGTTTCACAGATGAACAAACCAAACAATAAAACCACAATGAAAATCCCAACATAATTCTCCATCCATACAATTCACTTCTATTAACTCTAACCACCTCATGCCTTGTTTTGTTTTTCTGCAGGGGTGACACTGTTTGTGGCTCTTTATGACTATGAGGCCCGGACTGAGGATGACCTCAGCTTCAGGAAGGGGGAGAGGTTCCAGATCCTCAACAGCACGTAAGTGTGAAAACATCTGCATGACAGCATTAAGGGTGGCGGTCGTGTTTTCCCTTTCTGTTTTTCGTCTGTTGAGAATGTCTTAATGCTACATTTGGAAATGGCAATGTTTCACGGGCGCAGACAGAAGGAACTGGTCTCTCTGTTACAGATCTGATCTGGCTTATAAAGGTTATGTTATGTGTAAAGTCTGACATATTTGTCATGTTTTAATGCTAACTTTCGGATAGTTTGCATCATAGCCTTCATAGCTTCTCATCTAAATTACAAACACGAACACACGCCTTGTCCTGCACCTTAGCTTGTTGAACAAGCCACCAAACAAACATTCACTGGGGAAAAATGCACTGCAAAGTCAGTTTGCAGGCTAGATGGCTAAATAGCTGCTCAGCTGAAGCACATTAAACAGCATGTAAGCATTCCTGCAAATATCACTTTGGTCCTGTTGGATGCTGGTATGGTCCTTACTCTTCAATACCACTGCTTACAACAGTCTTTCCATGACATGTACAGCTCAAGTTTTGTTTCTCTTATGTCACTATGGCAGCCTGCCAGCTGCTGTCAATCAAACACATATACTGACACTCCCCGCCAGCCGGCTGAGATGAAAAGGAGCATTTCTGATATTTCCCCAAATCCTTCCCTTTTCTTGCTTTTAATAAGTAAAGACTATAAACATTACATTTAAAAAACACAGTGCCATTTTTGTTGACTACAAAACAGAATAAATGTGATTTCTGTTGGATTGTGAAGAGATGATTCACTGTAGGAGCACACACACTAGAAAACACCTGCTTTTAATGTTTGTTTTGATGTGCTCTCTACTCAGCTCTCAGAGACAAGACAGCCAATAAACCTTGATCATCCTCAAATTTGTGCACGTCTGCCTAATGTGTAAATGTTTATCTTTTTCTCTGTTTAATCCAATCTGCCTCCATCCTCCATCTCTCTCTGTTCTTCTCTCCTCAGTGAGGGAGACTGGTGGGAGGCTCGTTCTCTCACTACAGGTGGAACTGGTTACATTCCCAGCAATTATGTTGCTCCAGTGGACTCCATCCAAGCTGAGGAGTGAGTGAAACTTTTTTTATACAAGCTCATATTCACACAAAGTCTCTGAGGCACCACAGCTTCATCAGCAGAGAGCGTATCATAAATATTTGAGAGCTCAGCTCACTGCCTTTTGTTAAACGTGGCATAGTGGCACGTACAGTAAAGATAAAAGACAGAATATTTGAAACAAATGTTTGAACCAGATATTACACTTCATGTTTTCATTCACTCTGTTTTTTTCCTTGCAGCTGGTATTTTGGTAAATTAGGCCGAAAGGACGCAGAGAGGCAACTGCTGTCCAACGGCAACGCCAGAGGCACTTTCCTCATCCGTGAGAGTGAAACAACCAAAGGTACTTTGATCTTTGGATGCTTTTAGAGTTAGGAAGTGAAGAAATAAATATTTAGAAACACTTAAATGTGCACTGTGACATTCAAAGCAATTTACTTATAGGCAAACTTAAACTAAAATCAGACCAACATTGCAACTTAAAATTCAAAATTCAGTTTAATATCATATTATTAACTATGTACTTGCTCCATATTCATTGCCCTAAATCCTTTGCACAATGTGCTTTATATACACTCATTAATTCATCATGCACTCCACGTGTTCTGTAATATCTTGGTCAAGACCAAGTTTTTGCTTTGATCTACTTGAATCCGTCAGTTTCGTTCTTTATCGTTGTGTTGTCGATGTTCCAGGGGCCTACTCTCTGTCCATCCAGGACTGGGATGACATCAAGGGAGACCATGTCAAACACTATAAGATTCGCAAGCTGGACAGTGGAGGCTACTACATTACCACCAGGGCTCAGTTTGAGACACTCCAGCAGCTGGTACAGCACTACTCTGGTGAGACTCTGCTTCAGTTATGAGAGGATGTAAAAGCAGGGCCTCACATAATAGATCTGCTTTCTGTCTCTTAAAATTACAATAGTATGTGGTTTTATACTACTTCAATATCATTTAAAATTCAAACTGTATGCTCGATCCATCGATCCAGCTAGGGCTGCAGGGCTGTGCTGCCGACTGATCGTGCCATGCCACAAAGGCATGCCTCGTCTGACTGACCTGTCCGTCAAAACCAAAGACGTGTGGGAGATCCCGCGGGAGTCGCTGCAGCTCATCAAACGTCTCGGCAACGGCCAGTTTGGCGAGGTCTGGATGGGTGCGTATCTTTTTGACGTTGTCTTTTGGCACAAATGAATAGTTAGACAGCTGTGAACACTGTTGTGAAACATGCTGTATGTGTTGGATCATTGAAAACTAACACCCAGCTAATGTTACCCACAGGGAGGAGTGTTTGCTGTCAGTGATTTTATTTAGGAATTTAGATGCAGGATACATCTCTGCATGATCTCAGTGTCCGTTTTGGACATCCCCTGATTTCTGATTGGATTCAGGATCTGAAAGGGTATATATGGTATTTGTTATGTCTAATTAGGTTTCTCTGACATGGCTTATCTAAACTCAGTTCAGACACATGCTGTTTTAGTTCAGTTGAGTTCAATAAAACTTAATTTGTCCCACATTGGGTTGGGAAATGCTCCATGTGTGCCGTATTTGCTGAGATCTGAACATGTTGTTGGTACCACAGACATGTATTAAATCAAATCCTATAATAGATTCTTTTTTTCTTTTCTTTTTTTCAGTTTTCAACTACAAGCATTTTGGACTGACTGTAAAATGTTGTTAGGATAGTTTAAAAAAAGTTTCAACTTCTTTTTATCAGGCACGTGGAACGGGACCACCAAGGTGGCGGTAAAGACTCTGAAGCCCGGCACCATGTCGCCCGAGTCCTTCCTGGAGGAGGCTCAGATCATGAAAAAGCTACGACATGACAAGCTGGTGCAGCTCTACGCTGTGGTGTCCGAAGAACCCATCTATATTGTCACAGAGTACATGAGCAAAGGTAGATGCTATTTTAAGCTGAAACGTAAAAAAAGACACTATGAATATTGCATACATGCATTTGTGCACACACCTACGCCGTGTGTACATAATTTATACACCTGCATGGACAGTACAGTATGTGTCCTACTTCACAGCATGACGCTTCATCACGTCCACATTCATGTACTGTAACAAGTTTATTACAGTGATACAAACACACTTGGGGTGGAACGGGAAGGATTTTGTTAAAAAAAACACAGAGCTCTTCAGTTACCACAGCAATAACTAACAAATAAAAATCTGAGCCAAGTGTAACATGTGGCAGGAATCCCAGAATTGATGTCACATTAGCTGCAACATTTTGCTTTGGTTGCTTTGATCCAAATCTGAGTTAAGATTTGGCAGCTGAAGATAACATGAGACAACAGATGCTAACTCATTTTTCATCTCTTTTTTTTTTTTTTTTTTTAGGGAGTTTGCTTGAATTCCTTAAAGATGGAGAAGGACGAGGCCTCAAACTGCCAAATCTAGTGGACATGGCAGCTCAGGTACGCTGCTGAAAACAATCCAAAATCTTGATGCTGTTGATTTGTTAGCAGAGCACTCAAAGAGCTTTAGTCACTTTAATCATCTCCAGCTGTTTTCATTTCCATCTTGATGCTATGCCAGTGTTTATAGTTTCATTTGGAAAAAGGGCAGTATTTGAAAAGTTTGAAGTTAGGTGAGTGCACATGTAAACTGCATGCAGCACATTGTTAGTTACATAAATATAAATGTTTTTTTCATTGAAGAGATACTCCTCTCTTTTGCAGCCCCACCTCATGGCTCATAAAATGGCTGTAAATCTTCGTACAAATCTTGCTTAGCACAGATTTAATCACCTTGAAACTGTTATGGGATTGACTGGAAAAAATAACTCAATTTCCCCAGGTGGCAGGAGGCATGGCATATATTGAGAGGATGAACTACATCCACAGAGACCTGCGCTCAGCCAACATCCTAGTCGGAGAAAGTCTGGTTTGTAAGATCGCTGACTTTGGTCTGGCCAGGCTCATCGAGGACAATGAATACACAGCAAGACAAGGTATGCCTACAGGGTTGGGTTAAACAAGCTTTTCATAAATGCATCACTGATTTTTTGTGTAAAATGTTCTTAGCAACTATTTGCTAGATTCAAGCTAGTGATTTACTAAATGGGGCTGCATGCACCATTGAAACTTTAAGGAATGAAAGACTAAATGTGTCAATCGAATTACTGGGAAACATCGTTTTTGAATAAATGTTATAATCTGTTTAGAAATCAGCTAATCTGGCATGATTTTAAAGTTGGTGCCAAAATGTAAACAAATATAGGCTAAAAAAACAGGGCTCAAGTTATAGTGGAAATAGTTAACAGTAGGACTTAATGAATGCATGGCAACATCACTTGCTGTTTACATCACTCACACTTTTGGACACCCTGATCGGTAGAAAATGTGATGAAGCTAGTGCTAACATAACCCACATAACTGACATACATATTACATAAGACCTGTTTTACTCATATTTTAGCAGGCCAACAGCTAACGTTAGTTTAGCCGGATGGTTAAAGCTGCAGTAGATAACATTTGTAGAAAACTTTCACTATGCAAAAACAATGATTGATTGGTTGTTTTAATTCAAGCAAATGATTCTTGCAAATTTCATTAGGGGCACTAGGAGGAGCCAGAGGAACCTCATTTCTTCACACATTATCTGCCTGCATGTATTACTGGACATAATGAAAGTTTCAGCAAATATGACAGTTGTGAAGTTATTTTTATGAATGTACTGCAGCTTTAATGTAGCTTCTGATTTAATGTTAAATATTTAGTAACAACCAATCTCTACTTAATAACTAGTTGTGTAAAGTTTTCAGTGATTTGGTTATGTGTGAATTTCCACCTAGACTAGTTATAACATAACAACCTACAAACATCTGCATCAACTGTCTTTAAACACTTTAAAGAGAGCACTTTTAATTCAGTGCTCCCAGTCTGGAAATATATGTTTTTTTACAGGACTTGTTGGAATATAGATTAACTTATGATTTGAGTATGTATCTGTTGTCTGACTTTAATTTTTGTGTAGTATTCTCTTAGTCCCCAACCACAGCATCTTCTAAAAAACCTCATTGTCAGAGGAAAAAGTTGTTCCATTTAGCGAATTCCAAGACACATTGTACACACACACACACACACACACACACACACACACACACACACACACACACACACACACACGCCCAAACACTACTTTTCAGAATAAGTACAGTAACTGAGCAGGAATTTATCTTAGTGACACCAGTGGAAAACCGAAGCACATGTGGTTACAGCATGGCACAAAGACAACAGTATATCCATTTAAGGGCACAGTGAGGGTTTAAGCACAGTGAGGGTTTAAGCACAGCTCACGTTATACACAAATTCTGTCACTGTGTATCTAGTTGGAGGGATGAAGGGTATGTAGCCATAGCCTGAGAAAAAAAAAACATTGTTCTTGCCTGACTGTGTTGGCAGCCTTGAACTACACCAGGAGGACTTCCAGACTTAGAGTTAGTCACTCTGTCAACATGTTCAGTCACTCATTTGTTAGCGATTTAAACGTTTACTTGTTCAACTTGCCAAGTGCACACTGAGACGGAGAGAGATAATGGAATTGTTCAGTTTTTTTTCCCCCTGGTGGGATGTTATCATGTCCTCATGTCTCTGCACTAATGAAAAATGAAAAAAAAAAAAAACACACAGAAGAGACTGGCCTACTTACTCCTGCTTGAATTGCAACATTGAAATCACGAAAATGTTGCGGCAGTTTGAGAAAGTTTTGAAAATTAAAAATAGCACGTCTGAATCCTTTTTTTTTTTTTTTTTTTTCCCAGGTGCAAAGTTTCCAATAAAGTGGACTGCTCCTGAGGCCGCACTCTACGGGAAATTCACCATCAAGTCAGACGTGTGGTCGTTTGGCATCCTGCTGACAGAGCTGGTGACCAAGGGCAGAGTCCCCTATCCAGGTAAGTGTGTTCAGCTCTGTGGATGTAATCACCTCTGTTCCAGGTCATTGCTTGTATTTGATTAATGCAGAGTGTGTGAGAGCATTGGAGTCTGCTGAGACACTAGCCATGGTTCTGTATGCTAAAAAAAGAGCAGCATGTTGCATAATGTACATTAGATTGTGCATAATGCAGAGCAATGTTCCCAGACTACTGTGTGAACATGTGAAATGCATTCCTGTTCATTTGCATACACATTTTGACAGCATATTTTAGGCATTTAAATGAGTGAGCCATCCAAGTGTCCAGAGTGAGTTACAGAATAACAGAAAAGAAGAAAATGCTTAAGTTCTTGAACTAAATAAATGATTATAAATAAAATAGCAGGGGTGGAAAATAACAATTACCGGTAGTACCCTTATTGCTGTATTCGAGTAGTTTTACTTGCACTTATACTTGCACTGTTAAAAATCAGTGATTCAACTTTGCTTTAAAGGCCTTGCACACCCACGCAGCTGTTTCAATTACTCTGGCTGAATAAACCTCTAGTTAAGTGGAAGTTTGGTGAAGCTATGATGGCAAAATCCATGATTTTATCAAACTCTATGTACTACAAAATCACAATAACAGTGTAATTTGTTCCGCTTTAACAGTCACTGATCAGTCAAGCACACGCAATCCTGAGAGGAGCTCAGGCAACACAAATGAAAACACCTACCGTATAGCTGTGTAGGGGCTATAAGTAGAAGGGAAGTAATCCTTATACTCAACTAGGGCTGCAACCAACAACTATTTTCCTAATCGATTAATGTGCAGGTTATTTTTTCGTTTTGTCAATAAAATATCAGAAAATAGTGGGAAAATACCTCTTAAAATCAGATGTCTGAAGAAAGGCCAACATTTTGTCGTAATTGTAATATTAAGGATAGAAAATATCAGCATACATGTCAGCCATTAAACAAGTAATTCCAACTTGTGTTTGTTTTATGTTTCAGTAAAACATTTCAGACAGTATTTTGTGGTCAGATTTTTTTTAAACCCTCAAATATTGATCTTATCATTTAGTTGAGCTGTACTTCTAATTTGAGTCCAATCTGTCACTAAGCATGAAAGTTCAGTCTTTTTTTTTTTAGCTTACATTATTTGGGTTACATTCTGCATTCTGCTTCTTTTGTTTTCTTTGCTGCTAAATAATATTAAATGTCATAACATTGTTTCTGTGAATGTAGAAACCTTATATAGTTATAGAAACAAAACTGAATGAGCTCATGAAGGAGGCAGTCAAAATGAGACAGTGATGTGGGCTTACTATTGGGTTTTCAGCCACAGTTGCCTTCACTTCTCTGCGTTCCTCCCTCCAGGCATGAACAACCGTGAGGTGTTGGAGCAGGTGGAGCGAGGCTACCGGATGCCGTGCCCGCAGGACTGCCCCACGTCCCTGCACGAGCTCATGGTGCAGTGCTGGAAGAAAGACCCGGAGGAGAGGCCCACCTTTGAGTATCTGCAGGCCTTTTTGGAGGACTACTTCACTGCCACTGAGCCTCAGTACCAGCCGGGGGATAATCTCTGAGCACGCTGCCTTTCATCTCATGTCATTTCACTGGCATTCCACTAGAGGGAGCCAGACTCCACCTGTTCTCTCTCTCTTTCTCATCCTGTGGCTGTGACGATCTTAAAAGCTCATCGACTGACTTCTTGACTTCCAAGCTTCATACAAACAGGGACGGTGCAGCTCTGACAGGATACTGACTATCAAATCAATTCAAAGGATGGTTTGGAGGAGGGAGGGGGGCGCTGAGATGACTGAAGAGTTAAAAAAATGACTGCCAGGGATGAACGAGATGAGTTGTGTTGTGTAACTTGTACGTAGTGTAAATATAAATTGCTTGTTTACTTATCTCTGTTCTGTTTCATTTTATATTACTTTTGATATTTTGGAAATGTGTGGATTTTTTTTTTAATCCAAGGTCTAAGTAATTTCAGATTTACGGCTCGTAGAGAAACGTGTGAGGCTCACAGTTGGTAACAAATCGTGACATAATAATTGTAGGAATGGTAATAGTTAGACATCGTGGAGTATCTCGGAAGGTTTTTCTGGAAGTCCACTGACCTTTTTTACGAGGTTAATATAACAATACTGTTCTCCTCTTCTCAAGGAACTTAGATGTACTATAACACCTGTTCTTGCCTTTTCATGTTTAGTAATATTCTTATAATGTAAGGGAATGCCTTCATGCTTTCTACACACTAACTTAGTGCATCATGGACTCTTCCACCCAAACTTGTATGCCATCTGCACTAATATTAAGTGCATTCATCGCATTTCAGCTTCAGCCAATGATTTTTAGATCGGCTTAAAGTAACTTTTAGTTCCTGCTTCTTGTAGTTGAAAAGGAGGCTGACTTCCTCTCCAACTGCAACCATTGTTTGGCTGACTGCTTATTATACTGGCAATATTTTAAAATGTATGTTGCATTATTGTATGGCAGCAGGCTGTGTAAGAAATTCTGCATCGTCTTTTCGCTTCAGCAGCCAAACAAACAAACAAACTGCCACTCACATGATGGGAAATGAAGGATGCATACCTGTCTTTGTCCCTCCATAATGTGTTTCCGGGGAGATAACATGTTGTTTACGAGACCAAACATGTTTATTTCTTTGTATTATTTTGCTTAACATTTCAGCCAGTCTTATGTGACGTTAAGATTACATAATTATGTGATATTTCCAGGGAAAGCTGTAGCTCTGGATGACATTTTATCATCATGAGTATCCAACTTCTCTCTGTGGGGGAGAAGGTGCATTCCAGGACTAGACACCATTTCTATGTGTATTTAAGTTTCTTTCACGGGTGGAAAAGTGAGCAAAAAGTAGTTTTTGAATCACTTTGTTTTACCCTAATTCTGTAGATATACAGAAAATGTTTTTGGTCTCTGCATTATTTATTGTCTCTGTCTGTTACTTGTACACAACTGGTTTTGAAATAAACAATCTTGCCATCATCGTCCTGTGGACTTCCATACAATTGACACTGAACACACACATCAGTAACTTCTGGTGTGAGATCTTACCTGATTGTTAAATTCCTTCCTCCAGAAAACACACCAGGCTTCTTTTTTTCTAACACCAGGGGAAAACTGACATCGGAAATCAATCACTTAAAAGTGAATGGACTCTTAACCTTGGTGTTTGCGACAGTGACTCATTGTGGTTTTCCCTCAGGCTGAATTCAACACCAACATGACTGAACTCAGGATATATGCAAATCACATAGTTGGTCCCCGCGGCGCCGTATAGGAAGAAAAAGTTAGGACAATTCCAAGGGTCCATGACTGACAGTGGCCCCAAAAAATAGGTAAAAACTAATATAATACAATTAATGATCTCTTTGTTTTTACTTGTTTTTGGCAGTAAAAGTTAAATATCCCCACTGACCAAAAAGTAAACATCCATATTGACCGACCACCCCCATGTATCTGCATGAAATGGTTTGGTCCTGCACTTTTCAGTGACGGTGTTAATTGCAGTCAGTAGATGTGCCAGAACTACAGTGATCACAATGTTAACTAGTAAATCAAAATCTGGTTTTCAAAAAAGGAAAGAGAGAAAAGAGAGAGAGGAAAGACAAAGGAAAGGATGTCAAACTGTAACCCAGTTTTTCACCAAGAAAGGTGGTAGCCTATAGTCTGTGAGTGGTATTAACCTGTTGGCTTAATGTCCATAGTGAAATAAGATATCTAGCTACAGACTAGTGTCAGCCTACATTTAATCACCATTTAATCAGTTCAGGGAAACGTTTAGCAAGATATTCATATTAAATCATTGTCCCTGCCCCTTTTAGCAGACTTAACAACAGATGAGTCAGCAGCACCCCAGTCTCCCCATAACTGTACCCCTCCTTGTCCCAGTGAAGAAGGTGAGCAACATTGTGTTCAATGACAGTTAGCATCATTGCAGGGAGTCTGTGGGGATTTCTGTCTCTCTTGCTCTTTTTACCATTACAAAAAAGAAAATGAAATATTTATTAATGACAGAAATTCAAACACATTAATAACAATTATTTTCTCACATAATGATCATTATGAAATGAAATAAAAAAAACAACCTACTGTCTGTACTGGATGCTGGACAGTTGGAAACAGTGAGTAGTTTACCTGAGCCTGCATGTAAGATACAGACAATATTAAAATAATCCAGTTTGATACGTTCATTTAGATTGAATTATGGAATGACATATTGGCAATAATAATATAATGACAATAATAATTTATAATTATAATTAATAATTAATTTCATTAAGAGAATTTTCCATTTTGAATAAAAATACATTGAGACTGTAAAAGATGGCCTTTAGCACATTTTTTATGGTTGCTCTTAATCTTGCATCAAATAGTGAACTGCATACTGTATGCAGACTTGCATGCATGTACAAATCACCAGCAGTAAATATTGTGCCAGTGCTAGTATTGAGCTACAAGAAGCAAGACAGTTGCAAGCCTTTAATTAGAGTTATGTAAAGCTTTTGATGGGACAGTCAGGTCCTAGAGATGTGGTGACAACAGCTGCGCAGAGGGGGCCCAATTTGATTTTCTTTGTCATGGGGCCCAAAATTCCTGGCGATGCTCCTGGTTGGTCTGCCCGGAAACTGGAGAGCAGTTAACTGCAAACAGGTGAAGCAATGATTATTTAATAACTGTTTAACTGTTTAACCCAACAACTGTTTCATTGTGGTTTGAGCTTTTGTAATTGTTGCAGATTTCTGTTCTGGAATTTTGTTTCAATACAGCTCTCTTAACCATATGAGAGCTTTATTGAATTATAGCTCCCATCTCATTGTTACTCCAATGATTGAATAATAGTCCTTCATTAATCATTTAAACAAAACTCTTTTTGATCAGTAAATTCCTTAGACTAAGACTCTAACCTTCCTGGCTGATCTGGCTGAGCAACATAAACATAGATTCTTGGCTCTGATTGGACGCAGCTGAAGGAGCTAAGAATTTGCATATAGCAGGCTGTAACACACACAAGCCTCTGCCCCCACAGGAGTTTAAAGAATCCAGCAGAGAACAGGTAAGTCATTGTTACTCTTTCTTTTTATGCTGAGTCCTCTTAGCCTGGTATGTATGTTTTTATATCTATCTATCTATCTATCTATCTATCTATCTATCTATCTATCTATCTATCTATCTATCTATCTATCTATCTATCTACAAAAAACATTTTTTCAATAATATTTTAAATTAGAGAATAATCCATTTAGATTGTGCATGAAAATGTCTTTCTGACCACTTGAAAAAGAAGGTAGGTAACATTTTTTTCTGCTTTGTCTGTTACTTGCAGGACTACAGGCTTACACTGGAGCAATCTGAGATGAATAGATGGATTAAGATGGATAAATCTAAAGTACCAGAACTCAAAGTATTTTCCAACACAAATAAATCAGAAAATTTTCATCGACTTCTGAGCCCTGAAGTCACGGAAAACCAAATATTTCATGCTAATCCACAGCGTGCTACATTCATACCAAGCTGTTGCATGGGTGCAGATTATTTCTGCCAAAAAAGCTCATGTAGAGTTGGCCAAGTGAATCAAGAGTTTAGTCAGCCTGCTCCTGCTGCGCAGCGTACAGACCTGATGCAGCACAGAGAGCCAGAAGGTAGAGGATCGACTCCTGCCAGGATGACTCTCCATCATCGACCACCTGATGCCTGTTGCCCTCGTCCTGCAGAAACCAGGGAGGGTGACAAGAGAGGAGAGTTCTGTTTATGTGACTATGGACCAAACCAGTGTGGAACAACAGGGCCTGCAAACAGAAGTGTAACTAGGTTAGGAATACAACCAAAGAATTGAGTAAAATTTGTATTTGCTTTAATGTTTATATGGGGTAAAATCTATTTTCTTATATTCAGGGGGGAGGATGAATACAATTCTCAGCTTCAGAGTGATGAGGAGGATCTTGAGCTTCCTTTGCCACTAAGATCTGATGATGAGTTGCAGCACTACAATCCCTTTGTACCTCCTTACCAGTACATGCACCACAATGGTAAGGGAAGTATATTTAATTAAAAAAGATGATGCCATTAGCAAATGAAGAATTATTCTTCAATTCATTAGTGAAGTATAAGCAACACAACAGTGTCAAAAAAGTAAGTATTCAATTAGTGAATTCAAAATCCTACACATATTCTTGTATTATCTGCAAAATGTACTTACAGTATTAAAAGTAAATGTAGTCCTATCAGAATTGCATTAATGTATATTTTGGATTATTATTATTACTGATTTAAAAGAACTTAATATTTTGTATTTTGATGTATAACAATGGATCAGATATTTTGTCTGTAAAATCTGAATACCTTTAGATGAGTTAAACATATAATATTTCTCTCTATACTAATGGCGTAATAGAAAATGGGAATAATTCAAGTACATAAAACTGTACAATAAAAACTGTATTTTTATTATTATGTAAATTTTATTTGGCTGATCAGTAGAGTCCATATGTGCTGGCAACCTCCTCCCCTCTATCTGGTGGCTTTTCTGCACTTTCTGCCTTGGTACTCTGAACAGATTTGCTGTCACACAGAAATGTTTAAACTATATCCACAGACCCTCATCATACAATGGATGTAAGGTATTATCACTCTGCAGGAGAAGGCCATTACAACTTCAATCCAGTTAACAGATACCCACCTCAGCCAAGTTACCACTCGGCTCCCTACCAGCACAAAGAACCCTGGGATGACCCTCAAAACTGGTAAAAAAAAACCAAAACTAACAACAAACAGTAACCTGAAGCAGTAGTCACTCACTGTTAATGTTTATGAAAAATGCAGTGAGCCAGGGGCTACAACAGTCTGTACTTTGCATATTACACATACCCATCACATGTCAGCACTGTTAAGCAGACAATCCTTTGTTTGTTTTCTCTCTGCTTCAGGCTGCAACGTTATGATAACTTTATGAATGACGTCATGGCTCAGGGAAGTGTCTCAGTAAACGTGCCTCAGTTCTCAGTCCCCCCTGTGCAGGGCGTGGCACAGGTCAGCGTGATGAGCCCGAACTCATCCGGAGCAGAGGCGTCCGTCTCACATCCACATGAGAAAAGAAGAACAATCAGTCTGCCCGATGTGTGCCGTGAGTCACTTTATCCTCTCATTTTAAAAGGAAGGTACATATGTTTTTATAGTGTGGTTTATTTTGGCAGCTCAATTAATGTTTGGGAAAAATAATTGCTGTGAGAACAAGAGGTAATTGTGTAAGGCAATTAGGATTAATTATAGGCCATCAGCCTTTAATTTTGCAGTGTTGATTCAATTTTAGGGTTATTTGTGAGGCTGTTATGTGGTGTTGTATTGGACTGCAGAAATTGTAATGTGTTTCTTGTACAGTAAATTGGTACATGGACAAAATATTGGAAAACCTTTATTTAAATTAAATACACTCCATACTACCACAAAGGACACATATCAGTAAAGTCTCAATTAAAACATCAGGACAGGTCAATACAGGTGTTTCTATTTTTCTCTTTCAGTGTAATTTACTTATGTAAAATGGAACCAGCTACAAAAGGAAAACATCTGAGATTAATTTTAATGTTATGATCTCTTCTCTTCTCAGGAAACGTTTTTATAACTTATTCTTTGGACGTTTCTTCAGAGATAGTCCCTTTTGTAGACTTCCTCACAAAGCAAGGTTTTCGAGCAGCCGTAAGCTACATCCTCCTCACTCAAAAGAGAGATATTTTTAAAAAAAAAACATCACATTTGACTTACTTACATCCCTGAATTTAATTTCACAGGTTGACATATATGACAACACCATCAGGCGCATGGATATCAACAAGTGGAAGGACAGTTACCTGAAAGATGTAATTTTGCTATTGTTATATTATCAAATTATATTATTGACTTAGAAAAAAAATCAGAATAAATTTAATAGTAGTTTAATGAATATTCCATATTGAATGCTTTGTATCACACTTTTGTATTGCAGTTGTCTTTCCAGGCAGTAAAGGTGTCTAAAACATATTTTTTCTAACAGCCTTTAACCCTGATCATCATCGCCGTCAGTCCAAAGTATAAAGCTGACATTGAAGGATCTGTTGTGGATAGCCATGGTCTACACACTAAATATATTCACTCCATGGTGAGAATGTATCTGCTCTTTTAGTTTAAATTAGACATAATTCTGAGTGGACTAACAGGTACTTACATTTTAAATCAAACTTTTCCAGATTCAGAATGAATTCATTGAGCAAGGCAGCTTGAATTTCAGATTCATACCAGTTCTCTTCCTCAGTGCATCCCAGGTCAGAAAGAATTTTTGTTTAATAATTAAAAGCATTTTTTTACTCTGAGGTTTTGCAGTTACTCATATTTTTTGTACTCTTTTCTCATTTCCCAACCTTTCTCTTCTGCAAAAAAAAAACCATGTATATGCAGAAACACGTCCCAAGTTGGCTTCAGAACACACGTGTCTATCGCTGGCCACAGGACACTGAGGATTTATTACTGCGGCTGCTCAGGGAGGAGAGATACGTTCCTCCTCCTGTACCTATGGAGCTCACCCTCATTATCAGGCCTGTGGCCCCCAGCTCTGCAACTACACTGTGAAGACACACCTGTATTCATGCTTGTGCATGTTTTTAATGATTTGTGCAGCTTGTGTATTTTAAAATCTCAGAATGTATCCAGTCTAAGTCATAAGTCAGCTCATTATCTAAGATGTTTCATTCTGTGAAAGAACAGTTGTTTGTTTGTCAGATATTTCAATAAAGTCATATTCAAGCTATGCAGTGTCCGTCTCTTGGTCAGTCCACCACTTCGACATCGAGACTGAAATATCGACTACTGGATGAATGAAATTTTGTAAAACCATTCCCCAGAGAATGAATTCTAATGACTTTGATGACCTTTTCATCAGGTTGACATTTGTGGTTTTAACATGAAATATGGTAGCCTACAGTCATTCATGTCTCCCTCAGGATGAATTGAAATCACTTTGTGATCCCTTAACCTTTTAACTAGTGCCATAATCCAAAAAGTAGGTTCTACTTTGATTTAAACTGACATTCTCATTACTTTCCCATGTACTAACATGCTAAAGTAAGATGGTGAACATGTTAAGCATCATATCTGTTCAGCAAGTGAACATTGTCATTGTGAGCATGTTAGAATGCCGTTGTTAGCATTTAGCTCAAAGCACCAGCCTCACAGAACAGCTAGCGTGTCTATAGACTCTTTTTTTAATGCTTTCTAGGGAAAATATGACTATGAATATAGCTGTCACAAATAGGCCCTACACATGCTGGATATTTTTTTTTTTTTTGTTCCTTGGTGAAGTTGTTTATTATTTTGGAAACATGTTTATTTTGAAGCTGCAACCTAAAACCAAATGTGAGAACGTAAAAAGAAAGTGATGAGTAATAAACAAAATAAACCACAGCACCAGCGAGGTTGCTTGAGCTGATGGATAGTGAACCTTTTTAAGGACTGTTTCCATCTGTGTTGTTGTCCATTCCTCATCTTGGGCACCTGATTTGTTCCAGTTTAGTGGGCAGATTACCCCACCAGTAGGGGTGCCCAGCTCAGCCAACTGATCTTGCAGACATCCCTTCGACCGCCAAAAAAGGCCTGCCAGAGCAGCTGGTGTGCAGAGCTCCAGCTAAGAATAACCCAGACCTTCTGGGGGATAAAGTTACCTTGAAGCCACCCTGTGCTGTGCTCTGACCTATACCCATGTGAGGCACCAATAACACTGGGTGGGATATTCTGTCAGTTTCCCCTCACCCTACCCAGCCCTGTGCTTAGCTTGGCTCTTTGCTTCCCCTGCGTCGCTTTGCTCTGCCCAACCATCCCTAGACCCCCCTCTGCAATGCTGCCACACCGGCAGCTCCAAATTCCCCAACCCCGGTAAAACTTACAGTTTATCTTCAATTTTCTATTTTTCTTAATTTTTCTTTTAATCTTGGAGAAGTTCAACCTGTGGATTACATGGTTCAGGAAACAAGACTGTGATCACCAAGTGGAAATGGAATAATTGAATAACTGGGACATTTTTTTTACTGAGAAGTGGATGCTGATTGGATTCATACTGAAGCTGTGATTTTCCATTCACTTCTGCATGAGGAGGCTTTGCCCCCAATTTAAAGGATAATACCTGAAATTGTCTCCATATCACCATGGCTGAAGGTAGGACTGTTACACCTGCATCAGCACTGAAATTAACAACTCTGCTGCTTGTTACAATATAAAAAAGCCTAAGTAATATATGTAAGAAATAAATGGCAATGTTTTGATAGGGTGTGTCCTCCTAGGAAAATGTGTTGAAAGTTGGTTGCTATAAATACAGGATATCATGTAGCCAGAGTATTAGTATTGCTCTCCTGTGACAGACATGGCTGCTGCTGGGGCTGACCTCTGGTTTTCCAACAACACTCTATCTTTGACATATAGGAATAAGCTTATGTGACCTGGTCAAATTAGTGGTATATGACAAGCAAATCGTTTGTTTCATGAACCTTAAGGCCTTAAACGAGTTAAGCAATAACAGGCAGTTTTCCTGTATATTCAGTATAAATTTGTGTTGAAATACTGACACCACTTGTCTATCCGGAATAATTCCGCTGACTGAAGGGACCGTTTTAAATTTTCATAACCCAGCATTTGTATATGAGGAAGTGAATCATGAGTCAGGCATGCTCAAAGCTCATTCACAGTTAGAAGGTGTCGCTAACACCTTGACACCCGTTTCAAGTACATCAGAGTTGCTACACATACACTCCACTGTTAGTGGATGATGGCGATGATATGGTATTAAATGTCACAAGAATTTTCCACTGTACTAAACCAGTGGGAATCATGTGCATATATGTCTGGATTACCGATCTGATGAAATGAGAATGACAGATGATTCCTGCAATTTCTGATCTTTAATCGGACAAGATGTTACCAACTGAAATCTCAGATAAATGTATTTTGATCAGGACACAACACTCTTAAAGGTTTTATATATATATACGAAATTTACTACTGCTAAATGTTACACCAGAACATAACATCACAGACCAAAACATTTGGGCGCTACGGTCTACCAGACTCCATTGACAAAACAATTTTACAGACCATCATAACATCAGGACTTCATTCAGACTGGACAGAAACTCCGTCTTTGTTAGTCTTTATTAATCACCAACTGGTTTGGTTGAAATAACTCCTTAATTCACAGATGTAGATGAGAAAAAAGACCATTTCAGTCACTCTCCTTAGTTGCACACTGAAGAACTTACATGCATTAACATACATGCACAGCCAGACTGGAGAAGTAAACAAGGCACAGACAAACTGGGATAGCAACACAGGCGGAGGGAGGTTGACGTGATCATATGTTCACTCCACCATATCTTTCCATTGCAAATCTTTTTTTGCTGCTATATATAAATGATATATATATATATATATATATATACATATATGTATACGTATATACACACATGTACGCTAAGTGGAAAGAGGGAGGCCGATGACTAGTGAGCATCAAGGCCACTACCCAGGATGAAACATCAAAAATCCAAGAGTACATCAGAAAAATGGCCACAAATTATGAACTGCTAAGTGAATGTCTCAGGCAACAGAAACCCGATAAGAGTGCGGAGGAGCAGACAACCTGGAGGGACAAGCCCCTACATGGCATGTACCACCGCCAAATTGAAGAAGTGGCTGATATCGAGAAGACCTACCAATGGCTGGAAAAGGCTGGACTCAGAGACAGCACAGAGGCACTGATCATGGCAGCACAAGAACAAGCCCTAGGTACAAGAGCCATAGAGGCCAAGATCTACAAGAGTAGATCTGACCCAAGGTGCAGACTATGCAAAGATGACCCTGAGACAGTCCATCACATAGTAGCAGGGTGTAAGATGCTAGCTGGTTCAGCGTACATGGAGAGACACAACCAAGTGGCTGGAATAGTGTACAGGAACATCTGTACCCAGTATGGAATAGAAGTACCCAAATCCCAATGGGCCGCACCACAGAAGGTGGCTGAGAACAACAGGGCCAAGGTGCTATGGGACTTCAGATTCCAGACTGACAAACAGGTCCTGGCCAACCAACCGGACATAGTGGTGGTAGACAAGGAGCAGAAGAAAGCGGTGGTGAAAGATGTGGCCATACCAGCAGACGCCAACATCAGAAAGAAAGAACACGAAAAGGTTGAAAATTACCAAGGGTTGAAAGAACAGCTGGAGCAGATGTGAAAGGTCAAGGCGAGCGTGATCCCCGTGGTAGTAGGAGCACTTGGGGCAGTGACTCCCAAACTGGGGGAGTGGCTCCAACAGATCCCAGGAACAACATCAGAAACCTCAGTCCAGAAGAGCGCAGTCCTAGGAACAGCTAAGATACTGTGCAGAACCCTCAAACTCCCAGGCCTCTGGTAGAGGACCCGAGCTTGAGGATGACACACAGATACCACCCCAAGAGGGTGAAAGGGAAGTTTTAAATATATAAAACCTTTAATCAGTTCTCTAAATCTAATTCACATAATCCCTCTGCACCAGGAAGTGAGTTTACATATTGATGCAACACACAGACAGAGGTTATCATCTCATAAATGTCAGACACACCGTCTCCACCGTATAAAGTTTAAATCCTTTGATCACAAAGGAAATATTCGTCACCTGTCATGTTTAAGCTGCAGTGTGTATGATGATGATGAGACTGAAACTAATAATAGAACTGTACATTTTTGAGTTTTTTTCAAGATGGTTATAAATCATTGGTTATCAATTACTAAACCACATCCTCAATGAAATGCCCTGAAAACATATTTTCTCCATAGACTTTTTACTGTGAGCAATGTGGTCTGATGTGAACACACAATTTTCTGTTGTTGGAATAGTTTTGTTTTTTGTTTTTTCACACGAGAGATTTTTCTTTTTGTCCTTGTTTTTCACTGATTTATTTCACTATTATGATTATTAAAGAATTGTGACCAAGATATGTACTGAATATGACATTTTACTGTTAAAAAATAAATATGTCTCTGGCAGACAAATATTTAAATTTGACGCATATCTATGATTCACGGTGCCCCGGTTTGATTCCAGCTCGTGGCCCTTTGCTGCATATTGTTCTCTCTCCCTCTCTTAAGCTGTTGATATCCAATAAATGATAAAAAGTTAATAGTTAAAATAATTGGTATTTATGTGCCATATATTGTCCCTGCTGATTTATAGGTTTAGCTTTAGTATTTACGTATGTGCTTTGAATGTGAAGCTACGGTGTTATATATAGTAATTTCACATTAATAAGTAAAAGGACAAACCAAACATCTTCAGTGAAGCAGAAAGTTAAACCAAGCAGCAAAGGTTTGATCAGAACAGGAAAGTTTTGTTGAGTTCTTCGAGTGACTTTAGTATCTTTTTGCTTTTCCACATAAAGGAGCCTCCTCCGCAGCCACTAGGTCCAGTGGAGCAGCACCACAGACGGGGTCTCTCGGGTCCAAAGGTCTAGGGCTCCTCGGGAAGCTGAAAATGTCTGCGGAGCTGCTGATTGCCCTGGCTGCTCTCCTGTCCTGGGTGGTGGTGGGAGTGGTGATGTTTGATTTTGTGGAGTACAAAGCAGTCCCTGGTAGGTCACAAATACCTAAAAATGTATCTTTTTAGAACTTCAATCATCAGACATGCATAATTACCAGTATGTCTGTTATTATCCTCAGACATTGAGCAAATCATCACGGACCCTGTTCAAGCTGTAAATGACGCTGTTGATGAAGTATCCAGTCTGCTCAATAAATTTCAAGGTACATAAGAGATACAATCTCGTGCAAGCCACATGTTTTTAGTCATGTTGAAGCAAGTATTGTAATATTTGACTCTTATTTCTGGGCCCCTAGAATGTGCACCTGATTTAAGTGACCCCACGTCTGCTGTTACTTACGCTGCTGAGGAAATATCGGAAGCAAAAGATGGATTTGTTCGCTATTTTTCAGATGAGGAAGGTATGAAAACACACTCATACTCAACCAGGACAAAGGTTTAAACATACATGTGATATAACTGTGACTAACAATCTCTCTCCAAAACCCCAGGGAACTTCTACCTCAGCTATGTTGACCCTGTGGTCATCGGTAGACAAGCTTTCCACTCAACTAATGATTTCATGAGTGGCGTTGTGGGCTCCTTCAGGGATACGCTGTGTGCTATTATGGATACTGTTTTGGACACTATATTGGATATAAATACAGGTATGTATTCCTTATTTTAATACCAATTTCTGACTAAGGAAATTAATTTAATTTAAAGAAGACTAATTGTTTGATTAATTCAAGTAAAACTGTGCTGCTTATAACAATTCTCACCTAGTTTGATTATTAATAAATTAATTCTTCCCTTACATATGTCTTTGGTTTTCTCAGGAAAAACTGACCTTAGCTATATTGACCCTGTGGTCATAGGCAGAGGTGTCTTCAGTGTTATTAATGAGCTTATGTGTGGAGTATTGGGCTACATCTGGGATGTGCTCTGTGCCATCCTGGACACTATTCTGGATGTAGTGAAAGGTATTTACTCTACTCATATAACAACTCTTTAATGTGTAACCTCTTAACAGCTTAAAAGGACTATTGAACACAGCATACAGTATTGATTTTACATATTTGTCCTTTATACTTGTTTGTTTTTCTCAGGAACCACAGATATTAGCTTCATGGACCCTGTGGTAATTGGCAGAGATGCCTTCAGTGTTACTGATGACACTGTGAGTGGAGTAGTGGGATACATCCAGGACGTGCTCTGTGCCATCTTGGACAAAATACTGGACATAACGAAAGGTACCTGCTTATTTTTTTAACCTTTGTATTATTTGTGGTGCAATATTGACATATAATGTGGATCCTTATTTGTTGCCTAAATTCACCACTAAATCAACATTATTGCTCAATAACTGTTGCTGTTTTTGTAGTGAAAATTATTCATTAGTATTTAACTCTGATTTCAACTGTCTGTATAACAAAAATGATTGATTTCTGTTTTGTTGGATGAAGTAACTCACTGGAGCTTTGGCCTGAATGTATGTTGTTCTTCTCAGGAAACACTGATGTTAGCTTCATTGACCCTGTGGATGTTGGCAGAAATGTCTTCAGTGTTACTAATGACTTTGTGAGTGGAATAGCAGCATACATCCAGGGTATGCTCTGTGCAATCATGGATGTAATACTGGACACAGCACAAGGTATGGTATCTGTCATGGCTTTTAACCTTCACCTGTGTGTGCCTAAACTAAACTGAAGCCTGCAAACTGCAGTTTTCATTTCGACTTTTCTGTTGATTAGGCATCCAGGATGCTGTGGGATTCAGCCCAATGTCAGCTCTGAAGGGAACAGCAGAAATCATCACAGAACAGATAAACATGCTCGTGAGCTACGTCTCCGCAATGCTGGTCAGCGAACAAGGTCTGCTTTTACATATGATGACAGATAATTTACATATCAGCTACATCACTGTTGCTGGTGTCACTGTGTTTATATTTGAGATTAATAAGTGATTACCTATACTTGTCTCTGAACTAAGAGATGTTAATGCAAGAAACACTAAACAATCTGAAGTTGTGTTTTGTACAGTAGCTTTACCTCACTTTCTGGTGTGCTGATGTTTCAGGGATCATGCCTGAAGTTTCCCTTGACCCCATGAAAGTTGTGGAAGATGCCGTGTTGGAGTTCACAGACAAGAAAGATTTGTTCTTGGCTTACATGTCAAGCATGGTTGTTGGTGAACAAGGTATGCTTGCTTCAGTACTATTGATTGGGAAACATAAAAATCCATAAAATATACTGATAACGGGGATTATTTTACCATATTTTCTTCTCTTGCTTTAGGTGAACCTGTGGCCACACCGGTTGTAAATGTAGTAACTGAAAAAGGTTCCACTTTTTATTACAGTTTTAATACACGTAAAAAGCATCTTACTAGCCTATGGCTGCAAATTACAACGTGTCTTTTTGTTCTTTTTGTTTAGATGAAACTGTAGGTCCTCCGTCTGATATACATTTAGTACAAAGGAAAGGTAAGTAATGACAATATTTTAATATTTTTTCATGCTGTAACATATATTCTTAAAGAATAGTAATATACAATAATAATTGTCTTTCATTATCTTCTATGAAATGTAGGTGAATTTCTGCCACCTTTTGAAAAAGGTAAGAAAATACCACCATATATTGCAATACGCTATAACGTTTATTTTGGACAGGTGCGATGTGTGTTGCCAGCAAATAGTGGCCTTACATGCATGTTTGCATTGATTTTTGTTTTTCTGACCACTTTGTATGAACTGGTATCAAGTCTGCCTCATGTCATGTTCAGTGTAATACAGCAAGCCTGAAGTACGATGAAACTGTCAGTTTTGTTTGAATAAACTCCATTTTGCACTCATTACGGACTACGGCATGAACAAATATGCATCATAACCACTGTATACTTTTACTGTAATAAATGTCTATATGATGTGGTGACTGCATTTCTTCCTCTGTTTGTCATACTGACCGTTTGTTGGATGTAACATGTTATTAAACTCTGCATTCAAGTTGGTTTTGTTCCAGTCAGCATAAATTCTTACAATATATTGAGCATGAAAAATCATCTTTAATATGTGTCCTTCAGAGTTGCATTCCTCTGTTGACTTCTCCTGCATTGTCCAAACATCTTCTGTACAACTGACTGACTGACCAGCTGCCACTTGTATTTCAACAATTTAAACATCTATGATATCTGGATTGTTCATACTGGATGATGTGTGTTTTTGTGTGGAATATTTAATTTTTATCTTTGCATGGAATCACACACCACATGTTTCAATGGTTAGCCTTCAGAATAGTATTTATTGCAATATTATTTATTAATGGCTGTACCAATTTTGGATAGTAATATTTGGGGAATTGATGATGAGATGAAAACAATGCAATTAAAGGATAAGTCTGGGGATAGTCTATATTTTTCTTCTCAACAAATCACATGAAAAGACTAAAACTAACAATTCATTGATTGATAGGCTTTTTGAGGTGTTTGAACTGATTGTCTTAGACAGTTAGCATTTTTCTGTATTTTGAGCTCCTCATCATCTGGGACATCAGCAATTATTGGCTACTTGACAGATGATTGAGTTGTGTGTTTCTGCAGTTAATGCCCTGAGATGATGATTTTGATGATTTTTAATTCATTTTCACTCATCAGGAATTCATTTCCTCTGTGACAGTAAGATTAGTCCACCGGCTGTCACAAATTGCCACAGAATGAACTGGGCTTCCTAAATACTTTTATGGCGGACTAACTCTAATTAGTCACACTATAAACAAACATACAACATACAACATACAACAACATTACGGCTATAATCAACCCATAATGTGAGACAATGCAGTATTTACTTTTCTTTTAAGTAAAGTTTGCTAAGAAGTACCCAGCTGTTTCAGGAGGTTACTGAAAATTAAACTATATTCTAGTTTTGTGTGTAGCAGGAAGGAACTTTAAATGTTAATTTCTTTCTTGTTTGTATTATAATAAATAAATGTATCTGTGGCACATTTTTAAAGATTTACTTAAGTAGAAATAATGGGCTTGGGGATACGTCGTAAAGTATTGAGAGACGAACTGCTGCATTGTTGGTTTTGGTCATTTCCTTTGATTTGTTGACAGTAAGATTAATTTTAATGATAAAGCAAAATGGGGAAATGAATGCATTCAGCATGTGGTGTGTGCTATATATTGTTATAAATGGTCATTGTCATTGTTCCCATTTCACCCCATCACTCTGTACCTTAAAACAAGATTGGAGCTGCATTTCTGTGTAAAAAGCCAAAGCTGTGAAGGTCAGATAAGACAGGTCACATGAGTTGATGATACAGTTACAGAAATTATGAACGCTGCCAAAGACGAAGCTGCTCCTGCTGCAGAGTTAAGTGAGGCCCCAGACTCAAAGGAGGAGGAAGTTCCCACTGAAGCTGCCAGTAAAGCAGATGAGGCAGAGGAAGATGATGGTATTAACACAATTTTTATTTAATAGTCACATTCATTAGTCAGATTGAAGATACAGTAAGAGGCACTAAACTTTTTACTATCACATCACTAGTGAAACATGTTGACCTTGTTGAAGAAACAGAGCATGAACCATCAATGGAGGATGAGGGAACCCTCGACGATGACAGCAAGGAGGAACACAAAAAGGAAGAGGCAGAAGACGTTACTGAAGAAGAGGAGAAGGAGGGAGAGGAGAAAGAAGATGAGGAAGGTGATGGTACAGAAGACGAGGAGGAATTAAAAACAGACGATGATGAAGAACAAGAAGAGGGAGATATTAAAATACAGGAGGTTGAGGTAGAAGAAGAGGAGGAAAAGGAGGAAAAGGAGACCAAAGCTGAAGAAGTTTTTGTAGAGGAGGAAGAGGAGGAGGAGGAGGAGGAAACAAAATCAAGAGAGGAGGTGGTAGAAGATGAGGTGGAGGAGGAGGAAGAGGGGGAGGAGGAGGAGACCAAAACAGAAGATTTGGTAGATGAGAAGGAGGAGGAGAAGACAAAAACTGGGGAAATTTTTGTAGAGGAGGAAGACGAGGAGGAGGAGGAGAAGGAGGAGGAGGAGGAGGAAACAAAATCAGGAGAGGAGGTGGTAGAAGATGAGGAGGAGGAGGAGGAGGAGGAGGAGACCAAAACAACAGATTTGGTAAATGAGAAGGAGGAGGAGGAGACAAAAACTGGAGAAGTTTTTGTAGAAGAGGAGAAGGAGGAGGAGGAGGAGGAGGAGGAGGAGGAAACAAAATCAGGAGAGGAGGTGGTAGAAGATGAGGAGGAGGAGGGAGAAGGAGGAGGAGGAGGAGGAGAAGGAGGAGGAGGAGGAGGAGACCAAAACAACAGATTTGGTAGATGAGAAGGAGGAGGAGGAGACAAAAACTGGAGAAGTTTTTGTAGAAGAAGAGGAGGAGGAGGAGGAGGAGGAGGAGACTAAAACTAAAGAAGATGTAGTAGAAGATGAGGAGGAGAAGGGGGAGACAAAAACTGAGGAGGAGGAGGAGGAGGCTGATGAAGAGGAGACCAAACACAAAGATCTTCATGTTGATGAAGAAAACATTGAAATAACTGACACTGATGTCAAAGATGATTTTGTAAAAGCTGACCAGGATGATCAAGCTTTAGACCTGGCTGATGATAAAGCTTTAGAGGAGAAGGAGGAGGAGGAGGAGGAGGAGGAGGAGAAGGAGGAGGAAGAGGAAAAAAAGGACGAAGTGAAGATTGAGGTGGTGATTGATGAAGATGAAGAAAAGGAGCCATTTGTCCAACAACTTGATCTAAAAATCCCGTCAGCTGAGAAATTTGATAATGCCAGTGTAGCACCTGAATCTAAGGAGGAGGAGGAGGAGGAGGAGGAAGAGGAAGAAGAAGAAACTGCTGTTCACGACCAAGATGAATACTCCGACATCATTGACGATCTTGATGAAAACAACAACAACAGCGAAAGTGGGAAAATCGAACTTAAGCGAAAGAGGAAGGTTCATGTTCCCTTTGAGAGGCTCAGAAGAGTCGGATCCAGAGTTGAGCACAAGCGTGAGAAAGGTACAATACTCTTACCATTATCATCATCATATTTTTCTGTATTTTTTCATTATCAGGTAATGAAAATGTTTCTGAATGGTGAGTTAATATTGATAAATGCAATATGGAATGACTGTGAATGTGTGAAAATGTATTATCTATCGTCTTTCTCCTAGCATGTTTTCAAAGGACAGTGAATTAAGGCCTAACATACAGAACATGAGTATGAGTATCAGTGATGTATCATGGTTCATGTTTTCATTTCATTACTTTTTGTTCACATTGTTTGTTTGTTCATTTGTTTTGTGTTAACCATCAAACAAAGCATCAAGGTTTCATTACAGATTTTAATATTTTAGGAAGTACTCTTATTTGGTGTTCTGCCCGGAATAAGAGGAGAAGGCTGATTAATCTCTATGTGTCCAGTAAAGACTATCATCACAAATGATGAGGCTTAGATTCAGTGTGACTTATACTTGCAGAAGATGGTGATCTCCCATGTCCATCGTGAATTAATGTCCTTAAACATGCTTGGAAATAAATAAAAAAAGACATTCCTTATATTTCACAACTTTCCTGGGATTCATCACGTCTACGAGTTTTCTTCAGTATCAAAAGTAATCCAGTGATAGTTGTCTGTGCACCCATAAGCACATTGGTAATAGCTCATTTGGCCAACTTGTAATAGCACAATTTTATCAAAGACACACCAGTGAAAATACTGGGGCTCAAGGTGTAGCCCACAGCTAACTCACTGACTCCAAGGCTCTTTACGTCCACCAACGAATCATGCGAATTAAGTTAAAACTTGCAGCATGATTATCCACCTAATGTAACACAAGGATTAAAACAGAATCCATAAATGTTTTGAGTTGCACCATCAATATTTTTTGACAGTATGTTTTGACCATCAACATGGTTCTTATATCCCTGGAACACTATCACTTTCCTTTATTAATTCATATGCAGCTACATATGTCCTGTCCTTAAAACCAAACATTGATCTTCTCATCTGACTACATGAAGATGGGCATGTTTCCTAAAACGTTGAAAAGCAAATAAAAATGGACAGAACAAGGTTCAGTTTTATTTAGGTTAGAAACTTATCCTGATTTAAGTGTGAATAGCTTTGTGGAAAGAGGATCTTGGAACTAATATAGTATAGCAGCGCCTGTTAATTCCAGGTCCTTCTACTGTGCTACTTTTTGATGACTCAGAAGACAAATCTAATTACTAAGGTGCTAATTGTGTAGTCGACATAAGTGTTCCTGCTTTACAGCGAACAGTCATTGCTTTGGGTGGCAGTGAGCCAAGGGCAGCTAGATGGAGCTAACAGGCTGAGAAAAGCAATTTTAAATGAGGACATGAAACAACATTCTGAACTACTGATCCTCCCTCTACAGTTAATTATGTATAGGCCTAATTGAAAATTGATCACTTAATAACTAGATATTATTACTTTCTGTACATCTTTTCAGCCTACTTCTTAAACTTAGGTATGATTGTTTTAACAATGCAACATAATGGCTTTTGGTGCATTTTTGATCATAGTGTTTTTAGCGCTGTAGTGCTTATAGTGCTTATGCAAGCATAATTATTTATCATGATGACTATATTACAGGTCTGGTCAATGGTTACAATTGCACTGTTATGTACTGTATATTTTTATATATTCTTGTCTGATATGCTTTAGTTCTCAAAGAGGCAAAGGAAAGACACGCAATAAAAGAAGTTAAAGATGCCATTATTAAAGGTAATATTCTTGAAACTATGCACCTTTTCCACTTGCAAAATCTACTTATATGTCCTAATGTTCTCATTAAATGCATTGGTTTGGTATAATTTAGTGACAAGAAAAATGTACATATGCACATGGGCATGTGATAGTTTTTCCTATGAAGGTATATTGTTGTTTACAGACCTCAAAGCTGCAGAAACTGAAAAGGAGGAGAAAAAAGCAAAGGAAACCAAATATCAGGAAGCCATAGAGATAAAACTAAAAGAAGAAAAGCCAAAAGAGGAGGCCAAACCCCTTGAGAAGAAACCAGAGAAGCCCAAAGGTAATTACACTTCACGATGTACATGTATAAAAATAAAAACACAGATTTTGTAGAGTTTGTGTACAGAATAGGAAATATGTCTACTACATAATATTGATATATTATTTATTTGTTTAACTGTAATTTATAAGCCTATTAGCATATACACATCTAGTGTTCAACATGATAAACAGTATAACACTAGGACATATATCTCTAAATAAATTGTATTTTATTATTAATAACCTTGTCACTATATAAAGGGTACTTCACTTTTAAGTGAAGTTGACTTGAACTGACTTGTATGACTGCTTTTAGAAGAGCCTAAAAAGAAGGAAGAACCAAAGCCTACTGAAGACAAAAAAGAAGCAAAGAAACTGCACAAAGAGGAGGCAGGAGTAAAGAAGGAGAAGGAGCAAATAGCTAAACCTAAAGAAAAAGGATTAGAAAAGGAACCACCCAAAAAAGAGAAAGAAGTCAAGAAACTATCCAAAAAAGAGAAAGATGTCAAGAAACCTCCCAAAGAAGAAGAAGAAGAAGTAAAGAAACCACCCAAAGAAGAGAAAGAAGTCAAGAAACCATCAAAAGAAGAGAAAGAAGTCAAGAAACTATCCAAAAAAGAGAAAGATGTCAAAAAACCTCCCAAAGAAGAAGAAGAAGTAAAGAAACCACCCAAAGAAGAGAGAGAAGTCAAGAAACCATCAAAAGAAGAGAAAGAAGTGAGGAAACCATCCAAAGAAGAGGCAGAAGTAAAGAAACCATCCAAAGAAGAAAAAGAAGTCAAGAAACCATCCAAAAAAGAGGTAGAAGTCAAAAAACCATCCAAAGAAGAGAAAGGAGTGAGGAAACCACCCAAAGAAGAGAAAGAAGTCACAAAACCTCTCAAGGAAGAGAAAGAAGTCGAGAAACCATCCAAACAAGAGGATAAAGTCAAGAAACCATCCAAAGAAGAGGCAGACGTAAAGAAACCATCCAAAGAAGAGACAGAAGTCAAGAAACCATCAAAAGAAGAGAAAGAAGTCAAGAAACCATCCAAAGAAGAGGCAGGAGTCAAGAAACTTCCCAAAGTAGAGGCAGAAGTAAAGAAACCATCTAAAGAAGAGAAAGAAGTCAAGAAACTTCCCAAAGAAGAGAAAGAAGTCAAGAAACCATCCAAAGAAGAGGCAGAAGTCAAGAAACCATCCAAAGAAGAGGCAGAAGTCAAGAAATCATCAAAGGAAAAGGCAGAAGTCAAGAAACCATCTAAAGAAGACAAAGAAGTCAAGAAACTTCCCAAAGAAGAGGCAGAAGCCAAGAAACCTCTCAAAGAAGAGAAAGAAGTCAAGAAACCTCTCAAAGAAGAGGCAGTAGTCAAGAAACCATCTAAAGAAGAGAAAGAAATCAAGAAACCTCTCAAAGAAGAGGCAGAAGCCAAGAAACCTCTCAAAGAAGAGAAAGAAGTCAAGAAACCTCTCAAAGAAGAGGCAGTAGTCAAGAAACCATCTAAAGAAGAGAAAGAAGTCAAGAAACTTCCCAAAGAAGAGACAGAAATCAAGAAACCATCCAAAGAAGAGGCAGTAGTCAAGAAACCTCTCAAAGAAGAGGCAGAAGTCAAGAAACCATCCAAAGAAGAGGCAGAAGCCAAGAAACCTCTCAAAGAAGAGAAAGAAGTCAAGAAACCTCTCAAAGAAGAGGCAGTAGTCAAGAAACCATCTAAAGAAGAGAAAGAAGTCAAGAAACTTCCCAAAGAAGAGACAGAAATCAAGAAACCATCCAAAGAAGAGGCAGTAGTCAAGAAACCTCTCAAAGAAGAGGCAGAAGTCAAGAAACCATCCAAAGAAGAGGCAGAAGCCAAGAAACCTCTCAAAGAAGAGAAAGAAGTCAAGAAACCTCTCAAAGAAGAGGCAGTAGTCAAGAAACCATCTAAAGAAGAGAAAGAAGTCAAAAAACTTCCCAAAGAAGAGAAAGAAATCAAGAAACCATCCAAAGAAGAGGCGGTAGTCAAGAAACCTCTCAAAGAAGTAGCAGAAGTCAAGAAACCATCTAAAGAAGAGAAAGAAGTCAAGAAACCTCCCAAAGAAGAGGCAGTAGTCAAGAAACCTCTCAAAGAAGTGGCAGAAGTCAAGAAACCATCTAAAGAAGAGAAAGAAGTCAAGAAACCTCCCAAAGAAGAGAAAGAAGTCAAGAATCTTCCCAAAGAAGAGGCAGAAGTCAAGAAACCATCAAAGGAAAAGGCAGAAGTCAAGAAACTTCCCAAAGAAGAGGCAGAAGTAAAGAAACCTCCCAAAGAAGAGGCAGAAGTAAAGAAACCTCCCAAAGAAGAGAAAGAAATCAAGAAACTTCCCAAAGAAGAGGAAGGAGTCAAGAAACCATCAAAGGAAAAGACAGAAGTCAAGAAACCTCCCAAAGAAGAGGCAGGAGTCAAGAAACCATCTAAAGAAGAGAAAGAAGTCAAGAAACCATCCAAAAAAGAGGCAGAAGCCAAGAAACCTCTCCAAAAAGAGAAAGAAATCAAGAAACCATCTAAAGAAGAGAAAGATGTCAAAAAACCGTCCAAAGAAGAGGCAGTAGTCAAGAAACCATCAAAGGAAACGGCAGAAGTCAAGAAACCTCTCAAACAAGAGGCAGGAGTCAAGAAACCATCTAAAGCAGAAAAAGAAGTCAAGAAACCATCTAAAGAAGAGAAAGAAGTCAAGAAACTTCTCAAAGAAGTGGCAGAAGTAAAGGAACCTCTCAAAGAAGAGCAAAAAGTCAAGAAACCATCCAAAGAAGAGGCAGAAGCCAAGAAACCATCTAAAGAAGAAAAAGAAGTCAAGACACTTCCCAAAGAAGAGGCAGAAGTAAAGGAACCTCTCAAAGAAGAGCAAAAAGCCAAGAAACCATCTAAAGAAGAGAAAGAAGTCAAGACACTTCCCAAAGAAGAGGCAGAAGTCAAGAAACCTCCCAAAGAAGAGAAAGAAGTCAAGAAACCATCCAAAGAAGAGACAGGAATCAAGAAACAATCAAAGGGAAAGGCAGAAGTCAATAAATCATCCAAAGAAGAGAAAGAAGTAAAAAAACCATCCAAAGAAGAAGCAGAAGTTACAAAACCATCCAAAGAAGAGGGAGAAGTCAAGAAACCTCTCAAAGAAGAGGCAGAAGTAAAGAAACCATCCAAAGAAGAGAAAGAAGTCAAGAAACCTCTCAAAGAAGAGAAAGAATTTAAGAAACCATCCAAAGAAGAAAAAGAAGTCAAGAAACCTCCCAAAGAAGAGAAAGAAGTCAAGAAACCATCCAAAGAAGAGGCAGGAGTCAGGAAACCATCAAAAGAAGAGGCAAAAGTCAAGAAACCATCAAAGGAAAAGGAAGAATTCAAGAAACCATCCAAAGAAGAGGCAGAAGTCAAGAAACCATCCAAAGAAGAGGGAGAAGTCAAGAAACCACCCAAAGAAGAGGTAGAAGTCAAGAAACCATCAAAGGAAAAGGCAGAAGTCAAGAAACCATCAAAAGAAGAGACAGAAGTAAAGAAACCAGCCATAGAAGAGACAGAAGTAAAGAAACCATCCAAAAAAGGAGAGGTGGAGAAACCATCCAAAGAAAAGAAAGAAGTAAAGAAACCATCAAAAGAAGAGGCAGAAGAAAAGAAATCTCCCAAAGAAGAGATAGAAGCCAAGAAACCTCTGACACAAGACAAAGAAGACAAGAAACCTCTCAAAGAAGAGGCAGAAGTAAAGAAGCCATCTAAAGAAGAGGAAGAAGTCAAGAAACCATTAAAAGAAGAGAAAGAAGTCAAGAAACCACCCAAAGAAGAGAAAGAAGCCAAGAAACTATCCAAAGAGGCAGAAGTAAAGAAACCTTCCAAAGAACAGAAAGAAGTCAAGAAACCATCAAAAGAAGAGAAAGATGTCACCAAACCTCCATCAGAAGAGAAGGCCAAGAAGCCTCTCAAAGAAGATGCAGAAATAAAGAAACCACCCAAAGAGGAGAAAGAAGTCAAGAAACTCCCCAAAGAAGAGAAAGAAGTCACAAAACCTCCCAAAGAAGAGAAGGAAGTAAAGAAACCATCCAAAGAAGAGAAAGAAGTCACAAAACCTCCCAAAGAAGAGAAGGAAGTAAAGAAACCATCCAAAGAAGAGAAAGAAGTCACAAAACCTCCCAAAGAAGAGAAAGAAGTCAAGAAACCATCCAAAGAAGAGAAAGAAGTGGAGAAACTTCCCAAAGAAGAGAAGAAATCTCTAAAAGAGGATAAAGAAGAGAAGAAACGTCCTAAAGTGGAGAAAGAAGTTAAGGCACCTCCCAAAGAAAAGGTAAAAGTCAAGGAACCACCTAAAGAAGAGAAAGAGGTCAAGAAAACATCCAAAGAAGACTTAGACTTGAAACCATCTATGGAGGAGCAAACAATTATGAAACCAAGTAAACAAAAAGAGGTTAGGAAGCCCTCTAAAGAGAAGAAAGAGATGAAGCCTTCCAAGGAAGAGACAGAAGTAAAGGTGCCTTCAGTGGAGGACAAAGAAGTGGAGAAGCCTTCTAAAGTAAAGAAAGAAGTCAAGAAGACAGTGGATCCTTCAAAGAAAGAAATGGAAGACAAGAAGCCTTTGAAGGATGAGACAGAAGAAAAGAAGTCATCTGAAGAAGAAATACAAATGAAGCCCTATGTTGAGAAAAAGGAAGTTACAAAGACTATAAAGCAGAAAAAAGACCTGAAGAAGACTTCTATGGAGGAAAAACCACCCCAAAAAGAGAAAGAATTAGCAAAAGAAGAAAAAGAACCAAGGAAGCCCTCTAAAGAAAAGCAAGACCAAGAGAAACCTTCCATAGAAAAGGAAGAAATCAAGAAGACTCCCAAAGAACCTGCCAAGAAGAAAGACACAAAGACAGGTACACATCAATCCATTCTTGTTGTTTTTTAGCAATTACACAATATAAGGATCCATTGACAATTTCCATCAATCCATTATCAATACTAAGAGTCTACAGCCTTGCTAGCATCTCTGCAAGGTTTTACTAAACAGTGGTGCTTTGAGTGTAATGCTTATAGTTTAGTGTGTTAGCTTGCTAACAAGAACAAAACACCAAGTGCAGCTGAGGCTGTTAGGAATTAAATTAGTTTTACAGGGATTTGGCCATAAATCAGTGTTTTGAACCTGATGATGGGGTCTAAATGAAAAGTATGTGGATCAAAGTTATTACAATTCATAATTAGATCATCATAATCACATGAAGTGATTGCATGGCAGTCAAAGTTGTCAAAATATCTGAATAACAACACAAAACATGGCCCTGGTGTTTGGGCCAGAGGAAAAGTCAGAGGATCAATTAAGTCAGTAAGATTTATCAACTGGGAACCAATAAATATCTGCACAAACGTTTCTGTAAATCCATTCAATATTTGTAGAGATCTTTCAGTCAGGACCAACCTGCAGACTGACTTGCCATCCATAATAGATATATCACAAGCACTGATATCTGATTGAGTCTAAATAAGGTTACATTGACTGACATGTTTCCTTTGTTCTGTGAAGTGTATTTCTTTCTTCTCTATAATGTATGTGAAACTGTTCAATCAGCTTTGCCTTTTTATTTCAGATGCTAAACCCAAAATGACTGTAAGGAGGATTAAAGTAGTCAAGAAGGATGTTGTGTCTGTCCTGAAGAAGGAGCAGCTTAATGTTACAAAATCAGGTGATGTAAAAGTTTAAACAACTTAAAACAACCCACGTTGACATAGATCAGATATTGAAGGTATTGCAGAGATCATTAATATATCAGTTTCAGATACATGTCAAGATACCAGTCACAAGCAATACTGTGTAGTATAAAATGAAATGAAATTACACAGCATCACACATAGCATAACGTCTCTGCTGTTCATTTCAGATGATGAACCCAAGAGGGCAGTTAAGGTGCCGAAAGCTGCAAAAAAGCAAATAGTTCCTGTCCTGAAGAAGGAACAGCTTAATGTTACAAAAACAGGTAACTATAAGGCTGAACCCTAATGCCTGCAATGAAAGACGATGAGCGATGAGCTAATGAATTATATTTTTGACTTTTCCCCAATAATAGAGGTTCCTGAAGTTCCTAAGGTGAAAGCCAAACCTGAATCTGCAAAGAAAGGTATGCGCATTCTTTTATTCTTTTGTGTCAATGGTCAGTTGATCTGTAAAAAGTAAATTGAATTTGATGTTTTTAACTATTGGTATGCTTCATAACCTAATATCTCTTTAATCAGGTCATTCAAGAATTAAACGTGACCATATTCTTGTCAGATTATGCGTATGCAGACACTGATTTTTTATGTGCAACAACATAACAAATTCTATTCAAAGAAAGTGTCACATAACACTGATCTTCACATATATAACTAAAACTGAATTACTTTTTGATGTCATAATTTTCCACCAGTGGCAGCTCCCAAGGAGCCAAAGAAGGAACCAAAGCAAAAAATAAAACCTAAACCTGTAAAATCAGGTAATACAAAGACTCACAGATGCTGCAGTTTAACCCATTTTGAGACGGCCTCACTTGGAGAGGAATGTCATTGCTGAAAAACTGGAAATCCTTTCATCAACGTATATATACCAAAATAGGACAATACAGTTTAACAGAACCACCAAGTACTGATCTTACAGTTGAATAAACACCTCTTTAAAACAGTTTTTAAAAAAACTGAGCATTATAAAGCTTCATGAAAGTAGGATTTATTGAAGACTGCATTAGTTTTGCTATGTGTACCCAATAAATTGGAAACTGAGAATAAACAGAAATAATGCTCAACACCTTCCAAAAAACTACTGAAACTACTGTGAGTTTTGTCTTTTCATGCACGACACTAACTTTGTGCCCTGTCTTGTGACACAGAAGTTCCAAAGGAAAAGGCCAAAGCAGCTCCTGCTAAGAAAGGTAACACACACATTAGTTACAACTTCTTGATAATGTTTTATCACCAAAGAGAAGAAAGAAAAAAAATTGCCAAAGGAATTAAAACTACCCTGCTGTAAGAAATATTGTGCTTTTGATACACAGAAGCTGTTGCTCCAAAAGAAAAAGTTAAACCAGTTATCTCGAAAAAAGGTAATGTAGGTTATAATGTGCATTCAAATATCTAACTGCATCTTGAACTGGGATTAGATATTTTATGCGTATTCTATTTCCACATTTCTGCTGACAGAACAAGAAGGCCCTCCTAGAAATGCCTCTCTGGTAAAAGAGAGAGTGAAAATAGTGCCTATGAAAAAAGGTAATTTTCTCTGGTTTGTTTTATTGGATTCAGAATTATTTGTTAGTTGAGTCATTGAGTCAAGCATGCACTTGTTTCGTTTGGTTGTTTTTTTAGATGTCAAGGTGCCAAAAGAGAAAGTCAAAACAGTCTCTGCAAAGACAGGTACAGCATATTTTATTTCAAACATCAACATATTCACATAAATAGTGTTCTTCAGCACCTTCAAACGAGTACTCCCATCAAGGAAACTGTTCACCAGAATGTGATTTTGGTCTTTTCATACACCAATCGCAGGCATACTATCAGCAATGTTGCACTGTACCAAAATGATCAGATTACCAGTTTACAGTGTAAATGTTTTTGATATGAACTTTAAAAGTGACTTTGTGCCTTGTTTTGTGACACAGACGTTCCAAAGGAAAAGGCCAAAGCAGCTCCTGCTAAGAAAGGTAACACACATTTGTTAGTCACAACTTCTTGATAATGTTTTCATCACCAAAGAGCAAAATAATGAATTGTTATAATGGAAATAAATCTATCTTGCTGTAAGAAATATTGTGCTTTTGACACACAGAAGCTGTTGCTCTTAAAGAAAAGGTCAAACCAGTCATTTTGAAAAAGGAAGGTAAGTGTCACATCTCTGGATGAGTGGCAGACCATAACCCAAAACCATGACACAGAAACAGGCGATGTAGCAATGAAGTGCAGTCAGACTACAACAAGTGTTCATGACATCATGGTTTTGGTTTTGCATACTTAACGTCATGCTATATATTTTCCTCAGCAGCTGTGGTTTCTAAACAGAAGCCCAAACCTGTTCTAACCAAGAGAGGTAAGACGTATCTTTGTATTTAGCTTTATTGTTTCAATGTTGTCATCTTATTTTCTGAAATAACAAACCTAAAATCTCTTTACATAGAACCTGCTCCACTCAAGACAAAACCAGCCCCAGTAGTCAAAGGTAAGAGGACACTAATCAGCAGTTATGTATAAATAAAGAAGTAATTGGTTTTTCTACTCATTAATTATTTTCTTACAGAGGCAGAAATACCACCTAAAAATGTCTCGCTGACAAAGGAGAAGGTGAAGGTTGTGCCCCTGAAGAAAGGTACATCTGTTTGTTAACACAGAGCTAACTTTAATATTTTCTGTATGTATAGTATGCCTTTATTATTCAGAGAGCAAATTGCTCTCAACATCCATTTTGAAGTTTTGAATTCCTCAATTGATTTTTTATTCATCTATCTTTTTACTCATACAAATCCTTTTTCTTTTTCATAGTGCCTGCAACTCCAAAAGAGAAAGTCAAACCAGCACCAACAAAAAAAGGTAGCTACACATCAAGTCATACCTAAAATAAATGAAAGGGAAACTACTTTTTGCTTTTTATTTTCTACTATTCCAATATTATTTACTTATTGAATTATGTACTCATTATCTTTAATTTTGACAGTCTGATTCTTTAATAGTTTTTAGTCTGAATGCTGGAATTAAGCAGTGGAGTGTGTAAATAAACTGCATCAGTTATAAATGAGCTATAATAACAGGTACAACAACTGAAATTTTTGTTGTTATTATTTGCTTTAGAAGCTGAGGTTCTCAAGAAGAAGAAGGTCGAGCCAGTGACTCCCACTAAAGGTTGGGTTTCTTTGGTGTTTTTCATTTATTCCACAATGTTTTTGTCTCTCTTTTATTTTTAATCACATTGCAGTTTTGCAACAGATGTGTCAGTGGTTTCTCACTTTACTGTATACATTAGAATTAATAGGGCCATGTATTTTTCTAGCACCTGTTATCAAAGCAAAACCCAGAACTGCTGAAAAGAAGAAAGGTATGCTGCAGAAGTGTGTCTCTGTAGTGCTTTAGTAGCTATTAACATGTGGCTGCTGATGATAATGACTCAAATCAGTAATGTCATCACTGATATAATTTCAAAGACATGTTGAGGAAATATCTTTGTTTAAAATTGACATGAACATTTACATGATGCACCATAGGCTGACATATTTATTTTAGATCTTGTACTTAAGAATACATTTTTTAACCCACTGGATAATATCAAAATATATTTCTCATTGAAGAATCTTTTGGAGATGCATGTTTTTCACACAGCAGAGATGACATGCTTTATTAAAGCTAAAGCTGCATTGCGTTCTGTAGGTGTGAAAGGTTTTTCAAACACTGTTATTGTGACATTTTCTCTTTTTTCTTTTGACATAGAAATTGTTGTGAAAGAAAAGGCAAAGGCAAAAACCTCACAGAAAGGTGCTGATCAGCTGTACTTTCTGTCTCTAATATTCCATAGAACACACTGCTGGCACACATCCTGCTTTTCAGATTAAAAAGCTGAAACATCCAAGCAAGATGCGCAGACAAGTTTCTCATGCTTAATCTCAATCACATCTTCAAGATATGCGACATAATTTCAGTTAATAGTTCAGTTACGTCTTAAAACTGTCACTTTCCAAAAAGCTAGAATCTCACCACTTAATTGTTCTTCTTTCCCTTTAGAGCCTGAGGCCAAGCCAGTTCTTGTCAAAACAGGTAAAGCAGTATAATCCATCATTATTTGTCAAAAATGAACTACCCTGAACACTGAAACCATTCTCTTCCTCTATTATACTCATCAGCTAAGGTTACAAAGGAGAAGCTTAAACCAGCTCATGAAAAGAAAGGTAAACATTTCATTAAAACAACCACAATGTCATAGATAAAACGTAGTAATTTATATTTCCTTTTAAATTGTGAAACATTGTTTTTCATTTTAATTAGCTCCTTCTAAAACAGAGGCTGAAACAAAGAAGGAAAAGGTCAAACCATTCCTAAAAAAGAAAGGTAGCCTGACACTGCCACCTGTCTGCAGATGATTTTCTGGGGTTGTGCTTACAAAAAATATGGTTTTCACTTACACTCAGTTGCCAGTATATTAGGTACACCTAGCTAAAACTACAGTAATACAGTCTAATACAACAATCCTGCAACAGATTCTACCTTTGTGTTGTGGAATTGTTTTGAGTTATACTGCATTAGTTTTAGCTAGGTGAATAAAATGGCAACTTAGTGTATATTATAGTATTGTAAATACCATACTGGATAACAACAAAGCTATTTTCTGAGTTTCAATAAATTCTTACATTCTTATTTACTCAGAGCCCAAAGTAGCAGAGGACAAAGTTAAACCACCTGTTACAAAAGGTACAAAAACAACATTTACATATCACATTGTCATGTTTGGTGACAAATACATAAACCTTTTGATTTTTAATGCAAAAGAATCCACTCTGTGTGTCAACGGGGCATTTTCCTTTAATGTGCTGTAATTATATGGCACAAATAAGCATTCATTAATTGCATTTTCTCCCTGATGACCCAGCATTATTGAGGAAAAAGACCAAACCAGTCCATGTGAAGAAAGGTACATTAGTGGTGCCTCAACTGAGGCAGTAATCCATAGAACCAATTGATCACATTGATCTCGTCACAAAATGTAGGTCACTGTATTCTGAAAAAGCTCTGATTCGATTGCTCACGAGGGAAACAAGCACTTTGCCTATGAGATCAACAATAAATAACTGTGGAGTTATGCACAGTAAATGGAGAGTGATTTCTCTGCAGCAGCTCCATTGGCAAACAGCTATTTCTATACACTTATTCTTAAGGATGCTGTATGCTTGTCCAAACAGGTGTAGTTGGTAGATTTGCAAAGCACTGCATACAAATAATTTGTTAGGCTTTCATTACTCACCCCTCGCCTTTTAAAATGTGGACAATAAAGAGCTGTGATTCTAAAGTAAGGGCTATCCAACCACCCAAACATTTACAATGTGTTGAAAACGTTGAAATGTGTGGAACAGAGTCCACCTAACACAACCTCTGTTTAGGCAAACTGAAAGCTATACAGTAGACATTACATGTAGAGCATATAAGGTCTACCACTTAAGGTAATTTTTTTCAGAAAAGTCCATTCCAGCCACTGATGGAAAAGTCAATGGTGTTTCTCTGCTCAACTGAGATGAACTTTCTAACACTAATTACAGCTTTCTAGTCGTAGATTCCTCCTGCTGTGCAAGCTGCTTTTAGCTTTTTAGAAAGTAATTTTGTTGTGGTAATGCTGTGGCTAACGTTGCAATTAGCTGCATTATTGGTAAATTAGGTAATTTTGGTGTCCGCTGTCAGGGTTAAACATACAGATTGCACACCTCTGACATAAATTTTTTTTTTTTTTGCAGAACTGGAGACTCCTAAAGAAAAGGACAAACTTGCAACAGTGAAGAAAGGTACAGTGTTTGCAACAATGACTACTCTTATTTTACATATCACAATTATTTAGATCAGTTTTTATGCAACAAGAATATTAGTAAAACTTGTTGTGTTAGTCAATTTGGTGATGCATTTGAGGCTTTCTTACTAAGGTTTTATAGTCTTTTACATGCTGTAACTTTATCACCAGAAATACTTACACAAATGAAAGAAAACTGTATGTTTTATCAATTGCTTTTTTTTCCTGATGACGCAGCCATATTTAGGGAAAAGACCAAACCAGTCCGTGCGAAGAAAGGTACACTTTTGTGCTTTAGTAGAGGCAGCACTTCATGTAATCAGCAGTGGCAATCGGAGTACATCCTGTAATCTGATTACAACATGAAGGCCACTGCAGTCTGTAAATGTAGTTAGTGGGTTATTCAGAGGAGCTGAAGGCTGAGAATATTTTCCTGCTGAATAAATGCTTCATAAAACACATCTAAATTGAAGATTTATAGACATGCTTTTATTTAGCAAGGAAATATTCTGTTATAAAGATTTATAGACAATAAGTCACAAAATACTACAATATTGTTCTACTGTTTATTTTTTGTCTATAAATCTTGGGCTTGTAGACAATATGTTTATATATAGTTTAGCAATATTTTCAAGTATCTTACTGAACATGCATGCTATTAATTTTAATAACCCTAAGAAGTGTCATGGTGGTGATGTTTTCGGTTTTTGCTTCACTACAGGACCAGGCATGTCCGTTCATAGCAACATATAGATCATTTTGAAGAGAGTAAATCAGCCACAGCCAACATCAGTGTCATCCTGAAACTCGTAAAATATACAAGTGCTACACTGTTCACTTTTACCGGGGGGTAAAATAATAATTATTTTTCTGGCAATAACACAATATTGTAATTGTAAAAGGTCAAACCCACAGCAGCAAAGAAAGGTACTGCACACAATCACCTTTGAGTAGAGTTAAATTAAGGAAAATACTTAAATAATAAAACTGCGATCTTGATTGTAAATTGACAGTGTTACCAGACGAACAGTTTACACACCTAAACCTACTACTGTAGACTGTAGACCAGAATCATTCATGGACAAAAACAACCTTTATTTATTTTCTTTTCAGACAAACCAGTTGAGAAGAAGGCACCCAAAGAAGAGAAAGCTAAAGGTATGCTGTATAATCAACATTGAACATTGAAATAATCAAATCAGCAATATGAATATGATAACATATTATTAATCATAAATGATCAATCATTTGTTGCTTTTTACAGAGGACAGAGTTCTGAAAGAGATACAGGAGCCTGCAAAGAAAGGTATAATTGTTTGTAAAGCAACTAAACTCTGTTTGAAATAAACTGTTAGAGCTTTACATTATTTCTACACAAATATTCCTCTTTTTGTTGTAGAAAAATCTGTTGAGAAGAAAGTTGCCAAGGAGGAGAAAGTGAAAGGTACTATAGAGTGGAGCAGTAATTTAAGGTAATAAATCACTGTATTGTTTTACGCTGACATCATGTACTCTCTCCGATAGCAGAGCCTTCTGTATCAGACAGCTTTCTTATGGAAGGTAAGTGCAAATTCCCTTCTCATGAGCGGAATATCTCACAAGTATGCAAATTTCACGCTCAGTCTTCTCTCTGGATGCCAGAGTGAGGCGGGGAACACATTGTACTGAACTGTGACTCCCTCCACAGATGAGCTGCCCTACTTCCAGTGTTTCTTTGTGGACGAGGACGAGGCCCAGTTTCCGTTCTATGCCTTCTCACCACTGCAGATCTGAAGCTTCAGTCTGAATCCAGTCTGAGGTTTACAATTCAGACAATTTACTGATAATGACACGGTCACGTCATGCCCCGTGCTGCTGAAACGCAGCCCACTGTTCACTGTTGGACTTAGGGAGAACAGGAACAGAGGATGATGGGTGATTTCACGTGATGGACCGATTTAATTTTTATTTCCAGATTTGGTTGAGCTCTCGTATCAAATACATGCAGACAGTGTCATTCCTTTCCATATTTTTTTTTTGTGTGTGTGTATGTTTAATTATTTTGAAGGTGGATATCATGGGAATATTTAAATGGAACAATATAGTATATTACCTTTGTGGATCATTCATTTTGATCTTAACAGTAACACATGCAAATACATATAACGTTGCATTTTTTAAAGAAGGAACTTAGAGTAGAATATGTTCAACTATGCTGTAAACAGGGTACAAAAATGGCCACAATTGCTGATTCAAGGCGGACGGTTCAATTCCTCTTAAGTCTGCGTTTACTTGAAGTGGTTTGTACAGTAATGGTACTGTAATTTTAGCTTTATCGTATTGAAGATGACAATGTTTTTAATGCACAACTTATCCTGCTTTTAAAGCCCTTGAATCAACAATTGGGCATTTACAACATTTGTGCATTATTCCATGGTCCATGATTTTATTACGTCATTTTAAGGAAACCTCACACGTATCCCTTTATTTCTTCCCTAATGGGTACAAAGAAGGAATCAAACCATTAACAAAAAGAAAGGATTGGGGTTTTTTTTGTCTGTTTCCGTCTACTTCTTAAGTGTAAAAAGGAATGACCGTGCACTGTATATGAGAGCTCCCGAACATACTGATGAAACACTACCTTTAAAGTCTTATTAAACTGTACCATGTAGACACGTGCACCAGCCCCTCATTTTGACATTGGTGCTAAAAACAGGCATTGCGGTGCTTGTACTGTCAGAACAAGGTTTGAGTTCATATTTACTTTTTCTACCATCAAGTATCAGATTTGTTCTACAATTGGAAACGTGTTTTCCAGCTACTCACTCGTTTTAATTTGTTGCCACTTGTTTTAGTCAATGAGAGGGTGGGTGTAAGTATTTTCTTGCACTGTTATCAAAGACCATTTAGAACATTAAAAGCACAGTAGGGCACATGTGATACATTTTTTTTTTGTCAGTCAAAAGGGATGAGTGCTGTGGCTAACGGCAATTCCTTGATAGACCAAAAACACCCTGCCACTACCTTTGGTCAGTGTGCACAAACAGGATATATTTTAGCAACCTTTTGAAAAGGTTTTTAAAAAACCAGAAAGGGTCAGAAAATATTTAACAGTCTTTGTAAGTATCATTTATCTTATGTTTGTAACATATATAACATGATATTAATGCATATCTTATTTTATAACATCTCATTAACTGTACTAATATGAAAGATACCAGCATTCATATTACAGCTACAGTACATTACGATATACCGTGCATGTTATGTACAGTATGGGTTACATGATTTCAGATTGATTTTGAATACTGTAATTGGTCAAAAGTTAAATCCAAGACATGTCAAATCTCTGAAGAATGAAGAGAGCTGCAAGAATCAGCTCCTGTGCAGGTTTATTTGACAACCTGAATGTTGTTAACGTGGTGATGTTGAAATGAAACATTTACATCTGAGATTGTATCAGCACATCATGTGATTACACTATAGGTTGTGTGCATGTTCGGGCAGATGATCTCAGATGTAAACTGGTACATTGTTTCATTGTTTCAGCTTGTACCAGCTGTTGTTTACATATGGCTTTACATTTTGCTCCATATGCTTCATAGAAGACAGTTATTACAGCTTGTGACACTAATCCCAAATGTACTCAAAAATAAATCCACTTAATCTTTTTTATTGCAGTAACACAAACACACTCTTTATTAGTGCATAGAGGGTACATACGACCCTCTCCAGTAACTGTGCTGGAACAGCTGGAGTTTTATGGTAATGCTCCACTATCACTGATGAAGTTGTTGGTGTTATGTTACCAAAGTGACAGTGTCTTTGGATATTTCTGAGTTTAGGGGATTTAAGTAAAGGAGACAGTGTCGCTGTTTTAAAAGACATTTTGATTCATGATGAGAAAACATAAATATTTATTTCAACTTGAATTGTATTTAAAGACACTTTAACCAGGTAAACGTGCAATATATACATTTTTGAATATCTCAGTGATCAAAGCACTGTATGTGTGTCTGATAGTCGCTTGAGTGCATGATGTGTGTGTGTGTGTGTGTGTGTTTTGTTTTATGCTCTCTGTTTTTGTGATATCTTTTCCCAACTTTGAGAATGGCAACACTAAATACTTGAACTTGACACCAATAATGGACATTTGTCTCTCAGTTGTGTTGCTAACATGATATAACCATTCATATTGAGAATAATCTCATTGTAAATAATAAAATAAATGGAAGAATAGACAGTTTTATCCCTGAATCATTACTACTGAAACTGCCTTTTAACTGCAGTTAAAATTGCATTATGTATAATTTGTCAATTACATCTTCCTTATGCTTGTGAATAGTAGCAATTTGACATTAAAATATAGCAATGCAAGTGTCTCTTTTGTAAGTCTTTCACTAAAAGTGCACAACCACAACATTTCTAACACAAAGAGTAGTCCAGATTGTTCCCCAGGTGATGACAATGTGGTCAGGAACAAAACCAACAATATGAATGTGATCGTTTTTTGTCCTCATGCCATGAAAAGTGTGAAATTTTACTCCCTAGTTTAGATTACATAAAGTCATTAATTCATATATTTATTATTTATGCTTACATTTTCTGTTTCCACAATTCATTTTGGCATGTGGAAGTGGGTTTCTCAGTCCAGATATTTTGATTATATCTTTATATTTGGCATCTATGATGAAGGTTATCTTATTATGCGTTAAGTATAATAACATCAAAATGTGTTGTTCTCTACAGCTTATATTGACACAATTGTTAAACAAAAACCAGGACTGGAGAAAGGTATTCCATCTGCTTTTCTCCTTTTATCATTTTTTAAATTGTATTAGCACATGATCAGACACCCAACAAATGTTTTTTTTACTATGTAATGATATCACAACATTTTATATTTTATTTATTCATTTAATCTATTCAACTGTTTTGTTTATTCTGTTGTCTAAAAGGTTGTTTCAAAGCCATCTCTACACAACAACATAAAACGTGATACATTTTAAAAAAAAACCCACATGTAATACGTGTCTTATCATACCTTTCATGTCATCATGACATGACCACAGTTTACTCAGTGGTAGCAGGAGCCCTGGGGTAGATGGTCAGGTCTTGACACTGTATCTAGCTAATAAGGCCAGAGAGAGGTTACTACAGGCCAGCTTACACCACTGACACAGATTCCACACAAAGAGGAAACTCCTGCTGCTCTCCTGGGAAGAGTGCTGAGGACAGAAGAAGCTACACTGAACTATTATCTATCACTGTTTCTGTAACATGGAATGTGATAAGCTCCCTTTTCAGCTGCTGTGAATATTGTGACATTAACTTGCCCGAACTTGTCTTTTAACTGTTTTCACCCCAAATACTTATGCTAATGATTTGGCCTGGTTTTGTGAGAGTAGAGGTAATTATTGGCATTCTATAACTGGAGAATTGAGATAGATTTTAATTGAAATTAATTCAGTGGGCAACGGCTAAATGAGTTCCACTCCAGTTACCACAGTTTCTTTGTGTTGCATGGCATTCAGAGGTGGCCAAAAACTTGGCAGCCTGTGTCTTAAGATGAGAAGAATGGCCACTTGTTGTTGCAGTGTTCAGTAGGCTCGACACATCTCACAGCGCAGAACAGGGAGGCTTTAACTTGTGCTTTAAAATGTGGGAAAGATGGAAACTAAATTTTAAAATGAACACAAGCTTTAAACAGTGTCCTCCTGTTTGTACCGGTTGGAGCTCACAAGACTTTATTTTTAGACTTGGAACTACTAACCTTGGGATATTGGATTGATACAAACTGTCCACATCCTGCACACTGTCCTTCCTTATCGTTGTCTGCCTGTCATCTGTCATGTCAGCCGCAGCATTCAGTCATGGTTGGTCCACACACCATCGAATGATGCCTCTACGTAATGACACCACAACTAAAACCGGATTATCCCAAGGCCAGTGACATCACTACCCCCACCCACTCCATCCCCCTCCAGCTCCTAGTCGTCTCTGACCATCTGGGGTTTACTAGAGGACGTTCATTCCCATGAGTTCAATGGTCACACTGGCTGCTGCTGCTGCACGGCCGGCTCTGGCCTGCACTGTCACCCTTGCAGCTGTCACCTGGAACTGACCCATCACAGGGAGAGCACTGTTCCCACAACATAGGTTGATGTATTAGAAAAGAGAAGTAGGGCCGCATTCAAAGTTGCGGGAAAAAATAAATAAGAGAAAGAGAGCAATGTTGAGATGGCAGTGGTACTGATGGAGCTCTCACGACTTCTAAATACCAACTGAAAAGTCAGAGACGCTAAGAAAGTTTAGTAAAGCACTTTATTTTTCCCTTTTTCACGTGATACACCGAATGATAAGCCCTTCACAGTCTGAATTTCTTACAAAAGATTTTACAAAATATTTATCTCATGTTACAGCAACAAATCAAGTGCAAATCACTGCATACTGTAAAAACATCATTTTTTTTTGTTTTAAAAATAAAAAAAAAGGTTAACACCTTTTTGCAGTGCAGGGATTATTTGCTCATTCAAGTGGATGGTAGAGTTAGGCTTTCTCATATGTGCGGACTGCTTGGACTCCCTCAAAAGTCAAAGTCTGTGAGGCAGAGAAAGGAAAAGCAAAACAGTCTGTAAGCCTATATTACAATGCAGCTAATGCAGTGTTTAGAAATCATGCACACTGGGTGTAAAGCAGGTTTTCTTCCATCCATTTGGGTCATCTGATATCAGTTATTGCACCACTGCAATAGCAAGGTGGGGCAAGCACTTTATGAAGCAAATAGCTCCATAAACTGATAAATGTAACCACAAAAACAGGCACAAAAGACTTCACTTTACTGTATGGCTTCATATCTAACTCCATAAATATACTGTTTGTGTGTGTGTGTGTGTGTTATTTAATCTTACCATCACCATCTTTCCATCCTTGATTTCTCTGACAAATTTGGTCTCCTTGCCGTCCCACTTCTGCACTTGAACGAATTTGTCTCCCTCCATGGAGAAGGTAGACTAGAAAAAACACAGAATAATTTAAACCATCTCAGATCAAACTACAGCTAGAGTGTAACTGTCACTGTGAAGGTTATACACTGACTTCTACTCAGCTTACCTTGACATGCCGGTCATCAGGCGTGGTCTCGTCAAACTCCTCTCCCAGTTTGGAGGAGATCTCAGTGTTCCTAAAGGTGCTCAGGGTTTTCACCACCACTTTGTCCCCATCCTGGCTGATCGCCACTGTTGGTTTGGTGACATTGCCCACTTGTCTTGTGGCAAAACCAACACCTGTGCAAACAACAGTGCCTTTAGTGATGCATTAAGCTAAATACAAATTAAGACTTATTTTACTTCTTTTCTGTAAATGTAAATATTTGAAAAAAAAATAAGCAACTACTATCCCAGAGATGCAATTGTAGAATAAGCCTACAGTACACAACATTTCTCTCACAGCAAACAATCATCTCTCATTTAAAGGAGAAAATGTATCTTACCAAGTGCCTTCATGTAGTCATCAAAGTTCTGGCTGTCGACCAGTTTCCATGTAGCGCAGAAAGCATCAACCATTTTTTCAGATGTTATTGGTCCAGTTCAGTAAGGAGCTGTCAGACAGCCTCTGTTCTCCCTGCAGTAAATCTCACAGTGCCTGCCCGCTAAATTAATACTGTCACACAGGGCGGGGACTCGAGCTGCAGCCTGAAAGCTGATTGGATGTTACAGACTCTTCGTCGGCTGTGATTGGTCAGTGGAAAAAATGTTCTGTTTAATGTGTGTATGAAATTAATTATGAATGTCAACCATAGTGAGTGGCACATAATTGCTGCTCTCCCTGATGAACATGGAAATACAACTATAGTAATTATTTATTACCAAAAAAATTAATACACAGTGAAGTCACAGCCATGCTAGTGGCTTTGTGAGTCTGGACTAAATGCTAATTAAAACGTTGATCAGATGATGGTGCTAGCAAGAAAAAAAAAAATCACCAAAGTTATCAAGATTCACTACATAGATTTCTAGACTAAGACTAAATGGTTGTGATTTAATTGGATCTTCAGTCCTATTGGATGTGTTTTTTGTAGGATCTGACATACATTTAAAAAGTCTTTTAAGACTTTCTTTCATCTTATAAGAACTACCAATCGGACTCTTTTTCATTATGAAGAATCTAACTCGACCATGATGCATTCTGGAAAAATCCTAAAAAAGGTCTGGGACACCACTGCACCACATTTAGCTTATGTGCTTGATTTGGCCTGAAAATGTATTCATCACTATCATACAATCATTTCTGTTTAAAAGATACAAGACAGGTTTGGTAGAATGATTATTACGATTTCCTGTTCTGACACATTTAGTTCATCCTGAGGGGTCCAAAATTGCATCCAATGGTTGTTGAGACATTTCACCCAAAACCATAAATGTCAACCTCATGGTGGCGCTAGAGGTAATGTCAGGGGATCACCAGTCATTATGATTCATGATATGGGAACCATAAATGTCTGTACCAGCAATCAACTCTATATTTGTTGAGCGATGGACCAACCAACCAACGTTGTCATTCATAGGGCCAGCCACTAACATGGCTAAGAAGCACATAATCTGTATCAAAGCCTAGTTAACATGGCAGAAACTACAACTGTATACCTTTATTGTTGATAAATTCTTTCATCAGATACAATCTGACACAGATACAAACAGACGTCCACTGTCATAACACAGTAGACGAGTCCTTATTGATAACACCAAAGATGTAATCATCACTAGTAGATTATACAGTATGATACAAAATTTAATTTCACTATTGCTGAGTATATTGTCAAACAGTTTTGCTGCATCTGCTTTAAAAAAAAGAAATAAAATAATAAATTTAAACTTGGCACTAATCAAGGCCAGATTATTACATGAAACAAAACCTGTAAGCAGCGTAGAAAAACTTTGATAACAAAATCAAAATCACCCCCAAAAACATATCACAGTTCATAAAGTAAAAACATTAAGTCAGTTTTGTTTGTTTTTTTCCCCCCAAATAAATTATCTACAAGAATATTTTTTACTTCCCTGAAGTTCACATATAGTGCATGCAAATGAAACACTAAATGTTCCACAATGAAAACTCAGGGAACTTTAACATAATCAAGGGGAAAAAAGTGGCAGTAAGGATTTGAATGTGTCGTTTTACATTATATTTGTGGAGCAGCAAATTCACCTGGCGTGACAGATGGTTGCATAACACAATGATGGTTTTGAGGTGAAAGTGAAGACAGTTTAACATCAGCTGTAAAAAGGATCATGTCCAATAAAAGACAGTTAAGTTATTTAACCATTTAAAGAATACAGCTAGAAGCAAGGTCTGTGCCAATTGACTCTAATAGAGCAGGGGTTGCAGAAAATAAAAGTATAAATTACAGCAAGATTTTGAGCGGGGAAACAGAGGGCAGCAGAGGTAGATTGAGAGAGGTAGAGAGTGAGGTAGGGAGGACAGAGCAGCACTGAGGCTTCTCCACATTAAGGCCTATCTCTCCTCTCTCTTATCAACCTAAAACAAGCCTTTAATCCAGATAAACATTTTCGTTCTTGGCGCACAGTGACGGGTTCATCATAAAAGTTTCCATATGAGCAACAGCAAGACCTAATGATGGTTGATTTCCTACAACTGTGGCTTGTTTTACTGGACAACTTACTAAACATGAAAGCCACAGGCTGGTGGTTACCAGTATTTGTTTTTTAACCCAATTGCTACAGTTAATACAAATCAGTATATAAGATAAAAACTCCAGTTAGCACAAGCCTTAGTTTATAACTGCCAGCCTGTAATAACAAAACAAAACAAAAAACAATGAAAGTAGAAACTGTTTTCTCAGGGCTTATACTTTCAATATATGGTTACAAATTATCTACTGATCCATGCAGCAAAAAATCTGTTTTCCTGAACGTCACACCGTCTTTAAATTTCCCTCACAAAATAAAAAAACGTCAATTTAATTAAAGAAAGGGGATTTGTGGTGGTTGTAATTTAGAGAGCTTGTAGAGAGAGGAAGCAAGGTAACAAAACCAGTAATATTGCATAGATATAATGCAAATTATAGTCAGTTGTTACTAAACAGCAAATCAAAATGCCAAAATGAAATCCCTTCTCTTCCTGTCAATAAATCAGACACATGGGCAGCAGGAATTCATTTTGGGAGAAATACTAAATACTAATAACTAATAATAAAAAAAAATGGCACAAGACCGACGTCAAGATGATTGTCCTGCAATGTGGCATTTGTGTTTGTGCATGTGGTTTTATAAGTACTTCTGATTTGTCCATGCACCCAGGGGCAGGGAGCAGGGTACTATCTGAATACCCCAACATTGATTGACAGCGCCACCTCTGGTTTCCTGGATTTAGTCAGTCCAGTCTTCTTTTGTGGTCCAACACCATCAGAATTTGCAGCCTGCCCTCTGAAAAAGAGGCAGGGGTAAAACATTTTCAAAAGAATCTTTAATAAAAAGTCACATGATCAGACCTAAGTGACCTAATTTGGTGTTATTCCAGCTACACTACTAATCAGTGTAGTCTAGATTAATAAATGTGCTAAAAGATTTGAATTCTTACCCTTTCCTGCGTTGCTCTGCCTGCTCTCTGAGCCTCTGCTGGCCCTGCTCATCCTCCACGGTGACAAAGTCCCTGTTGTTGTCAATCAAAAGATTCTGGGAGAAATATTAAGAGCAGAATTAGTGTTTCTAAAACAAAAAAAACAAAAACGGATTTATTTTTAAACAAACTGAGTCATACCAGCACCTTGATGCCGACTGTGTCGCCATCTTTGAGGTGAAATGGTGCTCCCAGTAGTGATTCTGCCTTTTTCTTCTTTTTCTTTTTGGAAACCTGCTGGCTCTGACAGTATGTACGTATGACATTTTATTCACTGATAATGTGACAATGAATTAGCAACACATAGAAGAATATTAAGACTTCGGGTTGATATCTTTGTTTATAAAATAAAAATTGCCCCCAAACTTCTAAAACGTTTGAAAAGACTCCCCTAATCTTACCCAGTTTGAGATTTCTTCCCAGGTGTGTTTGTCTGGTTGGTGTTTGGCCAACAGCAGCGAGTCCGGGGAGAGGCTGTAGTGTGCAGCCAGACAAGTGCGCAGAGAGCGAGGAGAAGAGTCACGGGATGCATCCCAAACCAGCTCCTCTGGAGGGTAGTAACACCTCTCCCCTGGTACTGCCATTTTAATATTCAGCAACACCTCCTTAGGACTTAGAACAGAAGGACACAAACATTTTAACTGAGAAATAAAATAAGGTAAAAGTCCATACTGGTCTCACACCATGAAGGGAAGCTACATAGCATTATTTATCAAACCTTACCCAAGATCTTCCTCTTTTAGTAGTTGTTGCACACAAAGGTCTGTACCACTGGTCAGCTTCATTTTCCTGATCAGAAGGAAACCAAAGAGAACATCTGGATCATGTACGTAAGTATTGCTAAGCAAAGCTTCTGCATTTGTAAATAATAAATAGAATCAGGTGGCTAACAATTACATATGTTGTTGGAATAAAGCCTGTGGAAGTGTTCATACCTGAGTGTGAGTTGTTGTCCTCTGAGGATTCGTGCCAGCCTTCGTTCCTCAAGCTGCCACAAGCGCATGAACGCAGTGGTTGGCACACACACATCCTGAAGGGCAGGCAGTGTCAGCACCTGATACAGAAGTGGACGATAAAGTAGAGCAAGAAGAGCATCTTTAAACATTTGGTTAGGAAAAATAATCAAAAACACATTTATACTATGATTTTAAGAAAGAGAAAAGAGAAGCATTTTCCTTCACATGCGTTTAGTTGGAGTTGCCTTCCACAAATTAAAAAGCCTCATTGTTCAACCTATTCAAATGAAACTATGAATATAAATGAGAGCATTTCCTAGATTGCCATGCCTAATTCTATATAAAAATAAAAATAAAAAAACACTGTTAATGAAGATCTCTCTCAACCTTAGTCTCACAGACCCAGAGCCCAGCTGGATTTGAGCAGCTGTTGAATAAAGTCTAATGAAAAAGGGCAGTTCTGTCGAGTCCCAAGTAATAAGGACTGAAAACAACTAGAGGTTTAATTTAGGTTTAGATCTTTGAGGATTACACAACTAGCATGAATGACGCCAGCTGCTCCAACTAAACTCAATATACATATAACCTCCATAAGCTACCTGAGTCTTGAGATCCTCCAGGGTGGCCTCGTCCGATATCTCCACCTGCCCTACACTTCTCAGCTCTGCCATGTTGCTGGCACACAGAGGGGGTGGGTGACTCTCTGTTTCACCTGCAGTCACTGCCTCCAGCATTTGCTCCTCAGTATGGCCGTTGTCAGTGTGATTAAAGTCAGTTTCCATGGAGTTGTTACTGGGATGCAGATACAGCCACACAGATATCTTGAGAAAACCCTGACAGAAAAAAGAGACAGCAAAGGCTAAAGAGAGAGGTTACGTTATAGTATATACTGAATCTCCAGCTAAAATCCAAACATTTAAAGTACCTTTGGAGGAAGTTGTCCTTCTGTGACGACTAATGAGTCTCCGTTGCTTATCTTCAGCTCTGACAGAGAAGCATCCTGAGAATAAAAGGTTGTTGTTAATATGATGAAAAAACAAGGGAGGAATTCATAAATAATTCTGAATATACCAGTATGACACTTAATATTTCCAGGCCAACATACTACAACATAGCAATATACAAATATATTAAAGTATATGTCAGGTCAAATTATTTCAAGCACTACTTAAGTTTTGGTGTCATGTGGTTTTGGCTATATGCACGTTTTCATTCACAGTTTAGTACCTTGTTAGCTTTCAGACAATATTCTCTCTATGAATTTAGCTTGGTGCTAAATATAATTATAAAAGTAAGCAGGGTAAAAAGACTAAAGTAAAAAAAATAAATACACTGTTTGATTTAGGTATGACATACTGTTCACACTATAGTCGGCCACGCACCTCATCCATAAGTGGCTCTCCAACCTCCTCACACCAATCGAGCCTCCTCAAGTGCCAACAGGTGCCTGCAAACACACATTTAAATGACATTAACAACCAGATATAGCATCAAAAAGTACTTACAAAGAGTCTTACAAAAGCAAAGATAATCTTGATGAACAGCAACCAAACCAAAAGTTATAAACAGTAAGAAAAGACAATAGAAAAAAAAGGTTGTTTTACCATCAAGTCCAACAGCATCCAGCATTGACTTTAGACACTGCAAATAAGAAAAAAATAATTTCAAAGTAACATTTAACATAAGTTACAATAAATTATGAATGTTTCACAAAATAAGTACATGAACATGTCTTCACCTCTTTGACAGTACAAGTATTCTCCACAATTATGTCCATCTCCATGCCAGCAGAGGGCGCTATGCCCACAGAGAAGTGCAAGAAAAGCTGCAACGCAAAGAAAAAAAAATCTCACATCAACTGAGCGTTTAAAACGCTCGTAACTCCTCATCTCAATTTGTTTGGATAGGAAAGGTTTATTGGTACTTAAAGGTTCTGTAACATTCACCTGTGCAGCTGCAAGTACAAAGAGTTTATTGAAGATTTCAAATAAAAAGACACACCTGTGATGCCTTGGGGGCACTTCCCGGACAGAGAGTCAGTGTGGTCATGAGTCGCACGCCTGCATCCCGAACACTCAACTCCTCACACACTGTCAGGTTGGACAACACAAGTGCACTTAGTAAACACACTCTGAAACTTCAAAGATAGATGATGAGAAGAAACATTACAAGAAGGGGGAGCACCTTTTAAACATTTTATGAGGGGGCAGTGTAAAGGAATCATATATCTTAATATTTTTGTTAAAATGAGGGGGATTTCCAGCACTAAGTTATCTGCACCATTAAAATCACCCCCAGGTAACAAATGAAACAGTACCTGGAGGAAGGAGTTTCCCTGTGCAGTCCACCTGTCTCAGACAGTACTGTGCACCTGGTCAGAGAGAATAAAAACAGCTGATTTAAGAATGTATACTTACTTATATAAGAATCCAAACACAAATACACATTTTGTGATGGCCTGAAGCAGTAGCCAAGATTGAGAAAATATATTATATCATAAGTAGACAATACTCCAAACCTAAAGCAGTGTGGTCTTTTTTTGTTTGAAGGGTCTAAGTTTAACGGCTTATGATTTTACATTTTGCAAGAGCCTTTTATGATATCTTTGATGTCTGTTTACTTTGGCAAGCTCTTATTTTGTACTAATTCAATGATATTCACTGGTGACTTGTCAAACATATTTTATACACATAAAACAGATCATTTGATGTATTTGAGACTGTTTTGCTGCATTATGAAAGACTGAAGTGCAGTCTGAAGTATATGCAGACTGCATCTGCATATACTCTGTGATAACTGACTGCCCAACAATGAATGGGGGGGGGGGCTGACCAGGAGATCCCTTGCAGACACAGTTGTGTTTAAGACTAAGCAGCTTGCCTGGGGGTTGCTCCTGTAGCTGCAGCTCCTCTATGGCCTTCAGCTTCACCTCACCCAGTAGCTGTAAGAGAGACACATTAAACGTGATTTTTAGAATGTGATGAGAGATAAAGATAAAGACGAGACGAACCAGACAGAGCAAACACAGCAGCACTAAAAATTGCTGACCATATTTCCTGTGGCAGGAACCTTGATCTTCCTCCTCTCCTCTTCTTTCTCCCCTTCTCCTCCTCCTCCTCCTCCTTGTGGTTGCAACTCCACCTGGAGCCAGCGGCAGTCAGACGGTGTAGTCACAGTGACGACGTCTCCGTTTAGAGTGAACATGCTGAACAAAGTTAAAAAGACAAAAGTAAAACACACACCTGAAGAAAACAACGTGTACACACATTGCAGAGGGTTTTACCTGCTGTCGAACGACTGTGGCTCCAGCACCAACAGCGCGTCTCCGTCTTTCAGAGACAGCTCCTTTAGCGTCCGCTGCATGTCATCGGGGGGGAACAATCTCCATCCACTTGCCCCTCCTCCCTCCCCTGCCCCATGCTCTCCCCTCTTTCCTCCTTTATGCTCCTGACACAGCAGACTCTCCTTAGGCTCCCCCAATGCCACTTTCACCTCCCCAAGAGTCACAGCACCTGCAAAACCTCTCGCCTCCCTTTTAAGACCTGGCCCCCCATTTTCAAAACCTCCTCTTCCCTCCTTACACTCAACCGCATCTTCCACCTCAGGAAGCTCATCTTCCCCCAAAAAGGGACGCACTACAGTCAGCAGCACCGGCTCCCACTCAGCTCCAGTTAGGATAGTCGCACCACACACCTTAAGAGATAAAAAAATAAGTACACGAGTCGGTCCTTTGGGATCTTGTCCAGTGAGCAAGTTGGAGATAGACATTGGGCCTCATGCAAGAACCACTTGTATGAACAGAATTCATTCTAAGTTGGAACGTACTGTAAGTGAAGTGATGCAATTTCTATTGCATTCACCCATTTTCTTCCACTTATGATTTTCCAATGAAATGTTCAAATGGTTCAGACCTGTACAAATCAAGTACAGAGCGAGGTCCACCTATCTCTACATTGAAAAAAAACACTTTGATTTAAGAATCCCTAATCTGAATGAATTTAAATATGCTACTAAAATAAACTTCTGTTTATTAGATTATTATCATCAAGCATTATTTCCAATTTACTGACAGTAAAGTTTGAACATTTTTTTCCTTTAGATTTTATTAGCATACTTTGGCAGAGCTACTTATACAGTAGATTAGTTTAAAAAAACTCTCCCACTCTGACTGCTAATTCTGGGTCTTTATGCTGTCCAAGGGAACATCTTCCATTGTAACACCTAACATTAACATCATCTACAGTATAATAGTCACGTGTCCATCTCTCTTACTGTCATGTCCCCGTGACGGCCTTCCATCTAAGTCATCAACTGATCTTTTCTAATTGATTCAGGTCCCCTAGTCCAAGGATGGCTCTGCAGTGTGAAGTTCTTTTTGCTCTTGAGTGTCGTTTTTATGTATCAAACGTCCTCCACCAAAGCTGCTTACAGGTTTGTGTGTGAGATTTTGGTGAACACTTGTACAAGGAAGCCTCTCGCAAAAAAGTGAAAGACATTTAGGATAAGATAAATGTTGTATGAGGCCTACTGTGTGGGACTATGCCCTTCCTCACCTCTCTTCCGTTCCACACAAACAGGTCAGAGTTTGTATGAATGCCTGCACTGTACAGGGAGACACTGTCATCTGCAAAGAGTACCACAACCAGAATGTAGTTACAACATTTGTAAAACTTCTATCCTCTTGAGGTACTTTGCATTCATGGGACTCACCTGTAACAGTATTGTAGAGGTGAAGACCTGCAGGAAGACTCTTGGCCACGGTCAAAGCCATATCCCCTTCCCAGAGTTCCTGCATCTATATAAACAAATGCACATAAAACATTCTTTTTTCCAGCATTTTAGAACACAAGAGGTAGTGTTTATGGAAATGAAGTTACCTGATAAATAGCTAATCGTAGATCTCCCACGGTCTTTCTGCGGTCGAAACTCAGAGTGGTGCTTCCGTTCTGCTCTCTGCTGATTGGTTGCAGGGCTCCATTTTCTAGCCTGTAACTGGGTGCCAGGTGGAGACGCAGCTCCACAGTGTTATTAGTGGCTTCAAACTCCTCACTGTAACAACAATTACAACAATGTTGACTGATATTAATAATTTATGTAACAGACCATTTTTTTATACAAGTTTCTTCTTTTTTCTGGGTATTGATGTGTGGGTCCTCAATGACTAAGGAATTTTATATATCACTGAAATGTCACACTAAGTCTACTAAACCTAAAAGTGTCATAATACTATTGAAATATGTGAATGAGTCTTTGATTCTGTACCGCATTTGCTGCATTTTGATGTTCTCCTCCTGAGCCATTTGGATTAGGTGAAGAGGAACTTTATATTGGGGATTGTTCAGAGCTGCAAATATAGAAACACAATGCACATTTTAATAGATACATATTAGTCTTCTAATTACTAGCCTTTCTGTGTGCTTGATGACAAAACTAAAATTAAACCAGTGATTAACTGATTCATTGTTTCTTTCTTTCTTTCTTTCTTTCTTTCTTTCTTTCTTTCTTTCTTTCTTTGCTCCAACACACACATGCAAAAACATGGAGTTCATTACCTTCACTGGGCCTGTGCAGCTGTGTTTTTCTGTAGAACAGCATGTATGCACTCTCTTTGCCCTGGAACTGCTTCTCTATGTCAGACTCCCTGATGGAGGTCACTGTGGAGTCGTTAAGGTCAAACCAGTGGCTACCCTGCTGACATACAGGAAGAAATACTGTGAGAAACAGGCATCAAAGCAATCACAAGATGTCAGCCAGGAAAACAGATGGGTTTTTTTGTCACTTTAGACCTTGAATTCCTGCTAAAATGTGACTCTAATACCTCTTGTTCAGGCTTTGACTGTTGTTCATCAGCTCCAGGGTCTGAAGGTGTTGAAGGATCAGAGTTAGTAGTCTGCTCTGCTGGGCTGGGTGACTCAGTCACAGGGCTTGGCGGGTTTGCCTTCAGTGCCACTCGAGTACCATTCGACACCAACATGAAAACATCATTGTGGGACTGCAGGAACTACACCAGAGGAGAAAAAGTAAAGACATGATATTTATTGATATAGGAAATAAACTGGTATTTGTCCCAAAGGACACCAGACTTAAATAAAAAACAAAAACAAAGAAACCAAAAATACCTTTCCTATGGGACCATAGTGTTTCCTGAACTTTTTGCTCCAGGATGACCCAATCTTATCCATGAGTTTTTGGCCCAGCTGGTCTAACAGGACACTCGTTGATGGCTCCTAGTGGACAGGACATAAATACGACCTAATTAGTTGGGCAAAACAAAATAATTGGACAAATATATTCAGACTTAGGGGAAGCACTTAGATTTTCTGTATATACCTGGGCAATAATGGCAGTGAGGACAGACAAAGGGTCATCTTCTTGAAGTTTTGGCTCACACACTTCCTTTTTGACCTCTTCCTTGACTTTCTTCTGAGTCTTGGGTTTGCAATCCTCCTCCTGACATTGAAACAAAACAGGTGATGCCTTTCCTAATGTACACATCCAAAAGCTTGCAGTTTTTAATAAACTTTTATACATTACCAACAGAAATGCTAGTCAGAAAAGTTAGCAATATTCTTTATTATTTAGTAATTTTGGGAAATTAGCAATTAGTCATTAGTCACTACAAGCATCATATATTCTAAAAATGAAGCCCAACTAATGACTGCTTATTTTAAATCAAATATCCTATCCTCTTCTCTTTTTCTCACCGGTGGCTCCCAATGGCCCAGCTGGTCAATGTCCCTGATATAAACATGGTAATGGCCACCATAGCAGCCGCCCTTGTGGATAATCACAGAGAACAGCTCGTAGGAGTAATCGGAGTCCTCTCCATCAGTCTGTAAAGAGTACAACACATAATCATTAACTTTTCAAGACATCTTAGTGTAAGTGTGTGCCTGGAAAAGAAGAGAAAGGAACAAAAAAAAACAACAATCGAGAAAAGGCATGTTAAATATGCAGAATCTTAAAGCAAGTGAGGTGAGGGTGTTAGGTACCTGTTCACAAAATGGCTGTAGGTTGATGGTGAAGGGGAAACTGTACCGTCCTGTCTCCTTGTATCTCTCACATTTGGCAAAGTCAAAGCTGAATCTCAGCAGAGACATGGTCATGAATGGAGGGAGCTTCCTCAGCTTGGCAGACTGAATAATAATAATAAGAAGAAGAAGAAGAAGAAGAAGGTGAGAAATAGAAAAAAAAAAAGTTGTTGGAAGTTCTTTGCGTATCTAGTTTTAAGCCTCTTTTCACATCAATTGTTTAACGTAAGGCTTGTTCAAAAAGGTAAAACGAGAGGAGAACGTATTTTAAGGTTTAATTTATTATAATCTTTGCTATTGTGTTGGCACATTCTGAAAAGCTGCCACTGACCTTGGCAGCGGTGACCAGCCTGTCACACTGTGCACAGCGGTACAGGTTATTGCCCTCAAACAACTCTTCCTCCACAAACATGTTCCACAAAGCGTCCTCCAGGCTAGACACTCCACAAACACACACAGTCAGGTCCAGGAAATCCTCCTAAAGAAGGCACACAAAAAAACAGAGCTGGATTAATCAGTAATTTTACATTTAGTAGTGAGATTAAGTGCATATGGATAACTCCTTTAGTGTCAGTCCCACTACATCTTATTGAGCCAAAGACATATAAAGTATGTCCAATAGTATTTAATGGAGCGAAGTCAGAGAGGCAGAGAAGCCTTGCACACATGGACACACCTGTCTCTGGCTGACGTTGCCACACTCCTTGCAGACAATGCTGTTGACAATGGTCCCATGGTACAGCCGGTGGATAAATGTACTACCAGTGGTTCCCACAAGAGAGTGCTCCAATGCACTGAAGAGAATCCTGTTCAGCTCCTGCACATCATGCTGATTTGTTCCCTGAGAGAGATAGAAACAGAGAAAGGATCAAATTAAGGAAAGAAAGATGATGTGTCCTAGTTCAATACTATGTGCTGATAGTATACAGTGCATACTGTATTACACTTTTCATAAGATATTGTTTTTGTAGTTATTATAGAAGAAATCGATGTACTTTTCGATTTTATACAAACAGGAAATTAGACGAGATTTGCTCTGATTAACGTCAATCAAACTCCACAAATGTAATAGTTACATGTTTGTTTTCTGTTGAGCAGTGCACTGTGGGACAACAGTGTCCATTGCCACATCACATCATGTACATTCTTGACCAGGAAAAGGTAGTTATGCGTGTCCCGAGGCAAATTCTGTGAATGTTTCTGTCTGTTCTCCCCTCATTATGTATTAATTCAGCAGGACTGCAGCTGGGATGCCTCCAGACAAAGTGGAATTCCAGTTAGGAATCTAGTTTTTGTGAATTTTGGCATGCATTTCCTGATGTGACTGGAAAGTAAATCAATGACTGAAATGTGAAGTGTAACCTGAGCCTCTCTTTCTCCTCTCTCGCTGACAAAAGATAATGGACACAGACCTCGCTGCTGTTCCAGCCAAAACTGTCAGTGAGGTTGGCGGTGGAGGCACACTGCTGGTCCACCAGTAGCAGACTGGAAAACAGTCTCTGCAGCTCCAGTGGGATCACTCTGACCTGAGGAGAAGAAAGAAGGAAAAATAAGTACACAACACAAAGACACACAGACACTATACATCTATGCTTACACCTACAGTACAGGCACTTACTTTGGCTCCTGGTTTGTCTTTGTCTTCCAGGCATCCCAATTCTTCTGGCCCCAAATTGAACAACTCCTCTGTAAAAGACACAAAACCAAGAAATTAATTAAAAAGAATATAATGTATAGAAAACTACCCTCTTGTTTCTTTACAGCACTGGTGGACCTCAGTCTCATCCCACCAATCTAACCTGGCCTTACCTCTGAACTCTGGGGTGAAGAGCAGAGTCTGGAGCAGAGAGTTGAGGTAGCAGGTCCCCCCCTGATTCTTGATGCCGCACAGATTGCTTCTTCCTCGGGGTGGAGGTGGCTCCTCTCCCCCCTTCGCAACTCTCCCCCTGGAGGAAGTCGAAGCGAAGCCTTCCTCCTCCTCTTCCTCGAAAAGATTCCCAAACATGCTGAGTGCGTTATTTGCTCACTTTTCTCTCGGTTATGCTGGGGGACTCGTAGTAAATCGTGTGTGTGTTATCACTCCCGATGTGCCCTCTTGCTATCTCATCTTGGTCTTGCCGAGTTCTCTGTTGACAATGGCTGGGCTGACTCTGAAATAAGAAGACTTCACGGGGCTAAACATAGCGACTATTACCGGATGTAATATGCGTTTGACTCGCAGTTACGTTGTTGTTAGCCAGCCTAGCACGCTAACAAAGGCAAATCAGTCGTAGTCCCGACACTGTTGAGCAGATTGACAGCTCAGCGAAAAGGAACAAAAAAAAAAAAAAGCTGTCTGTCGGTAACGTTAACGGTTAGTCTCTCTACGACTGGAAAGATGGCGTCTTCCTTACCGACGCTCTAACGGGTGATTTACTCGTTACACAGTGTAACTATAGCTGCTGTCACTGTCTCTTTCTTCCTCTCTCCGTCGTAAAACAGATAACAAACGAAACGTAAATAGAAATCCCGTCGGTGAACAGTAGGCAGCCATGTTTCTTCCTGGTGGAAACGTGAGTGGTGCATTGTGGTACTTGTAGTTTCACACTTAGTCAAGGGGCACGTTCAAATCACTGTAACTGGAGATATCTGCATCATTTGGACAATGCATATAAAATTGTTTATTGTAATTTCAGTAATTTAATTCAATTTATGATACAGCAATAAAACAAACGTGTTTTATTAATACATTTATGTGTACTGCAAGGCTAGCTATAAAAACTACATTTCCGACAAGTCTAGTCTAGAAGTCATGGGGCTTGTAGTCCTCCGCAGCAAACATGTTTTACAGTTGTTAGAGAGGTTGACAGCAATGTGCCCAGGGCCATGTGCGCTGGTTTGCATAGAAAGGTAAGACCTCGCCAGGTATTTTGCCACTAAATTACTTGGAATAAAAAAAAAACTTGTGTACTGTATGTCGAGCCTGCTGCAGGGTATGTTTACCACCTTTCCTTCCTCCAAATGAACATAAGGTTAGCCAATGCACAAACAACTCTTGTTTTACGTATAAACATATTAAGTTTGGTTTATTGTCATTTAAATAAGTTAGTCACTTTTTATATATATATAATTCATGCAGTCAGAGGCAAAAAACTAATGATCAGTCCAAATTATGAGTGAACACACATTCCAGTTAATAAACAAAATGTTAAACATAATTAATATTAAATGTTTTTACAGACAGAAACAAAATATTACAGAGTTGTATTCATTTCTGTCAGATAATGCACACAAATATATAGATATAGTCTCATAAAAAGTATGTGCATGTGATATTTGTGTTAAAATGAGGTACATCAGTTGTTAACCTAGTTGATGTTGTAACTGTGTGCAGGCCAGGTCATTATACCAAATTCACCCAGCTAAAACTGTTCTCATTTTATTCATTCATTTAACTGTTAAATGTCCAGTGTGTAAGAATTAGGATGATCTATTAGCAGAGATGGAATATAATATATAGATATTTATAATAGTTGTGTTTCCGTAACCTTAAAAAGAGAAGTTTTGTATCTGCAGTGGGTTTGTGGCCACCGTAGTTTCTCCTACATGCTTGGAAGGCTGAGCTGTATTCACATGGTTGCAATCTGCAACTTTACTGCTAGATACCACTGGATTCTACACACTGGTCCTTTAAATAAGATTTTCAGTAAGTTTGATCTCTCTACATGATGGTCTAAACACAGTTTCAAAACCTTAGGATAACCTAGAACATAACTGTTGTGGGGGAATGTTACATCCTCTTAAAGTTAACTGTCAAATTTAAAGATATCTACTCTAAAAAATATCAAAATCATTCTTCAAAACCCACCATGTGCAATTTCTGTGTAATTGTAGAATGTAAAATCCTCCTCAGGTTAAAAACAAAAAACTGATTTCTAGAAGCTAGACTAATGTAATAACCGTAAAGGTTGCTACAGCCCTGACTGTATGTAAATTGTGAACAGACACAGTATTATAAAGGCACAATTACTTAAACACATACTCACACGTTTCAAATATTATTGCAAACATTTTCTCACACAGGGACACACAGACACTTACAAAGACAGCATGTACATTCAAATAAATACAGTACACAAAAAAAAACACATGCACACTCTCCTTTTTTTGCCTAGTAGGTTTTCAGTTTGAACACTTTGGAGAGAGGTGCTTTGGCACTGGAGTAGATCAGATATGATTCTCCTTTAGAGCTGAAAAACTCCCAGTCACTGCACCCAATCGTTGGGAGCCAATGAACAGGAACAAAGCCTTCATATCCCTGCCACCTAAAAACAAACAGAGAGGAATCAAATCAAAGGATGTATTTGCATCTGCAAAGGCTCGAGACCTAAAATTAGCTGTCAGCCAGTTCCTAGTTCCTAATGAATCCTCACATGTCAAAAGTGCTGGTATGCTTTCACTAGTCAGGAGGGAAAATAAATCTACATTACAACAGCGTAGTTGTAGAGAGGATTTCAGCACTACGTTAGAGAGCCATCAGAGTGGATGAATTATTTCACACTGGGAGGGATGTTGTTGACAAGTTGCGTTACCTGTAGAGAATGCTGTTGAGAGAGTAGGATTCTCCGTTAAATGAGTTAGCAACAACCAGAAAATATTCCTCCCCGAGGCTGAAGAACTCCCAGTCCACTGCACTGGAGAGACAGAGAAGGAATGTGGTGATGACGAGAGGTTGAAAGGCAGCAAACCGGTTATTACACAGGAAGTGTCGTCATAGTCTGTCTGTCTGTGTTTGTGTGTGTGTGTGTGTGTGTGTGTGTGCACCTGGCATACTATAGTGTTTGCACAGCCGTACCTATAGGTGACAATGTCCTGGAAGCGGACAAACAGCTGTCCATTCATGTCCAGTTCGTAGATAGTTGAGTTGATGGTATATCGGCTTGGTCCGTTGCCATGGAGTCTGTGTCCATTGGCAACAACTAAGAAGACTCTACTACCAATCTGAAACATTTCCCAGTCTGTGGCGCAGAACGTCTAGATTGACAGGGAGAGAGAAACCATCTTTAAGGTGTGATAGTGTACATTGTGTTTAACTTGCTCATAGTGATACAAAGTGACGAAGTATATTTACTCAAGAAGAAAAAAAAAACATATGATAAGCTCAGAAAATACAGTGCATTATCTCAACATGGGACCCATGAGCTTGGACACCTTACATGTCTAGTTGCTGCCCTTTGTCCTGGTTCAGATTTCCTGGAGTTGTTTGCACTTTCACCAAAGATATATTTAACCTCCAAACTTCTCACATGGTTTAATTTTTTTTTTTAATGTTTGAGGCACAAACATATCAAAGTCAAAATGAACAATTTCCAAAGGGTTATGGAGGCCATGATAAAACTAGTGTAGCAGGACTTATTAATCATCTTATGACCCCTAAGATTGACCCTTTAGATGGAGCTTGAATCAGTGGCCAAATTACCAAACTGTATTTAAAGTTGCTAATAGTAGCTCCATATCAACCAGCTTCAACAGTAAAATACTACTTACACATTGTTGCACCAGTATTAACAACCTGCTAATGTCATAATGTATCAATCAAAGGGGCCATTTTTCTGTGGAACGAGTACTTTTACTTCTGATACTACCTCTGTTTATTTTTAACTTCAGTGGGATTGTAGAACCATAATGCAGTATTATGTATAAGTATTAAGTCAAAGATTTGAGTTCTTCTTCAACTATTGCTTGCTTGAACATAAACATCGAAAAGCTCAAAGAGAAACAAGCTAAGAGACTAAGACACATTAAAGAAATGGCAAAATTATGTATATTAACTCTATTAATTTCTGGATGATTTTACATGATTATTTTCCACCTGCCCCTGAGGTGTTCTTAAGAGTCCTCACATCCATCTGTGGAGTTCCCCTAAATCATCTCCTTATGGTTTCTCATGTGACTATCAATGTGTCAACACGCTCTCCTCAAATGTGGCAAATTCAAATATGTGATTCACTATCAGTTACATGTCAAAGCAGTGCTATCACTCAAGCAAATCACGGCAAACCACATGCTCTATTTATGGCCCTGTCTTAAATGTTCCTTGCTTCCCATCTCTCTTTCATTACCCTTTTATCTCTCCTCGTTTGTATTCCCTTCCTTCTGTGTGCACAGACAAGATGGTTTTTCATACTCATCTCACAGATACGGATCTCATCAGAGGAAATCAAAACCCAGCTGCTAAGAAGATGAATGGCATGGAAATCATGCACCAAAATGCTACATTAAAGTGCTATTAAGCCTCATTTCCACACACACACCTTCAAAATGTGTTTTGATTTTTGTTTTTAATTAAGAAAGTGAGGGTTAGGCAATTTTTCAAGTCTATTTACACATTTCTTTTGCTGTTCAACACATACCTTAATTGTCTGGAACACCTGGAAGCTTCCATTGACCCAAACGTAGATGACTGAGTCTACAGAAGTGGTCACTCCATCAAAGGCATTTGCGACCACTAGGAAATGGTACGGTCCAACTGTGAAGAACTCCCAGTCGTAGGCCCCTGAGGTCAGCAGCATTTGGTGAACCTCAAAAGACTTTGCTGGCTTGTTCCATTTGTATATCACACTGTTTATGGTGTGATTATTATTACCTGGAAGACAAGCCAGAAAGAGAGAGAATGCAACCGAGTAGTTTTATATTTTGAGCCTGTCATGCCAGGAATTCAGGAAGTTAACAGGTGGCCATTTGATGGAGATATATTTTTACCTTGTCTATGATTGGCAACAGCGAGATAGGTTTGTCGGTCAATGGTAAAGGCCTCCCAGTCCCGTGCACAGTGGGTCTGCAGAGTCTGGAACTGCACAAACCGATTTCTTTTTTTGCTCCACTTGTAAATCACAGAGAAGTCCACCTCTGGTTCTTTGTTAAAACGCTTGTCTGGCCCTCTCCCAGTGTTAGACACCACCAGAAATATCTAGATCGAAATAACAAAACATAGAGAATATCAGCTCTCAAAACTATATTGACCAGGTTGAATATATGCATGTGCGCGATTCATAACCCATCTCTTATTTTTTGTCACACCTTCTGTCCCATGCTGAAGTGTCTCCAAGCCAGAGCTTCATATGTGCTGATATTCTGGTAGAGCTGGAAACCTGTTTGACTCCACAGATACACTGCAGAGCCAGAAGCTGCTGACCGATGAGCCATAGCAGCCATCAGACCAATGCCAGGTAACTGGAACACCTTAAGATTGGATGAAAAAGACTACAGGATTAGCCAAATAATATTTCAGGAATTCTACCTACTTAGGCTTTTAAAATAATGTTTCGCAGCCACCGTAGTGTCTCCTTACACACCTACACACTGGACCTTTAAGATTTACACCGAACACCAAATTCCTACCCTACCTATGTTATGCAACTTAAAACTAATAACATCAGACTGTTTTTGCTTCAAGTGAAAATTAGTCATCCTCATTTATTGTTTCGTGGTTTCCGAGGGAGGAAGACAGATGGATAAAAAATAGATACAAAATAGGGTGTAGGCTCTACTGAATGTTTTCCTTGGCAACTACCATCTTTTCCCCAAATGATGTACAGATTTTAAGGCATTTTGTTATCTCAATTGGCTTCATCAATAGTGCACATAGCTGCCTTAAATGGGGGGAAAAAATCTACCCCAGACCCACATGTTTTGGGCTGAGTCTGGCTCCGCCCCTGTTCATAAACCTAAGCCCTTGTTATGGGATTCAAGCTAGAGGTCTAATAAGGTAAAACTACTTGTAAAAGACTACTAGAGTGAAAAAATTGAGAAAAGTCTGGATAATAAACATATTTTTGCATAGCTAAATTTAGATTTTTCTTATTTTGTATTATCTTCTGACCCCTTGTTGGAAACCCAACCTTCAAACTCCCCTAAAGAAAAATATTTCTTCCTTTGGTATCCTTTACTATAAGTATGAGGATCCAATAGTTAGAGATGCCACAAATATATGTAAACATTCATTTACCTCTACATCATGTGTCTCTGAGCTGGTGGTGAGGACCTGTTGTTCCACTACATAGTCCAGTCGTTTATGATCTGAGTAAATGGAGAAGTGAGAATTTAGTTACAATCTTTGGACCTAAAATGAGTTAAACTTATAAGTCGATGGCTGATGGATTCTCACCCTCAAGCACAGCGATCCACGCTGTGCCATCGCAGAGGTAGAGGCCTTTCTTAAGCGGATTGAACCACAGCTGGCCTTGTAGTCGCTCTGAGCACGACAGCTCCAACCCCACTGCCACTCTCTCCTCTGTTTCTGATAGTTTGTGATCAAAGCACAAAAACAAGCAGCCAATCAAGGAGAGAAGGAAGCGAAGGAACACACATAGGAAATATCTCATATACCAAATGTCATAAATTACCATAAGAGGTCATGTGGCCGTCACCCTCCCTTCCCGGGACAGGCAGGTCTGAGAGAAGTGGTGGTACGGACAGAACTGCCAGCTGGGGGTTGGAAGAGGGGCAGATGTAATGGGTGGCATCCGAACCTGGCACCAAAACCAGCTGTCGCAGGAGACCCTGTACGTGGGGCAGCAGATAAGACGGAAAGGATTTGACTGTTTTAGAGAAAGCAGTGGTTTAGCAGTTTATTTCTTATTAAAGTTAGGGATGAAGAAATATAAGCCTTACTGAATACAGGCCTTTCCATCTCCCCCGACTGCCGATGTGGAATCTCGATCCCTGAAAGTTGAGGTCTGAAGGAAAAGGCCTGGAGGGAACACTGTTTGCCATAAAAATACATAATTATAAAATTATTTCTAATAGCTGCATAAGTTGTTTTTCTTCTATAAATGAACTAAAAGTCTCTGTAATTAAAGTAGTCACTGTTTCTGCTTCTGTTTTTAAGACTGAGACAGGAATTGTGTTATATAGGCACTGTACGGCGGCTGATATTCCTCCCTTCTGTGCGCCAGAGGGAGTTTCCACTAAAAACCATCTATCACATACTGTCAGGCCACTATGATATGGCTGCAGGGTGTGAGCAGATTTGGAGCAGTGCCATTGTATTGTGGTGACGGATCTACTATCCCTCAAGGGAATTCACAGAGAACAGGAAGAGAACATGGTGGGAGACAGACAGTGTATCCACCCAGTGAACAGAAGAAAAACAAAAAGAGCTTACATTTCCAGTGGTGGGCTACAGTCCACTGTGAGCCTGACATGATGGCTATCAATGGCCAAAACCAGAGTGTGCCACTGGTTATCAGCCAGTCGGGCGCCACGAAACCCCCAGTGCTCCACGACCCCTCCGTGACCTCTAAAAAGGAAGTGCAGACGTTTTCTCGAGAGCCTCAGTCCCAGGATGATCCGTCCACGTTCTTCATTACTCTTCACCCGCCTCTCCTTCTTCCTCTCTCCATGTTGCTCCCCCTCTTTATTCATTTCCAAAATGTTCCCTTTATCGTTCACAGCTTCCTTCTCCCCCAGGCCCCTTTTCTCTCCTTTATTTGAATCCATCAAGGAAAATATGTATTCATTTCTCTGCAAGGCAAATGAGGAAAAACACTCAGACACTGTGTTTGGCAGGTGGTGGAACTAAGTACAGTTACAGGAACTTAGCTACGTTCTTAGGTACTGCAAAGAAACAAAATAATCCATGGATTAATCAATAATGAAAATAATTATTAGCTGCAATCCTACTTGTGTTTTACTTGCATATTTACATTTTATGTTAACTAATTCTTCTGAACTACATTTAAGAGGAAAATGTTGTAATTTTTACTTCACTACATTTGAACTAAATTGTTACTTTTCAGATTAATTGTTTAAAAACCTTGAATGAACTTATAAACTACAGTGCATTATCTTACAGTACATAAAACTACCCAAAAATATACACTACCTCCACCTCTGCTGCATGATGACATGTTTTACTTTAGAGACTTTAGGTACATTTAGTTGATATTATTTCTGTACTTTTACTTGAAGTACCATTTTCTTAAGGTGGTATTGGTACTTTCACTTAAAAAAAGAAGCTGAATACTTCTTCCAACGCTGACATTCACCAGGTTTTTCCGGGATACTCACCTTGGCTGCACTGCGAGTGACTTTCAGTGTCACAACAATGGAGAATTCTTTGGGGAAGAGATCACAGTTCACCAGCAGCTGCGAGGAGGGAAAGCTCATGGAGGTATGAGGGCTCGACAAATGTACACCCCTCACCCCTCCAGCCTCCTTCATGTGGACCCCTGGTACAAGTTTGGAGGTGTCCCTCTCGAGGACAAAGGACAGAAGATCCAAAGGGAGCAAATCTGCAGACAATAAGCAAATAAAGAGACCAGGTAGCTTGTTTTACTGTTTAAGTCTTTGTATGCAGAAATTTCTATACTATAAACCAGTTGTTTAAGAGGTCGCAAAATAAATCTGAGGGCCCCTGAGATGATTGATGGAATAGCACATTATCTGCTACCCAAATTATTTCGACTTTTTACAGGTTTCTAAAGATTATTCAAAATAAACAACTGTAAAAGGGAACAAAATAATGTACTGCAGTACAATTTTGAGGTACTTTATTTGAATATTTATACTTTATAGTTTTAAATAGGAAATGTTGCACTTTACACATTAAAACATAAGAAAAGAAGATAAAATATGATGCTTTGTTATAAATAAAGCTACCCAACAGAATATACAAGTAGAGATTAAATGATTAGTCGACTGACAGAAACTAAATTGAATGCAAAACATTTCATGGTTCCAGCGTGCGACAATTTGCAGCTTTTCGTTGTAATTTTTATAATAATTTTAATTCATTTTTTAAACAAACAATAAATCAATTAATTGAGAAAATAGCCAGCAGATTAATCATTAGTTGCAGTCCATATGAAATAGTAGAAAAAGAGCTCCACCTCAACCAACAACAAGAGTAAATAAGTAATGCAACAGTATTAATAATCCTATTATTGAATATATAATAATAATAACAGTTGCAGTGGGAAATTCTTCTGTATTAAGTACTTTTACTTTTAATACTTAAGTACATTTTCTTGAATAAAATTAATATTTTCAATATAGACCTTTACTTTAAATAGAATACTTGAGTTAATGATCTGAACACTTATTCCACCACTGCTATCAGGTTAATTTATGAAACCACGGGGTCACAAATAGCCACATCTTTGATTTAAGGGACAGTGTGTTAAAAAGGTTGGGAACAACTGCTATAAACTCATAAATCAATTAATGTCAAAGCATCCTTGAGTCCCTGACCCCTATGGTGTGTGAGAAATAGCCCTGGGTGGTGGTGAAACGATAGGAGGTTTTAGGAGGGGTTGTTATTAGGAAAGAAGCCCTATGCAAAGTGAGAATAATGAAAGAGAATTGCTCCAAAATTGATGAGACATCATATAAATATGCACCCTGTTCATCCTAATATTTTGATGTGTATAGAATTGTTGTGGAATCCTAACCACATCCAATGTCTGTACTCGTTTGTGCATACTGCACACAGCAACACTCCCACTGTACTGTAAGCAGACGCAGACAGTTGGAATTATCCAAAAGAATTTTAGCTGGAGGGGTTTCCCAGGTTTTTAGATGAAACCGTAAACCATTCACTGAATAATCATTAACTGAACATCACAAGTGTTAAAGTGAGCCAAGCTGATAGACAGTGAAGCTAAGGTTGGGAGAGATAAAACAGAATAAAATGGTACAGTACCTGTACAGTGTCTCCATGTGTCTGTGGTGGTATCAATGACCCTTAACCCCAGCAGAAGGAACTGCACAAATATCAGCGATGACATTACAAAAAGTACGTTTGGTTCAGTTGCCAGTGGGCATGAATGTCTCCATATTGTAGGTATTTCTCTATGTGCTGCTCCCTTTGTCTCTATCTTAAGTGACAATACACACCAGACGGCTGTGCATTCCCCATATTGACACAAGTGAGCATTTTCAGATCCTCCAAAGAAAGACGTCTAGTCAACAAACTGCTAAAAAATCATCAAAGCTATGCTGGCTACCTATGATTCTCATGTAAATAAATAGTAGAAGTAAAAGGTCCCAGAGCATCTGTGCTTAGAGAGGGATCCATTCAGCTGTGTGGAGAATCCTGCACCTGCAGCTCCTTTTAAACACCACAGCCATGCAAATCACTAACCAGCCTGTCACTCATCCTCCCTCAACCGCCTCTGATGACACAGACCTGCCAGAGGGGCGAGCACTCTGTGTGTGTGTGTGTGTGTGTGTGTGTGTGTGTGTGTGTGTGTGTGTGTGTGTGTGTGTGTAGGCTCACAGTATACACACACACAGACTGACAGCAGACAGAATATTTTATTGTATTGATATAGATTTCTGTTAAATTCCTCCAGACATTCACAACATGAAAAAGGGGTCTTTGCAGACAAAATGTCTCTTTTTAATTAAAAAGCAACATAAAAAACAACAACACCGCATAGGTGACCCTTGTCCCACTAATGAATAGATTGATATGAGCTGAGGTATTATCATATTAGCTGTTATCCCATAGTTTATTACCTGAGAAACTGAGGTATGTGCATGAACCCAGCTGTGATATTAAAGTCTCAAACCAGGATTATTACTTGTTGAAAGTCTAATGAAGTCTCAGGTCGGGGAAATTAGGAAAACACTGCAATGTAAAGTACTAAGAGGGCCTGGGTCAAAGCATACTTTAACTGGATTTATTTTAACCTGATTGAATTGGGTAAATCACAGGAATTTTACTTTTCAAATACTTTCCTAGCAGTCTCAAGAGGCATTTTGATTATCCATAGTCACCCAACAAAGTAATACCACTTTAAATAACTTCATAGAATCAGTTTACAAAGTCTGTTTGACCCTGGTTTGTTGGTTACTAGGCAAATTTCCGACGTCTGTACCTCGGCTTGTGTCAGATCTCTCTGAATCCTCTCATCCACCGACCAGCACATTTACAAGGCAAATGCACTTTGTCTCTCTTCTTCTCGCCCACGTTAAGATCATAGACTACACAAAGATCAGGATATAAGATATGAACTCTGCATTGCCCCTCTTTTCCTCTATCCATTCATTAATCTTTCTTCCTTCCAGGCTTGGCATGGAGTGGGTGTTGCACTCTCCTGTGTGGTTTCAGAGTGATCCGTTTGGATGCTGAAAAGTTGATGTAGATTGTTCTCTCATGCGCATGCTTTTCCTTATTCCTGGTTTGACTCATCATCACCTGCTGCTATTACTCTTATCACTGTTCCACTTGCGCTAAATGTAACCATTCAGTCAGTGTATCAGATGCAATCTAAGGCTCTAAATCAGGCACCAGGTGACACCCTGGAAGTGAGTACACTATTTATCAGACTTTGTTTAGTATATCAACATGTCTTTTTTTTTTTTTTAAACCTGCTTCCCTGAATTTAGTTATCATTTGTTTATGTAAGTGAGGTCTTAAGTACATTTCTGTTTCAGGACAATTTAATTCTAATTTTTGGTGTTTTTATCCAGTGTCAAGCTTCAATTGTATGCATGTTTCATATATTATGTTGCTGCATGTCCCTGTATCATGTTGTATTGAATATTTGTGTTTTGGGTGGGTTTTTTTTCAGTTTGCTTTTTGGTAAATATGTGGACAAAGTTGTTTTACGACAGAAGAAAAAGAAAAAAACAGACATTTGAGATTATCATAGTTCACTGGCACCACCTAGCTGTCTACTTCCCTGAAGCCACGTGTGGTGCTACTTGTGCACATATTTTCAGCAGCCAGTGGGAACTGAAACCCTGTCTTATATAATAAACCTCACGTAACTATATATAATTCAATGACAGTTATGTTCTGACAAGTAACAAACTGCAGTGCACCAGGCAGCAGTGAGATTCAATTAAAGACAGGCTTGTAATCTCTACCTCATCAATTTGTAATGGCCTCTTAGTAATAGGACCATGTATTGTGTTGTAACTAAAATACATCAAGAGAGGCACTGTAATTTAGTTTAAGATATCATTTATGCTGCATTAGTTGGTGCTGTGTATTTGTCCTATTCTACCACATCCTGAAAAACAGTAAAACAAATTAAATAAAAATCATCCAGGGATAATTGTAAAACATTAAAATAAGCATTTCAGTACTTCGTCTATTTTTGAATACACCTGTACAAAGTAATGACGCATGGGACAGCAAATCTGAGTACCAAACTATATTTATTGTATACAGTAGTAAAAGACCACAAATAATGTACAGTAGAGAAACAAATAACATGACAAGACCTGTGCCCCGTTCTTCGTACATTAGCTTGGCTCGTACACCAGCCCGCTCGAAAACATTGTCCAGCTAACTCAGTTCTTCAAATGCAAGTGGAAGGCTGTCTTAATAACTGTGCTCTTATTTTGTCAGACCAGAAAGCTGAACTGAAGATCGCTGTGTGATTGGCATGTACACTCTTGAAGAGTAAGTCAGCATGTTTCTGTACACAATTTTGTCAAATGCTTGTTAATGACTGCGGGAAGGATGAGAATTGAGTAGTCCTCAGATAAAATTTAATATTCTATTCATTGGGGTGTGAGTGGACAGTAGTGATTATTTCACACAGCAAGTGGCAGTACAGTGAAGCTTTTTAAAACATTTGTCAAATATTCTTTAGAAATGAAAAAGGTATTGACATTGACTGTGTTTATTACATTGAATGATACAAAAATACAGCTGAACAACATGACGTAGACCACAATTTATTTACTATTTAAAAAGGACATCGCCTCTTCTAATGTGGCTGAATAGAGCTACATTTAAGGCTATGGGAACATATCTTAAACATTAAGGGAGACTAAAAAAGGCCAATTACAACTGCAGCCCATATTGCATCATTTTAAATACCTCGTAATGCAAGAATTGAATCTGTATTGCAAATGTCTAAATAGCAGTGGGTCATACTGCGACTGATCATATTTTGTTGTAATTAATCTCTATGACTACTCAAAACCTGTTCAGTTATGACAATACTGACCGAAACTTGAAAGGGTTGCCGGGATCCAACTTGCTCTGAATAAGCTTGTACGTTTGCAGGTTTTGAGCACAAGGACAACTTGCTTTGATACATTTTAATCCTGACTGAACTGATAAATACAAGCTTGCATCAGGCAGCAAACATTCCAAAAAATAATAATAATCAAGCCAACTCAGCTATCTGCGTACGAAGAACGGGGCCCTGTGGGTACGGAACACTTATCTCCCAAACTCCATTGGTTGGCCTCCCTGCCCTCCCGGTATGCAACAAACTGCATGCATCCTTCTCCGAAAACTGTAAATAATTCGAGACACTCATCACCACTTGGGGTATATCTTCACTGTTTGCAATAATGCGGTCAGGTTTTTAAACAAATGGCCTGCAACTTCTGTCTTTTATACACAAGGAAACAGTTCGACAGTTGACAAAGCAGTGAAAAGTGTCTTCAAAATGTGTTAGCAAAAAAGATACTGACTTTTGTTGGATATCCTTGCTCAAACTGGAAGCTGCTCCTCTTCAAAACACATCTAGAATTAGTTGTCCCGTCAGCCTACATTCGCAAGCACAATACAGAGATGAGACAGCTGACCCCAAAACAGCGCAGAGGAACAACCTTCCAGTTATTCCCACCCATAACCCAAGCTCTACTTTCACCCCCCCCACCAATGTAAAACTTACAAGCACAGCCACTTGTAAGAATACCATAGGGACTGGCTACTGGCCCGCTTCATTGGAAAATAGGGAAAGAAAACCAAGTTATGTATTCCATGACAAGAGACTATCCTAGCCAGACCCAAACCAATTCTAACAAAGGGTGCACCTCAGTGGTGTAAATTAAATGTCCCTCCCCTGAACAGCCATTTTTCCAGATAAGTGGATAATAGTCTGTACCGGATACTCACAAAGAACCTTTCTCAATTAGTAGAAGTCATAGAGGAAGCAAATAACATTAATGATATACAAACTCCCTTAAAATGTGACAGTTTTGACCTTGCAGTTTGCTTTTAGAGTAGACAGAAGTTCGGTCTTTGGAGTATTGGTCCAAGTCCCACAACATTTATCTAACATCAACTCTGAAACTTCTGTACAGAAAAATCAACAAGCCCCCTGGGTGTTAATTCTTAAAAGAAAAAAAATCAAAAATACAAAAAAAAACATTCCAGAACACTTTAGCAAAAGCACCTAAAATGCAGAGAATTAAAATACCTTGATGACAGAGGAGCAGGAGTCACTGTTCAGAAAAAAAATAATAAAAAAATACACACACACAAGAAAGTGAAGTGAAATGGAAGGTGGGGGTGTATTAAGTTCAGATCGTGCTTCCACTTCAAAACATTTTCATGCCCACTGACTGTGACCCCTGGACAAAATCTTGCAGAGCCTCGCATTCAACCATGATGGATGAAAACCGTGACAAACTACTGGATACTAAGCTTTCACTGGAGAGTGAATGAGAAGCACTGACAAACCAGGAACAGCCTTGACGCACTGTTGGTCCAATCACAGCCTGTGGTGCCGGAGAGAAATGTTGTCCTGATTGGCCAGCAGAGACTGTTGACGCGCACGAAAAGTTCAGTCCTGGCTGAGACAGTATATAAACAGCTGAGTAGCCTCCCCACACACACCTGACCAGAAATCATGATAGACATCTTTAAACTTAAGAAATAATAATAATAATAATAATAATAATAAGCTGAGAGGGGTGATGGGGAGGGGGGGGGACAGTGAAGGTGGCTGAGGGCGTGGTCTGAGGGTGGCCGTCAATGAGGTGGGGAGGGCTTAGCAGTGCCCGCCTGTCTGCTGCTGGAATACATCTATGGTGTCTTCATCTTCCATCTCCAGCTGAGAGGAGCAGAGCGAAAGAGGTTTCAGTTAGCGGATATAAACAATAAATGAACAGGTAAAATAATTTAAAAGACTGTACAGAGACACTGAATGCCTGAATTGTGCAGTCAGTGTTTAATACAATTGAATACTGTGGACGGATCCTTTCAGTAAGGTTTAAAGACAATATGATGTTCAAAAAGAGCATCTTACCTGTGCAGGTGTATCCGTCTCATTGATAGGCTGGCCATCAAACCTGAACCTGATCTGCCTTATTGCAAGGCCCTGCAGAAGCAACACATGAAGATGAATCCATGTGTAAAAGGACTTTCAGTACAGGAATGGTGGGAGAAAGGAGAAGTGCGCAACTCAGGGAGGAGGGTGGCTGAATGAGGTATTCCAGCTAATCCAAAATAATTGTATGTTGCTGGAGAGGAGGAAATCTAAAAAACAGTCATTTGGGCTTTGAGCTCACCTGTCGTTCACAGTATGCCTTCATTAGTTTGCTGAGGGGTGTGTGTCTTTTGATTTTGAACTGGACCACCGACCCATCTTGCCCTGCAACCTTGAGGTTGATGTGATCGTTCTCAGTCTTTACTCCCTCCTGCAGAAACAAACATCAAAACATAAACATCAAATAAACCAGCAGGTTACAAAAAAAGAGTAGAGAACCCACCAACATCACACTGGAGAGCTTACACAAGATGCACTACAGATAAATAAAAAAAAAATAGTACTGCTAACACAAACGTATGGCAGATAGGTAAGTTACCAGAGTGTTAGCTACATAGCATGCACCTCTAAAAGAAATGTAACCAAGTGTGGTGAAGGAATAAGATTACACCATGTTGTACACACATTTAACTCAATATAAACCTGCATTAGTCAGACTAATTCAGGCAGGTTACAGCGTGTTGCAAGCCGGGCAGTCCCACATGCTAACGTTAGCATGATTAGCTCCGGGGCTAGTTAGCCAGCCCTTTAAGACCGTTGGTGAGTTTAGCTGCCGGCTAACGATGCTAACAGTTTTGTTTTGTTACAACGTTGCTGTCCTCCCTCCTCCTCCTCCTCCTCCCTCCCTAAAAACAAAACACATTAAAAAGTAGCGACAACAGCACGGAAACATTGGTTTTAATACAGAGTGCGTCACCTCCATTAGCGCTCTTTAGTCGCTGCTGCAGTTGCGGCATTTTGCGGTGTTGCGGATATAACGTGGTCCCGTTTCGACAAAGAAAAAAAAAAAAAAAAATCCGCAAATGACAATCATGGTGTAATTGGTATTTCTGCCCACCGTGTTCGAGCCCCTCGTTCAGGAGGGTGATAATCTCTCCGGTGTAGACACAGTGTGTCGTTCAAGCGCGTATAAATGTAATTACGGATGTGTGGGCACTCATTCATTTGCGAAACAAACACTGCGCCGATTCACAGAAACGTGCAAACCAGGCCATTTTTGATTGCACATCTTAGAAATGGTTTGGCAGGAGCTCGACTGAGCCATCGCCACAGAACCCACAGCTCTTTAACCCTTTGTGTCTTACCTTTGGCTTTTCCTCTGACATCCTGGCTGTATTTTTTGTGTGCGGGGTTTCAGAATAATCGGTTAATTGGGCTTTATTTGCCTTTCTGCCGCCTTCTGTCCTCTCTTCTCCTCCGCTGACGGGTGCGCGCTTTGGACCGCTGTTACAAATAAACGATTGGCTCCGGCAGGACCACGTGACTGCTAAACCGCGGGGGCGCGGACACGGGAGCGCGCACCTATTCAGAATACTCGATCACGCGAAGTTGTATGAAGGTAATAGTATTAAAACCTTTGAATACTCGTACAAATTATACAACTATATATATATATTTGTACTAATTATAATAATATAATAATACATTTTCAAACGTAAGATTATTACTTATTACTCCCTAACAAAAGTAATTAATTACGCTAAGTTATATTACTTTCCCCCAAAAAATGGTAATTATGTCCCTTTCTCTCCAAAATTCAGTCTTGATGATTAAAATCCAGTTTTATTTGTTAAAATGAAAGTAATGTGAATATTTCCAGCTGTTAAATAATAAGCGTTTTCATCTTCCAAACTAAATTTCTCCAGGAATACAAAAATGAATCCAAGCATGTGATTGAATTGTTGGATTTCAGATCAGTAAGGGGTGCCAATAAAAGTAATACTGTAACGAATAATTTTTTGCAGCGGTATTATTACTGAAATGTATTAGTAATTAGTTACACTACTGCTCACTGGGGAAATTAATGTTATTACAAGTAATGAGTTACTGACCAACACTGTCGGTTAGTCAGTAAGCAAATATAGTTGCTTGTACAACATATTTTTTAAAAGTGCAATCTAAAATTTACTTTCAAAAATATAACAAAAAATACAAGGCAAAGGTTTTAATAAAAGCAAAATACAGGCGAAACAAACAATAAAAGTCACTAAAGGAATTAACAACCAGTCTATTATTTTAATAGAGGTATGTGTCTTTACAGGATATATAGGCAAATGTTGAATTAGGCAGACTTCAATCGACTTCAGGATCAACACATTCAGCTGAACTTAATGATTACTTTAGAAATTCAGAGTGCAAGGCTGAAAAGTATTTGTGACATTATCCAAACCTAATAACCAACAGTAATTCAACAAAAATGGCCTCCAACAAGTACATTTCAGAAAAGGAAGGAGTCAATTTGAAGTAGAAAAATAGGTAATAATCTCTATATCTCTAAATCAGCAGCAACTAAGGGGAACAAAACTGATTAAATCTGAAGATGTGATCAGATTTTCTTAAATAAAAAAGGAATTAAGTAGTCAGTAACCAAACTAGATTATTTCCATTCTTCACAATTAAACTTAAGACTGATGCCGTAGGAGCCACAGGATAGACTACTATAGTCTTGAAGAACACTGCTGCTACATATATTCTAGCCTTTAGTTACAGCCTCTATAATCATCACATTGAAAACAACATTCCTTTTCATTGGCTGGATGAAGCCAGAGACTGCCTATACAAAACTACTGTCACCTTTCTGAATTTATCATAATTATAGTTTACATTAATCCTCAGATCAAGTCACAGCCAACAGGACAGGTTGTTGATGTGTGTTAGGTCAGAGTTCAGGGAAAAGCAGAAGGGTTGTGGTGTAAATCTCAGGTCACCGATCCTCTCATGCAAATTTGGAGTATGGATTTGGCCCCTTTAGACCTGGAGAAACATGAATAAACAGGAAAGTCAATCCGTCCTTAGTCAGTAGCTTAGCATATTCTAGCCAGCTGCTGGCAGTAGCTTCGTATTTACTGTAAAGAGAGTAGTATCACTTTTCTCATCTAACTCTCAGTAAGAAATCGAATAAGTAGACTTCCCTAAATGTCAAACTATTTATTAATCTCTGTCAGGGGCAAAACCAGAAAAAGATAGCTTAATCTAATTTTGCAGTTTTAGCAGTTCTTCCATCAAAAGTACAGAAGTGCATTTAGTTAAGTTTATTTTTTTTAGGGGGGGAGGGGAGATAACATGACCCAAATAAAATAAATAAATAAACAAGTTAGACATAAGACAGACATACAGACAATAACATAAAACATACAATGATGTATGGAGCAGATATTAGACTATATCAAGTAGGGTATGGGTTTCATTAGTCAGGGTGTGTGTAACTAAGTTTGTGACGATAAAATATGCACTTTCTGCTTGTGTGTAAGTGCTGTCCACGGCATAATTGTGTGAACTTTAATCTAGGGTGTATTTTCATAGGCAGGGTTATGGACCTTACATCCATCCCTTGAGTTGAAAATCTTGCCTTGTAGTTAACTCTAATGACATTGTAGTGGTCACAGAGATCCAGGTGCTGTGTGCACACAGGTGTATGTGTAAGCCTACGTGTGTCGGGGGGAAATTGCAGCAGAAATTTCTAAACCCTAAATTTCAGCGCACCCTCACTGAAAAGTTGAGCAATCCCATTCCACCAACAAAAGGAAATCTCTGGCACTGCCGATGTGTTTGTGTCACAAAGATAGAGAAAAAGACATAGCATTAATGTTGGATAATATTATGTTACAATATCATTATAAAAATAATGAAATTATTTGTTTATTTCAAATGGGCAGAAACATATCTGCACAACGTAGTACTGTACAGGCACGTGTGTGAAAAAGAGAGAGAGAAATTATGGAAAAAGTGTGTCAGCAAGTGAGAGAGCTCACCATATTTACTCCTGATTTCCTCATGTCTCTGCTTCATCTCTGCCTTCCTGTAAAGGACAAAACATTCTCTTCTGAGTCACACAATGACTGATCATATTTTACACTCCCAAAAGTCACATGACCACAAAACCAGTTTGGGTTGGCACCAGTCTGACGTGTGCATTTTTCCTTCGTGTTGTGCTATGAAGAGAACTGATATGGATCATGACCAACAATGCCTGTAGATTGTAAACAATGAGTTTACAATCTAACTATTAAGGAGGACATCTCTTTATAGTTATTCAGCAATTGTATTAACATGTCTTTACTGTATGTTTCTATATGAATACATCTACGTTTGAAGGGGCTATGAATATTAATAGAAGAATAATCAGGGCTACAGCATCTCAGCCGTCGTTGTCGTTTCAGCTTTTGCATACATGGAAATAATTTTTTTCCTCTTCCTTTGACCCATCCTATAAACTCAGGGTTCAATGTCTGGCTCAAGGATACATCCAATATAGTTCCGTTAAAGTTTGGGTTCGGTCGGGTAAAAAAAAATTGCGGTCACCAGCCTAATTGGGTGACATTCACCCAAAAAAACATGAAGATGAAGAGAGAATTCATGGAGTACAGTAAGAGGTGGCGTCTGAACAACGCAGGAGCCCAGAGATCCTGGCTAAAATATGAAGCTCAAAAACATTCTGCAGTTTTATGGCAGGTAAAACATATTTTTGCCTGGTAAATTTTCTCAGTTTACCTTCCATAGGCAGATAAAAAAAGTCCAATTTGGACCCTGCATGGACAGGGAGACCTGAGGGATCAAACCACCAAGCCTCCAGTTAGTGGAAGACCTGCTTTACCTATTGATGGCTGCCCCTTATATGGGACCAAATCAATTTGTAGTGGTATAAAAGAATGTAAACATCCATCAGGAAATACACATCAGGGCAAAGAAAGCATGTATGAGGAAGTGTGAGTTTTCTGTCCATTACACAGAAAGCTCTGTGGGAAGAAACTGTTCGTGTGCAGTGTAGCCCTGGTATTGATAAAACTGTAAATCTCCCATAATGGAAGAGCTTGGAAAAGGCAGTGGCGGTTGAGAGAGCAGTCAGATTGTGTGCATTGTTGGCCAGTTTGAGTTTGGCCTGATAATCAGACTGAATTGCCATTTTGTTTCACTTCATTATTCCATATATGAATTGCAGGGAAAAGAATTGAGACATGGGCAGTGATCCAGAGGTCTGCAACCGGGTTCAGATTAAGACTCAAGTCCACCTTGGATACTTCCTCTTGAAGCATATTTTTGCAGAGGAGAGCTACTGGTTGACTATGAATATGGCCTAGTTGTATCATATACACTCACACACTAAATGAACATTATTTCTCACCTTTCTTCCTGCTTGGTTTTCATCTTATTGCTCTGTCTCTGCATCTTGGCCTCAAACCTTTTGGATCTGACACACAAACACAAGACCAAAGGTTAGGTTGTGGTTACATAGGTCATGGAAGAGTAAACAGTGTGTGCTTGTGACGCCTTAAGGTGACCACACCAACACTGACAGGAATGTACAGTACGTATGTGTACAGTATATTATCTTGATTAGACTGAAATCTCCCCACATAGTACAGTACACACTGATCATGATCATCACCTTGTAATGAATGTAGCTCCAGACTACAAGGACAAATATGAAGTCTAATGACAGAGTGACAAAGGTAGAGATCCTACAGTAAGTTCTTACCAAACCCATACTTAAACCATCTGTGACAATAAGCGTGTCCCAGAACCCAACAGTTTCTAACCTAATACACAACAATAGGTATTTTTAGACTAACTCTCTGTAACAAAACAAGACAACTTCCCAATCCACCAAGGGCATCCTGCTGCATACACATGCAATGTTCTGTACAGGCATGCACATCTCAGAGTTATTTATAGAAACATAAGTAAAATGGGTGGAGTGCAAGAGACGGGACTGAGGTTTAACGTGCAAAACCCAGGAAGCAGATTAACCACAAAAAACCGAAATACATGTAAGTAGTTAAAACATTCACTGTAGACACATTTCTACCTCTCATGAAATGTGTGATTTTGGAATAATAACAGTTTTTGTTATTGTTATAGTAAGTGAATATATTATAATTTTGTTCATGTCTAATGAAAAGAAGATAGAACATGTAACTGATAGGTTACAGTAAATAGTCCTTTAACTAAAGCTAAAGAGTAATGTCTGAGCCTTTTCCAATACTTAAACTTCATTATACAACAGTAGCAAATGGCTTCCTATGTGGAAAATTCTCCTTTTCCAATTGTTTATATTACCGTTTCTGTATCTGAGAAGATACCGTGTTGAGCAACAGTGACAATGTTTCGTTGGCTGTTATTGAGTCACAGAGGTCAACTGCACACTTACCCAAAGTTCTCACACTTGCAGCAGCAGAACAGGCAGACCAGGAAGGCAATGATGATAATGCCACCAACCACTGCCAAGGTGATTATCAAAATCTGGAAGTTCACTACAGACGGAGAAACACAATGACAAAGTTATGTACAAATCCACCGTAACAGATCTACCTTCACATTAGAAAAGATATATATTTGCTCTATGATGTTAGTCCAATGTTTATTGTCAGTGGTGAAATATAAAAGTGGGACGTTCCAAGAAATAGACACCTTTTCAATTTTTAAATTAAGTTGAACTTGAATAATCACTTTTTGCATTGCTTTGGATAAAAGATTTTTCCTAAATGTTTTGGTTGTTGTTAAACATGGTAACAGTGTTGACCTTGCGTGCTTGCCCCCCTTGGACACATCTTATAAAACATAAAAAAATAGTACATTAGAAATGTGATGACTGTCATTGAGCTGTCAGATATGAGTTATGAAGCTTATAACTGTAGCTTCCTGTCACATGTGCAGTGTACCATTATTCTGCAGGGGTTTTTTGTTGAGGGTAACGGTTGACAGGAACTAAGGGGACACCGATTTTTTTTTAAATTCAATAATATAAAAAAAAAAGTATAGTATAACAAAAACACAGTTAAGACATAAGGTTACATTTAAAACAAGATTCCATTCGGAATTTTTTTCCTACATTCACCAAATGAAAAGTTACTAAAAAGATCAAAGACAGCGACAGGTCAAATACCTCACCCTCTTCGGATAAAAGTGATGTAATTGATTTAAATAGTATTTATTTGTATCAGTATCAGTATTAATATATTTTAAAATTACACATTTCATTGTTTTTATGGTGTTTAACCAAGTAAAAGGAAATATTAAAAGTGAAACCAACATCAAAAGTACTTTATTGATCATTTTATTTAAATTTAATTTCAGGAAAGCTTTTGTTTACATTTAATTCATATGTATGTGAGTTTATGTAGATAGGAGTGTGTTTGTATTTTAAGCTTATGTGAGTGTGTGTGTGTTTTGGTGAACATATTATATCTCTTATAATAATAGTTTTTTCATGTTTGTGTGTGTGTGTGTGTGTGTGTGTGTGTGTGTGTGTGTGTGTGTGTGTGTGTGTGTGTGTGTGTGTGTGCGCGCTCTTACTCCAGCAGAGCCCCCAGCGTGCATCATTCAGTGGGCAGAGTGAATGCGGTGGAAGGATGGTCCTCACTGGATAGGTTACACACGACTTCGTTTTGATACACCACAAGCACTGTGAAAAACACCCAAAACACATTATGACCTCTTTATTATCTGAACAAACATTGAATCCTGAGGTATTCAGGGCAGATATAGGATACACTGTTGAATAGACACAAAAGCAGAAAATGGAGGGGGAGGGGGGAATCAAAGACAGATCAGTTACTCCTCAAACCAGTCTAACAGGTGTGCAGGTGGAGGAGGAGTCACTGGCAATGGTTCCTTCACCTGTAGGACACTTTTTTACATAAGGCCCAAACACACACACCAGTAAACCAAGATTGAAATCAACCCAGCAGAAACAAATAGTTTTCTCTCAGGACTTACCGTCACATTTTTCAGACATTCATCACAGGTTGTCCCATTCTTCGATTCACAAGCTACGGGGAAAAAAAGTCAGTGTGATTAATTTTTCAGCCAAAATAGTTCACATGGGAGTAAACTCAGTGAACAGGATGTTTGGAGGTACAAACAATGTTGCCTCACAAAGTACAACTGACTCTAATATTGGTGAGATTAGCTGAAAACACTATGAGAAGCAGATTAAAAGGAGGCCCGTAGGTTTGTGCTCCCGGTGGTTTTTGTAACCACCACTAATCCTCCTAGGACATTTTTCCATGGAGACACGGCACAGTAAACCCACAGGCCAGTCATATTATTGTCAGCAGACTACACAGGACAACACCCGGGCTGGTGGACGTGTAGCCATGAATACCCAGGAATTGAGGTGTAAACAAACAAAAGGTCTCATTCTTGTTTGGTGGGCTTGTTTGTGGCTACTGTACTGCTGCTGGTCGCTTCACCCTGAAACAGTTCAGTAGGGGGATGTGAGACCTGAAAAGAGACTTGTTGTTCCTGCAGAGAGGTTTCAATACCCAAAGATGTTAAACTAAAAGAGGCACAATCATATTAATATAATCACTGATAATCTTGCATTGTGTGTAGTTCAAAGTAGCCTTTACCTAAGATTTTCTTATTATTTTGTTTCTTATTATTTTAGGATAAATAAACTTAAAAACAGATAAAGAAATAATAGTGTAATTCCAAGACCAAACACAGCTCAAATAAAGTGTTTAGGTTGCTTTATGTCCTGTTCTCTTCCAGTAAATCTTTTTAATGTTAACACACACAAGAGGAAACACAACACTGTCCTTAACCTAGAAAATTAAGTATGTCAGGGTCAACAATAGTCTCAATAAACCAAGTCAGGATTTTCTGTCGTTTACATTTTACCTAGGACCTAATGGAAAAACTAATGGCGCAGCTGAAAGCGACTAAATGAAAGGGAAAGACTCTTTTTAGCAGCCATTAATATTCCTCAGTCACCACACCGTCGCTCACTTCTCCTACCTTGGCCAGGTGCGGAAGACTGGGCGAAAACTGTCGCCAAACCGAGGACGAGCAGGAGAGCAGGGAGAAAAATCCGTGAATCCATCATCCAACCACTCAGAAGATTGTTCCAGCTGTTTAATTCTCAAAACTTTTCCCGTCTCTAACCTGGGAGCGCGAAAAGAGGAAATGTTTTGGCTGTTCTGGTCGACTGCCGAAACTCGATAAGTGCCGAGAAGGAACCAAACGCTGGATCCTGACGCACACTCATTACGCACTGAAGACAAAGGAGAGGAAGGCGTGTGTTTGCGTCTGTGTGAGTTTTTTTCTTCTTGTAGAAAGTGGTTCAAGAAGAACTCAGATTCCTTATTTAACAACATCATAATAATACTCCAAGTAAATTCAATTCATTCAAAATGTTACTTCAGTTTGGGGTTTTTTCTCTAATCTTTGCTCTTTTATTTGTGACATTTTGCATAATTGGAGCCCGAAACAGTAATTGAAATTAAATAATCTGAGAAGTTTAGAGGGGAATTTACTCTTTAGTGGAACTACTAACAACTGGACATCTCAGCTGTGACAAGGGGCCTCAACCAGACACTTTTATCTTGTGATAATCCATGTGTATTTTTATAAGCTCATTATATTTTTATATAAAATATTAAAGGAGAACTTCAAGATTTGGGGATTCTAGCAGTTAAACAACAACATCAGTCTTCTCTCTACCAGAAAGGGAATGGACCTACGTATTTCCAAAAATCTCAAACTATTCCTTTAATCTAAAGTAACTAAAGTAGCTGTCAAATAAACATAGTACCACAAAAGTGCACTTAAGTAGCTACAATACTAAAAAATAAGTAGACACCAGTGTTTGTAGGCCTCAAAATAAATTCACAGACAACATAAATAATGGACAATAATTCCAATAATTTATTAAAGCATAATTTTGTAAAGCCAGTTACAAATAAAAAAGAACAACACACATATCTCTCTCTTTCTCTTTTTTTAACAAGCACAATATGTTTCACTATGTAATGATGATAATAAGCATAACATAAGATAAGAATGGGCCCCACTCTGGCCGCCTGCGGCTGATAACAGGACCCTTTGTGATGAAGTTGCCCTTGGAAACAGATTTGCGATCAGATACTGCAAAATCTAACTTTAATTTGTTGTTCTATTCAGCAAACACACTGATTGCATTTCAGCAACTATGGGGCAACTTCCTCCAACTCAGTGTAATATCAGTGACAGACAGAACCAAAGACATAGAATAACTAGAACAGACAGCTCCAGGTTCCTCGTTACTTATGGCTTATGGGTTACTCTCTCTGGTTCTCCTCTCATTTTAGCCAAAACTAAAATAACCCAAAGTTCAGACTGGAACCTGTGAGTGAGTTCTGTTTATTCTAACTTTATAGGCAGGATCCCAGTGGGCTGTGTGTATGCAGCCAGGGCCTTAGCCACCATTAAAGACACCGAGGTCATGTCCTTGGTATATTTTTTTTAGGAATTTTGGGCATTTTAGCAAAGGTGGTAAAGTGAAACACATATTTGGTGAATACTTTTAGCTTATTTCCAGTATTTGTTAGAATAAATATACATTTAAATTCTTGCAGGCTAAATAAATAAATTGCCATTTCCTCACCAAAATGTGGTTCCTGATAGTGTAGGGGGGAGGTTAAGATCATTTAGACCATGTTGGAAAATAAAATGTTATAACTGAACAGAAATAAGAAGAATAAAATACAATTTATAATATAATTTTTGGTGTCATTGACTCATTTGGACTCATGACCTCAGTATTTCTAAAATCCTGGCTTTGGCCCTGTATGTGGCACTCCAGATAGACAACCTTAAGAAGTTCAACCTCACTTAAATATCTGGCCTGAATAGCAGCAATGGGGCATAATATAGAAATTATTATTGACATAGGAACTAGTTTAGAAACTTTTGCTTAACCAAATGAAAGTAATTGGCCCATGTTTTCAGATTAGACAGTATTTTTCCGGGTTATCTAAGTATTCCCGCTGGATATTGGATGTGGGGAAACACTTTGCTTAGAAACTGTTTTTGTCCTCTAGAGGTGTTATACTGCCTCCTTCCTGGAGTGCCACATAGTCGGGTGATGTTGACATAATGTGATTTCACTTTCAGTCCATAAACACACGCACACACACACACACACACAAAGCAGTGTTGATGACTGTCAGCATTCCCAGTGCACAATTAAACCATCTCTGAGCCCATATCCTCACAGTGTCTTATCTTCTCCTCTTGCACCGAGAGTGAAAAATTCCATTATATTTTTAATACACTATCCTCCCAAACACGCCTTGCAATACATACAGTTCAATAAGAAATAAATAACCCACAACCCTCCCTTCAAATCCCATGCTTTTCCCTTTAACTCACGATCACAACACCATTCTTTGCAAAGGTTAGTCGTTTAAATACATCTTATTTCAAAGGAATACACTCAGTAAAATCACTTCTCTTTTCTCATTTCTTATTTCCCTTTTCTTTTCCAACTTTTTGGATTACACCATAAATACACGCACGCACACACACACACACACACACACACACACACACACACACACACACACACACACACACTACATACATACATACATACATACAGCAGCTTTCCAGACACAGCACTTCAGGGTGGTTAAGATAGCTGGGGGCATACAGTAATAATAGTAGTATCAGTAATAAAAGTCACATGTTCATAAACAGATTTGGAAACACAGACAAACTGGAGCTCTTATGCATTATTGTATAAGTCACTGATCTTAGTAAATAAAAAAGTGAGAATAGCATGAGCAGACAAGGATATACAGTATTGTATGGCTCCAATTGATGCTGCAGAGTGAGTCCCACAGATAACAACAATGATAAATTCACCAGAACACTGTGAAAACATGACCACCGTCCACCAGCTTCATTATGGTCTGTGTTTTTACGATTAACTCTTATTTCTCTGTGAGTCACATTAATGGCACATCCAGTGAACGATGTACAGTATTGGCATCATATTCAGACATACAGTGGTCATTATTAACACCATTCACTTGCATGTATTTTACACGAGAGGTGTCACATTGCATTTAGTATGGCATCTATATACTGTACAGTGCAGTGTCCACCGAAAATTCAATTATAACTCTTATAATGTGTGATATACAGTACAAAACAATACATGTTGGTTCAGTTTATGTGTATGTGAATATACAATAGATATACGCAGTGTGTGTTATATGTAGACATAGATAGGGAAATGTTTTGTCTCATACTATTCGGGTTGATACTTTTTTCCTTGTAGAGCCAATTGAGGCCATGCACAGACTCTTCATGTCAAGCTAAACGTGACCACAGAGCCTCCACTCTTTCTTCTCAAGAATATCTATTTGATATTGTTCAGAAATATTTTAAGCCACTTCCATTGGCTGTGTTTTCTTCTTGTGGCCACACGGTGGCACTGACGAGTGAGCAAGTGAACACTATGTCGAGCAGGGAAATCTTTTTCCCCTTTGGTAGCCCCGAAGAAGAATCATTGAGTCCTTTTTCTCAGTCACAGACAGATGTAATAACAGCTGATGTTACAGATAAACGACAGCGAAAAAACAACAGAGAGAAAGCAAGCAAGAACAAGAATTCAGCATTATAACTTAATACCAAACAAAGATGCAACAGGAGTGAGGACACGAGAAGAGAAAGAGAGAGACTCTGAAACTGGAGGAGAGAGAAAGAAACAGATTTAACTGAGAAAGTGTGGCTTTTCTTCTGTCTGGCAGTGCACTGAGGGGGGGCAGGGAGAGGGAGCCACCTGGGACAGGCTGGGGCTGGGCGGCTGAGTTGTGCTTGTTATTACTGAGTTTTGTCCGGAAAGGAAAGCGGAGAGAAGTTTGGAGTGTGCTTGAACATCTACATGCAGGACTGCAACTGCTGGAGGGTTATGTATTTGAAAGGACAATCCCAAAATACAGGTTTGTTTTTCTTTGTCATGCTCATTTCTAAATAGATCCCCTTTATCCCAAGTGAAACCCAGGCCAGCAGAGTGTGCGTTTGGCCTCTGTATCCACTTCTTGCTTTTCCCCGTTCCATCATAGACGCTCATCCACCACCCTTTGATTCTTGAGGATTAGTTGTTTGGTGCGACTGCCTCCATCAAAACCGACCATCCAATGCAGGGGGCGTGGGGGGGCTGAGACATTTGTTGCCACTGGATGAACTGAGGGCTCTGACTAGTTGGTGGCGATCACCTGGCCCAGGAACTGGTGATGCTGGTCACTGACATGATGCTGCAGCGTTTCTTCACCATCATGTTAATGTAGGCCCTCATGATCTTGGTGATCTCCCCAACCTAGAGAGAGAAAAAGAAAGTGGTGGTGGGGTAAATATGTGTACTTGTTTGGCTGTGTGTGTAATTAAGTGTTAATCTGTTAGAGAGGAATACAGCAATTTAGTACTGGATTTCCATAAAATTACGGGACTCAAAATATACAAATTTAAAAAGAAGACTAGAAAGAAAAGAGGTGGTTTCTATGATGTGTTATCTAACGATGGAAATCCAATGTGTTTATAGCTGTTCTGAATGGCCACAGTTACAGACACAGCCTCCCTCAATCCGAGATGGGAAGGTGGTGTGGCAGGGGGAAGCTATTCGACCACCCAACAAGAACTTCTGAAGAAGTATACTAGCAACCTTAGTCCCCAGTACAATTCATGCTCCGAAAACCCTGGATCCTGCACTTCCTATGGCCCATCTTTTAACACTGTTGACAATATTTTACAAAGCTCTCATCAGAGCCACAGAAGAAGCTATATTGGACTATATATGTAAAACTGAGTACTACTTACATAAAAAACATACATTCATAAAACTACATGCATATGTGTTGGGAAGAAAGCAGGTCAATACAAAGTCCACCCCAGTTCAGACAAAACAGGAATAACAAGATTATGGTGGGCATTTTTTAATTACAAAAACGAGTCGTTGATAAAAATAAGGAAAATAATCCTTGCAGCCCCAAAGGGAATGAAAAATAAATCATGAGCTCTCACCAGTGGTGTCTCAAAGAACATCTCCCTCTCATCCACGATGATCTTGTAGGTGCAGGGCTGTGAAGCCCCAAAGAAGGTGATGTGTTCGTACTGGAAGGTCTCCAGGGGCTTAGGTTCACCTCGTTTATACACTGACACGTTGTCAGCGCTCACACTCAGCCACAGATCATGAGGGAAACCACCCTCTTTACACTACAGAGACAGAGAAAACAACAGAGAAGAAGTGAGCAGGGAAAAGAAGAGGTTACTTGCACAAGTCTCTGAAATCCATCATTTTCTCACCTCGACATCAAACAGAGTGGATCCGTATCCAGGCCACTCCTTGACAATGCTCATGTATTTAAGCATGGCCTGATGCTGAGGCATGCCCTGTAGCCGGGTCCACTTCTCCAGAACGCTGGTCCGTGTAGCAGACGTTTCCTCCTTCACCCACATCTCCAGCATCTGCTCTTCCTCCACCTGCAACAACACAGGTCAGCCAATCAATGAGGAATACTCATCAAACTATCAATCAGTAGGTCAGACATTTAGTAAACCAGACGGATTTCACTGATCTTATGGTAATAAATATTTGCTGGTGGACTGAAAATTATGGATTTATATTCACAAAGTAAGTATTTATTAAATTAATTGAAACAGTTAAATGAAATATGATTTATTCATGTAACTTATTTCATTTAGGAAATAGTACATATGGACCACCTTTAATTTAATTAAACAAAACAAAAAATACTAGTTACATTATAGCATCAATATTTTAGCTTTCTCTAATTTAAAAGTTACTAAAAACAAAAACATTTTAAAGCAAGTTCTTTGTTTTACATGTTGACATCTTTTTTAAAGGGCATATCTGCGTGTTTGCTAATTTTAGCTCAACAAGAAATTATTTATTCTATATATTTTTGAATGCATGCTTTATAGTTAAAATGTTTGATATAAGTTACAAGCAGTCATTGGTCTCCATTCATTTCCATGCTGAATGAAAATAAATCAGTAGATTTATGAAACTGCTGTTGTGTAATCTTTGTTTAAGTTAGTATTTTTTTACACCAATATTACATTTTGACTTTAATTATGTAGTTATGGTTGTATTTGCAGTAAATGGGCTTAAACTTTACTTCCATCACTCACCTTCTGCTTCTTCAGCGAACCAGTCTTGAAGCTTCTCCTCAAGGTGCCATCCAGGAAGCTCGGCGTCTTTCGCTTCTCTGCCGGGACCGGGATACCTCCCGGTCCTCCCACCGTGCCCTTCCCATCTCCTGGTCCTCCCCCTCCTGCTCCTCCGGCTCCACCTGCCGCCCCTACGCCCGGTTTGGTGGAGTGAAGGATGCGATTGCGGAGACGTCCAATTGGATAAACGGTTCCCAAGCTCCACCCGGCACGACCCGCCCCGTCACCGTGGAGATACTGGAGACGTAAAGCGGCCAGGTGCTGCAAAGTCTCCTCTGAGGCCGGGAAGTGACCACTTATCAGAGACTCGTGGGCCTGAGAGAGACGGAGAGAAGAAGAGAGTGACAATGTAATCACATTTCTTTTCTCATAAAATAAAACATCATAGTTTGTTACTAAACATGACATCACACCAATCACATGTAGTATTCTGAACTAGTTACTAAAGTATTAGACATTTTATTTGTGCTATATAATATATTAATTCAACATGATATTCCCAGATGCATTTAAAAGGTGTCTGAGCCAATTTATTGACCACAGAAAAGGCTCTTACATGAATTGGTAAGAGCTGCTATGAGTGGGAAAAGACAGGCAAGTGCTATGTCATTTAAAACACAAGTACATTTAAGTATGTAGGCAGTGTAGAGTGGGTGCTGTTGGGTAATTACTTTGAACAAAGAAAATTAGTAATCTCATTTAAATTTCAACGTGATTGAACTTATTAACCATCCCACAACTATCATGGAGTGTTTATGGCTGTGTGGAGTAAGATTTAAAGCATTAGTTCTTACTTCTCACACCCACACTGTGCTGTAAAGCTCACCTGCTCAAACATGAAAGCAAACTCTACTCCTTCTTTTGGCATGCTCTCCACATCCAAGAAGCAGTAGAGCTTGAAGTAGAGTTTCCATTCACCTTCCTCCTCCTCTTCTTCGCTTCCTGCCAGTCTGGATAAATAAATAAAGCAAACCCAGGATGAGTTATCACACACAGAATAACTCTTATTATACTAATTATTATCAAATAATTAGTCAGATGGATTTAAACCAATATTTATACCTTCAAACAACTGACATATTTCTGCAAATATAATTATAACAGATAATCCTACAAGGAGACATTTATATACTACTCATAGGAGCAGAGATACCTTTCAAACTTGGCCAGAACATCTGCCACAATCACCCTGCTCTCCAGAGCTCGGTCTGTGAAGGCGTTGTGTTCGAACAGAGAAAACAGGTTCTTGCTCTCCTCCATGGCCAAACCTCTGATCAACTTCTCCACAACCTGAAGCAGCAACATAAAAGCATGGACCAGTTAGTAACAGCACACGCTGTCTGACTGAGAGGAGGGTGTGTCAAATGTGTTTTTTTGATGTGCACCTCTCCGGCTGTGGTGTGCGAATTGATGGAGATCTTGCAGGAGCCTCCCCCATGGCAGTAGACGGTGGTGCTCATCTCCTGCCTCACCAGCAGGGCGGCGATCTCCTCCTGAGAGGGAACGAACTCACGAGTCTTGGTCTTCTTTAGGGATTCCCCAATGAAACTGGCGTAGCGCTCGATATCTGTGCCGGGAAAGCGCTCACGTACCCTGAATCAGATCACATTACACCTTTATTACCCATTTATTCCATGAGTGACGCATAATCTGTAATGCAGACACACACACACACACACACCTCTTGAGGTGGAAGCGGAGGTATCTGAGGATGGCTCGACTGGGTAGGAAGGTGCAGCTCATGCAGGTGAGCAGATGCCAGTGTGCTCGATTAGCTGGGCTGTTAGGCTGAGGCACATGATTGGTCTGCTTGATCACCTGAGAGTATACCTGAAAAACAGAAATATAGAGGCAATTTGGGAAATCTGAAGTTTAATCAGCCAAATACAGGTGTCAAATACTGCATACGCAATGTGTTCTTATATGTTATGTTATGTTAAGATTTGAGAAGAAAGTGAAGAAGACTTTTCAAATAAAGTACCTCATCCCTGAGAGGGCGCAGGTCCTGGCAGGTCTGCAGGATGCCCTGGATGATGGGCACCGTGTCTGCCAGGGTCTCCATCTCCTGCAGTGAGTTGAAGACTCGCACAGCCTCATCCTGCAGACTGGCATAGCCCTGCTGCCTTTGTACTGCACACAGACAAAGATAAAAAGAAAAGAAAAAGGTGAACAAAGACAGAGAAGAGAAAGCAATATTATTGATGCAGCTTCTTAATGATACTAGTGATGGCAGCAGTGATGGCATGACATCGAAAAGATGTATACGTCAAAGACTATGAATCTGTGTATTAGTGTGACATGACAAGGCAGACACAGCTGACTTTATGAGCTTATACAGGTCTGGTTTTGACCTGCAGAGGACAGTGACTTTTTAATGCACACAGTTTGTGAAAGAAGAAGAAGAAAGTGGATCCTCCCAATACCTATACTTATGATATTTACAAGTTGTCAAGTGTCTACTTGTTTGTTGTATTTCTAGTAATTGCCAAAGTTCAAAGTTAAGACCTCAAGCCTGTTGTAGTTTATCATTACATTAAAGAGACACAACATTATTTTGAAAGGTTTGTGTCTGACACAATTTCAAAGGATGGAACATGTTTCTCAAAATCTTTGATAAAATGATATTTGACAGGGTCAGATATGCAATATTATTTTTAGCAGTCACATTAAGAAGAACATATTGTTAATATTACATAATTATGTCTGTGGAGGTTTTGTCATAAATCTGTTGTGTTTGGAGATGAATAATAACACTTAAACTGCTTCATGTCTGCTGATTATTGTCGTGCCTAAAGCTGTGTATTGGCATATTTGAGACATTTCCTTAACCTCACAGTGCATGCAGTGCTCAAGGCAAGTGTTGGTACTGGGACATTTCCAATTGATTTTAGGCTGTAGGTTGCAGATTTTAAGTTTTTACTCACGGCTGGTGACCTCTCCATAAGGGAGCGGCAATAGAGGGGAGTGCAGAGGATGCTGAGTGTATCTGAGGATGGGGTTCCTCCTGTACATTTGCTCCACGATGTCTGGGTTTACACTGTTCTCCTGAGGGGATATGAAGAGATCAAATTCAATTTAGGAGTCAGTTTATGTTAATTAATATGAAGATTTAATTGTGGATGTCTCTGTGTGTGTTTTTACCTTGATGTCTCTGATGAGCTGCAGAGTTGGAGTTTCTATGGGTGTCTTGCTGTCTATGACTCCCTGTATGGCAGCTGTCCACCTCATGGCCTCGTTCAGCATCTTGGTATAGAGGCGGTAGGAATGCTTCCTCCCGTACACGGTGATGTTCCAGTAACCTGCGAAAACATTTATTAAAAAATCTATTGCCTAAAAATGAAACACAAAATATTACCTCTAAGGAACGGTATAATCATTTTCATTTAGTTTAATGAAATCCATTTTTTTCATGCATATAATTGTAAAACTAGAATCTTCTCTTTACATCTAGTCTCAAACCTCCTATGTCTAATCCCTAATTAAATTTGCCCTTTCTGCCTTTCCCCTTCATTTCTCTTTCCTTACCTGTCTCCCTGTGCACTCGTTCATCCGGCTGAATGATGGAGCAGAGGGAGTTGAGGACCAGAGTTCCCATCTTGGAGGAATTTCGCTCCGAGCTCTTGTAGTAATCCAGGGAGTTGTGGGTCAAAACAAACCAGCGCTTCTTCAACTTCAGGGAGGTGCTCTTAGCATTCGTCTTCATCTCCTTTTGGAGCCAGCCTGAAAGATGACAAGGCAGGATAAGAGAAAAGACAAGGAGGAATGTAATGTTTTTGTGTGGTAAGAAAAAGTATGTGATTCATTGGACAATTATTTATGCATCCACAAGGCTACAATTTCTTATTTTCAGATATAAAGAGGATGATAAATCTTTACCAAAATCTCTCACAACATAAGATTTTAAATACTTGATAACATATATTGTTCAGAAAATTAAAGTGCTTTTAACAAAAGTCTGTAACAAACATTTTATTACACATATATTACCACATTTTGCCCATTTTTTGCTTATATTTTCAATGATAAATATACGAAGTAAACATCCAAACAAAATCACCATCTATAATTGGCTCTATGTTGCGTCTGGTAATATTCAAACTATTCCTAAAAGTAAGCTCTTGTGATTGTGCATCTAAGAAACATTGATCTCACCTCTAACAAGGAACTCCTGCCCGTCTATCCTGGCGTCTCCTTTGGGTTTCTGTAGCAGACTGATCCAGTGATGCATCTCCTCCGGTGTGTCACTGTTACAGTGGATCACACGGTTGGCCGTAATGATGACAAAGGAGTTGGGCCTGCAAAGGTCAAGAGATAGACTTTTAAATTAAAAAAATCCACCTTCAGATAATTAAGAGTTGTATAAATAAGATGCATGTTGAGTTTTCTAGTTTTCTAGGTAAAAGAAACAGAGCGACAACAGGTCTGTTGTTCAAATGCAGTTTTTAAAAAGGGATTTGGTCTATTGGTCTTTATGATCTTTCATGGCCACTACACACTGGATAGATTGCATTTTCTACAATGAATTGGAGGAGCTTTTTTCTCTTTCATTTGGAGAAAACGGACACCAAAACCAAAAGCTATAAAATTCAATAAATTGGAAAAACACAACTAAACAACAAAATGTTCCTTGACATGTAAAGTGAATGAGTGCCTACCGATCAGGGTTGTCTGAAGCACAAACAGAGTCGATCAGCCCCACGTCAAGAGTTCCCTGAAGGACAAAAAAGAGGAGGAGGAGAGAAGAACAATTAATGGTGCACTATTGCCTACGGAAGAATGATAACTTGTTAAGATCAACTTGTGTTTAGAGACTGACCACAGCGTTCTTTGGGTTGGCCTGTTCGTGTGACATCTCCAGCAGCTGCTCAGGAGTGCACACGCGTACCTTACTGAGCACATTAAACCATCCACTGCACAGAAAGACAGTAAGAAGTTAGAATATATAAATCAACTCAGATACAAATAGTAACTTGTTGCTGTTTTCTGTCCACCACACCTTGCATCCTCTGGTGACTCAGCAAACACTTGATAGGTCCTCTCATCCGTCACAATGTTCAGAGCGTTCTCCTTTTCATGATTATCCACAATCTCCCTGTAAAAACACAATCACACATGTCTGAGGGACGCAGCTGTTGTCTAGAAAACAGAGAAACAGTGAGGACGGGGAGTTATGTGTGTGTTTTGGTAGTGGAGCTTCCTAGAAATCATACTTGGCAGCTCGGATGTCAATGGTTCCCTTCAGCTTCTCCTCACTGTCGTTGTCGTAGTACATCAGCTTGCTGTCCCTCAGTACGAACCAGCGCATCTTCCAGTTCCTGAGGTAGAATAGGACACAATGAAAACGAAGGCCAAGACAATCCACTCTAGACATTATAAAGGTTTACGTGACTCTATAAATGACAAATATTGTATTGTATAGTATACAATGGTGGCAGTGACTATACACAAAACCTACATTACTGTTATTTGACTGTACTTTTGATTGTATAGTAACATTAAATCCTTTTATTTCCTCTTATCTAATTAGCCTCAGTTCATAAAGATCCCACATTCAAAAACACAACTTCCAGGACCTCTATGGAAGTAAGTGATGTTAGCTTTTAATGCTTTTATCCTTGTTTCTGCTTTTTCTTTTGTTTTATTGTGAGTATTTGGAACAGTGTGTTATGTGTAAGTTTTTTATGATTACTTTATGAACTAGATTAACTAGGATTTGAGAAGTAAAATCTCAGTAAATTCATCCGCAGTACACCAGCTTGTGTAGGACAATGAAGTCTTCAAACACTGCAGAGGGTTCAAAGCATTAAGTTAGACATGTGTTACATATGAACACCTCAACAGGACACAGGGGCTTATTCATCCAAGACAGATGGTCAATCACATGCAAGACTGTCTTTCTTACAATTAAGCCAACATGCAACCATCAGCCGAACTGTTTATTTCATGCATCATGTCATTACATAAAGCTAGCAGAGCTTTTATTTGGATGAATGTGCATTTTGAATTGATTTTGTAGGTTACTAGGATCTTATCTACCCAATGACAACTACATAATCATTCAGTTCATTCATTTCTTGTTCCTACTTTATGAATATTTCCGAGCAGAAAGTCCAGAGTTCAATTTAATTAGCATGCAGCTACGCTCAGTAACAACTACAACAACCTCCGTGAGAGAGTAGAGAGGCCTCCTCCCTTCTTGTAGAGCCAGCCAGACTTGAGAGACTCTTGTTTGGACCGGAACCACATGAAGGTTTCATCCTTCAACACACACCAGCGCCTCCTCCACGGGATCATCAGACCAGCTGAAGGAGCAGAGAATTAAATAAATACTGTTTTGAAAATACAATTGAGACAGCCATCTTTAGAAAAATACATAATATACTGTATACACACCCTTCATGTAGAGGTAGCCGTGGAAATATGGCGGTCCATTTCCATTAAGCAATGTCACTCTCCCATTAGTCACTTCTTCATCAGTGTCCATCATGCCGTCATGTTCATCGTCACTGTCTGCATACTGCAACATCATACAATAACATGAATTATTATTTCTATATAATAATAATTGACCAGAAAACTGTGATATTACCATATCTGATTTTTTAAGAATGCTAAAATATCAAAATTGCAAATGTTCACTGTTTAGCTGCTCATACATATCTGCGTGCACGCGTGTGAGGATGCGTGTGAGTGTGTGTCCTCACAGAGTCAGAGCTGCCTCTGTAGGACTCGATGCTGGCGTTGGTGCAGGTTGACTTTCTCGGATGCTCATCATCCGCCACAGCGGCACTCCCGCGGTTGCTCCCCGATACAGAGCTGTCATCTCCGGCATTGACAGACCCCTCCTCCTCCTCCTGGTCGTAATCCGACTCGGTATCGGCCGGCATGCTATAGATCGGCTCCTCCCCGTCCACCAGGCTCTCCACCATGCTCACCTTCCTTTCCGGTTCCGCCTTTGCTCCTTCTTTCTGCTCCCCTTCTCCTGGGGGTGGTGGAGGAGGAGGTGGGGGGGCAGTGGAGCCATCTCCAGGTGGAGGTAGAGGAGGAGGATGAGGAATTCCAGGAACACCATCTGTGGCTAGAGGAGGTGGTGCAGGAGGCACTGTCCCCTCTGCAAATGCAGGCGGGGGAGGAGGGAGGTGAGCAAATATCTCCTGATCCAAAGGAGCATCTGTCTCAGCAGGAGGAGGGAAGTCAGGGAGAGGGATGCACTCCTCCTCCGCATGAAACCCTTCGTCTACCTCCTCTTCTTTAGACGCACCCCTGGTGGCACTCACAGGTTTCGGAGCTTTCACCTCTGGAGCAGGCTTGGCTGCTTCTGCTCCCAGTGACGGATCCACGCCTCCGAAGTTGAGGAGGTCGATGAGCTCTGTGGCCTTGCGGGACGCCTCTTTCTTCATACGCTTGAGCTCGGCATCCCGTCGCAGCTGCAGCTCCTGTTTGGAGGACTCACACAGCTGGGACACCTCGTCCTCTCTCTTCTTCTGCAAGCGCTCAATCTCACGCTCCAACTGCAGGATCTCTTCCATCTGCCGGGCCTCATCCTGAAGGGGAAGAGAGGAGAAAAGGGACATGTCAAGCATCAAATAAACTAAATCTAATTTGCTTTATTCTGTAAATCAAAGGGAGGACAATGCTTTTATTTAACTGTAATAAGAAACGCACAGAAGAAGAAGCCGTTTCCTCTGACGATTTAGGTTTTTTCTCTGCTCCTTCATTCACTTCCTCCTGCTCCCCTTCGGCCGTCGGCTTCTTCTCATCTTCCTCTTTCTTCTTTTGTTCTTCCTCCTTTTTCTTCTTCTCTTCTCTGAGTTTTCGAACTCGAGCACGGGCGACCTGACCTCGCCTGTGTCTCTGCAGCACCAGCGTAGCCTTACGTTGCTTCACGAACCGCCTGCGTTGGATGTGCTTTCTGAAGTGTTTCTGGAGGGTGATGACACTGGCTCGTATGCGCTGGAAGTGCTTCCTGTGGACAAAACAGAAGAACAACATAAAACACAGTCAACAAGAACTAGCACAGATACCTTAGCTGTTGCAAAGGTACAACGTTGTACATGAATGCCTAAAATTTTAGGTTCTGCTCCTTACTTGGCAGAGAAAGTGAGTAGGTGGGCTCGAATTATCATGGCAGCTTGGCGTCGGACTTCATCCCTGTCCTTCTCTAAACGCTGCTCCAGAGCCTCTTTCAAAAACACCTGCAGAACAAATGTGAAGGCTTACCAGAAAGATGTATAATGTAATGTATAGAAAATCTATTAGACTACACAAGGGATAATGTTAATCTGTCATGATAGCTTTCTAGAGTCTGAAAGGGGTGTGGCCAAAAACTACAAAATCTTACCTTGGTCTTGCCCAGCTGCCACTCTTTCTTGGTCTTGTCATATTTCATTAGAAAGTCTGTACTTCTCTTCTTATCATCTGCTGCTGCTGCTGCTGGCCCTTTCTCTTTCAGAATGATCTTATACCTGACAGGCAGAAAAGAAAGAAGTCAAAGCCTGAGGGACAACAAAAAAGAGATCTCAGCAATAACATCTCAAAGGGGTAAAAATGTGAGATTTGTTACCGAGAGAAGAAATCTTTGAAGGTTCTGCGGACAGGGAACCCGGCCCGACGAATCTTCACAGTCTCCAACATCCCAGAATACCTCAGCTGGTTCAGGACGACCTCTGGGTCAAACACACTTGGATTCTACAAGTAAAATAACAAAGATTATTGAACTGATACTTCATTAGGCGATGGTCAGTCAGGCTCTGAGACAGTACTAATGTGAATTTGAGAACTGATAGAGGTGTGACAGAGAAACAGGCTGACCTTTTGCATGTTGGGCTTAATACAGCGAATAAAGAAAGGGTTGGATACACTCAGAGTGGCCATGAGAGCATGGAGGGAGTCCTGAAGAGACGGAGAAAGACAATATTGTTTTTGGAAAAAAATGAACATGAATGTTGAAATTAAGTTACATGTAAGAAAGGAAAACAAAACAGTTAGAATTGTTCATATTCATCTCTGAAGTTATAAATTGTTTAAGATATTCCCTGTTTCCAGTTTCTTAAATGTGAGGCTTTTCTGTTTGGCTTGTTTTATATCACTATAAAATTAATATCTTTGGGTTTGTGTCAGACAAAACAGGTCATCTGACTAAGTGCTTCCATTTATCCATAACTATTCTCTCAGCTCTCTGTGGCCCTGATTTTTACACACTTTGTTATAAATTGCTTGTTATGTCACCACTATGTTATATGTATCTAACAACCTTAAACTGCCTGCATCACTCACCCTGAACTGGGAGCTCACGGTAGGTTTGCGTCTGGCTGTGCCCATCTTCTCCTCATTGTTCCTGCTGCCAACTTTCTCAAACAAGTCATAGATGAAGTCCAGTCTGAGAGGCAACAGACATATAATGGATTACACACCAGCATATTATATGCTCTTTCAGTGGAAATACTGATTCTCATTTCTAAACTTAAGAAAGAAAAATGATGATGATGTTTTTTGTTGATGAAAAATACAGTTTCAGGAACTTAACTGTTTCCCTATACTCTTTGTATAATTCACATATTGTCATTTCTCGATGAGATTTTAGATGTGGTTGACAGGTTTCTGCAGGATTAAATGGTTCCCAGACCTGTTTGGTTAAAAGCCCAAAAACAAATTTCTAAATGGTTTTCACCCAACAACGACAGTTTGATAGTAATCTTTAAAAATTGGTAGAATGAATTTCCTTCAAAAGTTCATATCAGCTTAAAAGAACGGCTAAACTTAAGTTGGATTTACCTTTCAAAAAACATCTACTTTGAATGACTGAAATTAGCCTATTAATACAATCTCATGACTTATTACAGTGCTACTGGTTTAGTGTATCTGAATGTCCTGCCTGCTGTCCTTGAGCATGTTTAGGATGTCGTCTCTGAAGGTATCTCTGTTCTTCTCCAGGATCCCCCTAACATCATACAGGACCTGATCAAGACAGACAGGTTCATCATAAATCTCCCAGATTTCACACAATAACATACAGTATGACAACAAGAAGTGGCTCAGTTGTACATCACTCACCTCCCCGGCATAATGTTTGATGCCAAACTGATGGTCAGCAAGTCTTGGCTTTACATAGTAAGGGTTTGTCTGTGGGGAAACAGGAAAATAGCATAAAAAATAAAATATAATGTGACATTTTAACACCAGCACAGCACATTTTCTGAATAATGCATGCAGTTTGTTTTTGTAAATAACTCACAGAGTGTCTGCTGTGCAACTTTTCCAGCAGTGTGAAGTCAGTTCCTTTGGGGAACCGACTCTCTTCATTCACTAGTGCCAACAAGCCCAGTTTCTGAAAGAGAGGGGAAAAAACATCATGTTATTGCATCAGATTTATGAAATCAGCACCACTTTCTAAGACATCAGTCCAACAATATTAGATCAGTTTTCCAGAGAGCATCCGAGGCAGGCGTCCAACACAGCTCTTAACTGACTGAGAAGTAGCTTTTATTTTAACTCAATTCAACCTGAGTCTGATTGCAAAAAAAAGTCTGTTAACATTTCAACATCCTGGCCAGATGCACAGAAGATATTAGGATTGAAAGAAACATTTGTTATGACAAATTAATTTCCTACTACCTTCTCTATAAGGTCAAGACACTCGGCATTGTCCATCCAGTCTATGGCGTCCCACTGGACACCTTCCCTGTTGAGAGTAAACCCAAACAATTACACATGGCAAACTCATGTACAGTATTATTTATTCATATCACTGACCTACAGTACTACATATTGAACAAAACACTAGTTACAATAAGATCACAAGATCAAAAGGGTCATAATGTTCTGCAGCCCCATAGGCAACAAACTGTGTGTTCTGACACCTTTCTATCAGAACCAGCATTAACTTTTTCAGCAGTTTGAGCTGAAGTAGCTCGTCTGTTGGATCGGACCACACGGGCCAGCCTTCGCTCCCCACATGTATCAGTGAGCCTTGGCCACACGTGGCCCTGTCACCGTTTCACCGCTTTTCCTTTCTTGGACCACTTTTGATAAGTACTGACCACTGCAGACCGGGAACACCCCACAAGAGCTGCAGTTTTGGAGATGCTTTGACCCAGTCGTCTAGCCATCACAATTTGGCCCCTTGTCAAAGTCACTCAAATCGTCACGCAGCCCATTTTTACTGCTTCTAACACATCAACTTTGAGGACAAAATTTCATCACTTGCTGCCTAATATATCCCACCCACTGACAGGTGCCATGATAACGAGATAACCACTTGACTGCACCTGTCAGTGCTCATAATGTTATGGCTGACTGGTGTATATGCAGAAGCGCACCTGTTGTACTCGAGCTGCTCCAGGGAAAAGATATGCTTGTTGAAGTACTCCTGAAGTTTCTCGTTGGCATAGTTGATATTAAACTGCTCGAAACGATTTACCTGGAAGCAAAGACACAAATCTTATATACAGACCGTGTGTGTGTGTGTGTGTGTGTGTGTGTGTGTGTGTGTGTGTGTGTGTGTGTGTGTGTGTGTGTGAATGAGTGGTACTTAGAAAACAGAAGAACACAAGTTCTGACCTCAAAGTTCTCAAAGCCAAAGATGTCAAGGATGCCGATGGATTTAAAATTTTCCTTCCCTTTGATCTTCTGATTGATCTTGAGGATGATCCAGGAGAAACACTGGGAATATAACGCCATGGCAACAGAGTCCCGGGAATCCACGGCCTGTAACGATGAGAAGGAAACCCGAGGGGGTGTGAGTGTGTCGGAGATCGTTAAAGACGGGGAGAATGAATGTGTAAGTGTGTTTGCTGACCTGCTCTATAGTGAGTGGGGAGCAGATTTCCTCTCCTCTGAGGATTATGGAGCGCTGAGTCAGGACTTCAGACAGTTGGAAGGCATCCAGGCCCAACAGTTCACTGGCATTAGTGACCACTGAAAGATGGACAAAGATGTGTTACACTTCCACAATGCATCTATCTAGGTTTCACTTTTCCTATCTCACTTTACATGTGATCGGTTCACCTTGCTTGGTGGTGATCTGGGCTCCTCCTGCAGTCATGAACTCAATGTTTCCCAGCTGTAAGACTCCTGACAGCAGCTTAAACATGTCTCTGATCTCCTCCTCTGTGAACTCTAACACCTTCAGTGCCTCCTACACAGAGAAAAGCACAGGAAAAGAGATTACCAGCAGGCAAGGTGCTTATAACACTTTCTTTGCAAGCAAAGGTTCAGTCATCAATATATATTTCAGTGACGGAGAAGATAAAAGGAACATAGTATGGTCGCTGACTCTGCATCACTGTGCTTACAGAGGTTTGATAAATGGTGTTTTGAATTTGAAGTGCAAACATTTCTCTGAGGCGGAGCTGCTCTCCAGGCAGATCGTGTTTTAAGGTCAAGATGCAATGCAAGGATTCCCTGTATTCCAAAGACTAACTCCAAAGAAGACACAAGGAGTGCAAACCATTAAACCTATAGGGACATCATTTATATCAATTATGCAATGCTACGCTGTGGTTTTAGAAGTTGTCTAGCCTGGCTGTGTAAACCTAGAAAGTCAGTTTACATTAGTACCTAACAAACAACCAACATGTTTAAAGCAATATGGATACATTTTAGTTTGATGGTTTCTGCTGCCAAACTCCAATGTATTATGACAAAGTAAACTAAATATATGACAAAGACTGGACATGGACAAAAGACCAGCAGAGTAAATGCAGTCACACCGACCATAACACTGTTGAACAGTTCTTTGTCATTCAGGCTCTTGTCTTTCAGACATCCTGATTGGCTGAGGTAGTGGAAAGCTTCAGGCGAGTCCTCCAGGAAGTAGAGGCCTGAAAGAGGAAATATACATATAAAGTGAGTGTGATATTGGGAGAGATGCACATTGAGATGAAAAATACAAAGACACTTTTAAAAACATTATTGATATTACAAAGTTTTTATGCTTTTTCTCACTTTTATTCTCCTTGTTAGTTCCCGCCAGCAGAGCGTAGAAGATGTGGTAGTTTCGTTCTCCAGGATTTTGTCGCACCACTCGGTTCTACAGCAAAATCAATGCAGCAAAGTCACTAATAACATTTAATCGTTATTCACAATTCAAAACTGACAAATCACTCTATGAATTTGAACTTGATACGACCAGGCTGCGCATGTGGAGTTGTTTACCTTTTCCAGTAAATCTGAACGGTAGAGAGTCAAGGAAACAAACCTGAGTACTTCACAAATATCCTTTAGCGCAGATTTTAATTCAATAAAAGCACATACAATAATATCATAATAAAAGCACATACAAATTCCGAAAAAGTTGATACAAATATACTTGACTGGTATATAAATATAAGGATACAGTCAATGACGCAGCCTCCCTGGATGTTGCCGCCCTCAGAGAAATGAAGTTGGATGAATTTCCCAAAGCGACTGGAGTTGTTGTTGTAAACAGTTTTAGCATTACCAAACGCTTCCATGATCGGACTGCAGAGAGAGTGAAAACCTGAAGTTGCAAAGTGCATTTTCTTTTGTCTGCATTTATCTGTGCATGTAGTAAATAATACAGTACATCCACCACGTGCTGCAGAGGCCATTCATCATATTTTTCTCCAAAACCTTTACATATCTATGGAGGGAGCATGCCCTGCTTCATATTACACACATCCATAAGTGCCCAATACAAACACTGATATCTCTCACAGAAGCTGGCCTTGCCAGTTGTTTTATTCAGTTTGTAAACTGAATATCTTTGGGTTTTGGACCTTGAATTCGTAAAAACAAGCTCCTTGGAAACTGTGATAGGCATTTTTTTGTAACCAAAAATGTTTTTTTTTTTTACATTATATTTTGTTATATTCTATTGTAAAACTTAAAACTTTGTCCATGATGTTTTCTGTTATAAAACTTGACCAGGATTTCTTTCGAATGACTTCAGACCACTTGTCCCAGTAGACTTACGACAGCTGTGGCAGCAATAGTAAAGGAACAGGAGTGTGTTTCTTCTTCATGGTACCTGCTCTGTACGATGGCCTGCTCCACTCGTGTACTTTTCTCTGATGGAGGAGTCCCGGCTGATTTCTGGCTCATCATGGACAAGAACTGAAGCAACAATTTAGTGCTCTCCGTCTTTCCTGCCCCTGATTCACCACTGGAGTACACACACACACACACACACACACACACACACACACACACACACACACACACACACACACACAACCCAATTCAATTAAATACACTGTGACCTTCTACGACATTCCCATATCTCAAAGCGGTCTGGTCGTTTAATTGATTTTGAGTTTTGATAGCTTCAGAGATATTGCATTAGCTCCCAGTCTATCTCAATCAGGATACCAAGTGAAACAAAGCCTGAGCGTAATAGAAAGCACGATGAGATGTCTGACCCTACAACCAGATCGAGCCAGTTCGCCAAGCAGACCAGGACGCGGTTAATCAACCTCATCCAAAATGCAACCTCTGTTTCATCCTCTAGTACTTCTTCATCCGATTCCACATCTGGTTATTTGGGATCGACTCTTTGAACTTAATCTTTGCTCCGCCTCTACTCCCCAAACACCCACTGAAATCAATACGTCTGAAACATGCTGGTGCTGGTCTCCTTCCTTCAGCCTTCACCTTGATTTTTATGGACTTTCATTTTCTACCTGTCTCTGCATAGGCTTTCAAAAAGACCATTAATATATTCAAGTGCTCTAATATTAATGATGTAAGGGAGATAAAGAGTATTTGCACTATTGATTAAATTAATCAGACATGTCATGAACATTACTGAAGATATATTAGTCTCCTAAAGAAGCTTCCTGAGCCTCCATCTGGTCTCACAATCTGGGAAATATTCCTCTTGACCAACACTTAAGTCCATGACGATCTGTAATAACATTATATTAATCTGCATGGTAGTTGGTTGTGAGCATGTAAACAAGAGGTGGATCAGAAATCCACTTAGATCAGCCATAAATATTTAGATTGGTGTAAATTGTATTTCCCTATTTTTGAGAGAAGCAGTAATTCAGACATATCCCAGAGCTGAGCGAAAATATAGGCTAAGCTCACTCTTAAAATGTTGAGAAATACAGTTATTTGCTTCCTTGCACCGAGTTAGATGGACAACTAGTCTCATGTCTGTAAAGCAAATAGGAAACTAAAGCTAGCAGTCGGTTGGCTTAGCTTAAAATAAAAACTGGACAGCAACAGGCTCTGTGCAAAGGTGACAAAAACCACCTACCAGCACTTCCAAAGCTCACAAATTAACACATCATATCTTATTAGTTAAAAAAGTGCAGTGAATAAAAACAACATTTTGTGTTTTTGTATGGACTAAACAAACAAATAAATGGGCCAAGCTAGCTGTTTCTCCTTGTTTCGAGTCTTTATGATAATCTAGTTAACTGTCTCCTGGCAGTTGCTTCATATTTACAGATGTTGGAGTGGATAAGACAGACATTCTGCATTCACAGACATCAAAAATGCATGCAAGTGTGTATCTGGAAGTAGGGCAGTGGGAATTGTTGGGTTTTCTAAAAACAGAACTGCCCTCTCGCCTAAAGCATGTCGGGATTGGTTGCCTGTAATAGAGGGCTTAAAAGTTGGATGGGTCGCTTGGGAGATTGGGAGACTGATACATGGAGAAGGCGTAAATTACAGTTAAACCTCTATATTTAATCATCAAAACAACCTCCTCCATGGTTGAAACTCACCTGATGAGGACACATTGGCTGTCGTGGCGTTTCCAGATGCAGCGGTAGCATTCATTGGCCACGGCAAAGATGTGCGGAGGGAGCTCCCCTAGATGGTGCTTGGAGTACAGATCCACCCTCTCTGTGTCATACAGACCTGGGATCTGCTTGTAGGGGTTGACGGCTGCCAGGATGCTGCCGATATTAGTCTAAAAAGAGTCAAGAAGTGACATTTCAGGTTGTGTCTCTATCATTTTTTTTACTTTTCTTTTGCTGTCAGCTTTTTCCACATGCAGAAGCACCGACACACACATAACAAGCTCTCAGGAACGCATACAGAACACAAATATGTGAAATTTCAAAGCATCTTTGTGTTGATATTAATCTGGATTGACGGATAAAGGAACATAGCAGGGTGGAGATCTGAGAGTGGGAGTGAAGAGTGACAAATCGCCAGATATTTATTAGAAAGCTGAGGTCAAATCAGTGTGAAGATGGAGGAGGGAGGCTAGATTTATATTTTCAAGTGTTTGTGCTGAGACAGTCACCTTGATTTCTATCCTTTTGCACTAGAAACTTCAGGTCAGCATGGATTCCATCGTGTCAAATTACCCCGTCTGTGCAGTTTGTGAACTACACACATAAAACTGTGCTGAAGGACACATAAAAGCATGAACACACAGTGACACAGAAAGCTGACCTACACAGGGTAAATTCTTATGATCAGCTTAAGGGAAATCCGTGTATGGACAATATTTCATCATCTAGATTAGGTCACACCGAGGGAGGCCGTTATTGGTCTGTTGTCTGGTAATCTTTCAGGTTTTCCGGCTTTCCAAACGTCTGACTTTTAACTTACCATAAATGTGATCAAAATGCACTCGTTTTTGTCCTTGATTTTAATTAATTGATCTCAATATCCATTCTATAAGCACAAACAGAGATTATCGTCCTTTTCAGTTTTATGGACCTCAGCTTATGCATCTATTCATTACAGACGTACACATAAACAAATTAGTGCAGCAATTCATTACTCTTGTGATTATTGAGTGAATTATGGGATCTGAAAAAGACTGCAGAGATAGATAGATAGATAGATAGATAGATAGATAGATAGATAGATAGATAGATAGATAGATAGATAGATAGATAGATAGATAGATAGATAGATAGATAGATAGATAGATAGATAGATAGATAGATAGATAGATAGATAGATGCCTGTAGACAAAACACGAATCATACATGTCTATAACTGTCCTTTTAGTGTGTTGCCTTTCAGTTTCCACACTACGCTGCCAATGTGTGCATTGAAAGTCTAAATTGTTTGTCATCAACAGTACAGCTTTGTGTACAGGTTTGAATGCACCCAAGATGCATTAAGATCCGATCGCTCAGACCACATTTGGTGGTGGTTAGCAGTGTTTATGCATTATGTCCTGAGCCACACTGAAGGACTGTATACTCATCTGAAATCATGTAAGTACACACAAAACGGACAATGTCGGATTTCCATTTCACTATAATGCAAATTAGAGTAAACTTAATGGTTAATTCATTGTTTGGGCTCTCTTACCTGCCAAGATAAGCAGCAGATGTTGTGAACACATTTTTCCAACTGATATGTTTTTCTTTAGTGGATCATTTGGAATTCCTCAGTACGGTAGCACAACTTCACTGTGTGTGTAGCATGAACTCACATCGTGGTAGCAATTGTTATTTAAAACAATGCCAGTTTGATAAACCAGATATAGATATACCACTTACTCCTCTATTGTATTTCTGACAAACTAGCTGTCTGAGGAATGTTTTCTGTAGTATTAAATGTACTTGCTGTTACCATGGTAACAATGGGTGTCACAAAATAATCCAGGATTTAAAACTTGAAGATTACAACTTTAAAGAAGTGGAGATTAATTTGTTATTTTAACCATTGACTTGATTTACAATAATGTTCTCACACTATAAGACTCTCGCCTCTGTCTCCACCTTTTCCACTTAGAGCAGATGGACCCGTTAAGATGATTTGTGTTTGCCACTAAAAGCCTAATGCATGCAAAGATTACTGGAAAAGGCAAAAGGGAGCACATCAAGACACATAATGTACACACAAATCCTTGGCCACACACTCTCACACATACTTAAAAACCCACGGACACATGTGTCTATCTGAATGCACTTACATAGATGTTATCCTTCTGGTAGCGCTGGTACAGGTTGTGCATGATGGCGGCCTCATGCAGCTCAGCCAGTGCCGACATGTCCTCCACCCCATCGATGCTGGACTGGTGCATCGCGTAGACCCGCTCCCTGGTAACCTCGGCCTGCTGCAAGTACAAGACCTGAAAGACAACAAGACACACACACCGTCACCTATCATCCCTTTATAATTTTTGTTGATTTTAAAGAGTTTTATTGTAAACTAAATGTTGTTTTTTTCTGCGTGCCCACTTTTACCTCAGCTTTTAACATCTATTTCCAGTCAGTGATTTCCAACATTTCCGACCGTGGCTGTAAATAACCCTGAGAAAACACCTGAATTTGATGCAGTCATAAACAAAGGAAGTAGCCGTTAACTGGATCTGACAGCGATGTAACCCAAAGCAGGTGCTCCTGATGGCAGGTAACCAACGTCCACAAGAGAATAAATTCCCTACCAAAATCAAGACAAATAAAGTTATAATTTCAAGACATGTGCATATTGACTGTGTAGCAGTCTTTCTAAGACAGCAAAACAGTAAATATGTTCGTTTGATCTGTCTTTCTTCTTGACCTTGGGAGAATATAGCTGACAAAAAGTGTCATTGGATATTCAGAATTAAAAGTTGCAACTGTTACTTCAAAGTTTAGCTTTCCTTGGTTTTTCAATGGCTTTTTCAATAGTTTGACATTTTGGAAAATCAGTTTATTCGTTTTCTTATAGAGAGTTAGATGAGAAAATGGAAAACTGTCCATTAAATATTAAGCTGCAGTTAGCAGCCGGTTAGCTTTTCATCAGCCAGATTAGTTCTTGTCAGGCAGAAAACCTCCCTTAAACCGTTACTTGACATTACTTTTTTGTAAAAATGATACATGACAAATTAGATATAATGTGTTAAATGGTACACACAGGGTGTGTTGTATTACATTAAGATAGACCTCCCTGCATCGTGCATTATGCTGGTGTTACTTGGCATTGTGTGTGCTCTAGTGCAAATGGAAAGAAAAGAAAATACATAACAATACTTCAGGCAAGTTTATGTCTAACCTCATTATTCTGAGGTAGATAATACTTGAGTTTTAGTTGTCAAGCTGGTGCTGATGCCTACTGGATAATAAAAGTATGTTGTCCACAAAAAGAAGGAAGCCAATGTTCTCACGCGCCGATTTAAAAGAAAAAGATGCCTACATATTTCTTCTTTTGTCTTTTCATTTTTAGCATTAACGGGCTAATTGTGATGCAACATGACGAAATTTCACATCATGGGAATACAGAGTTTCGTGGCTCTTCTTTTAACCCGACCCCTATCTCATCTATGTCATCCATTGCCATGGAAACTGGAGAACAGGGGGACAAGATGGGTAGGGAACCCGGTTGGTGGGGTTGGGGGGATGAAGAAGAAGAAACAGGACAGAAGTAGAGAGGAAGAGCAAGTGTAACAGATCTGATCTGGCAGGACCTGACAGGCGAAAGCAGCTCGGTGTGTATTCATGTCAGGCACATGCGCACGCTGCTACAACGATCCCTGTCTTTCTTTCTTTCTTGCATGTAACCCACACACACACCGGACAGGAGATAATTCTGATTCTATTTCAGCATAAAGGTCGTTCATTCATTCCAGCAAAATCAACTTGACTAAGAATAGAAACCACGGCCTTTACAATGCTGGGTTGTTAATATGTCAGCTTAGTCTCACAGCCAACCTCCGCCCTGTGTGTGTGCGTGTGGTGCTAACAGATGTGTTGGACGTCTGTTGAGAGTGGCAGAGGGGTGTGCTGTAGGCGTTCAGACATCCTGTTCTTAAATAAATCTATTTCACTCCAGTAACACTGTTTTCCAATGCACAGAACTGTTGCGTGCAGACAAACAACGAACAAACTCACAGCAGTATCATCGTTTGCCAACATGTCTGCGAGTAAAATGTTGTATGTGGTAGTTTGTGCATTCCTCCTCTTCTCTCTCATGTTTTGTAGGAGCATAGACGTCTAGTGGATACTCTGTTGGTAACTGGTGACGAGGGTCTAACCCATCTAGTCACAAACCTTTCCCCACTCACTCAGCAGTGATTAAATGACCCTATTACCCCTTGTCCTCCATTAGCATAACTCTTGTCGGGTTCACTGGCTGACAGCTCACCATCTTCACTATGACCCCGTCCACTTGACTCTCTGTCTTCACCTTTTTATAACCGGGGCACTCAATCAAAACACTGACATGTTGTTATCCAAGCACAATTACACGTATACAAGAGTGTTACAGCCAGGGTCAACATCAGCGGCCATTTTGCATAAACTGCAGTGGAGTAAATTATAATAAAAAGACTGTAGGATGCATGTTCTTCTTGATTTCAAGTTTAATTTAACTTAACTTTAATTTAGTCCTTCGCAAAAAATTTTTTTGCAGATTGTCTATTTATCAAAAAGAAAAAATATTAGTTGATATATTGTCATTAGATTCTTTTCGTTTTTTAACTATCAACCTTGTTATCAGCCTAAAATCCACTATCAGTTCAGTATTATGAGCCTTCACTTTCTTGTTGTTCACAGGACTGCATATCATGTGGAAGACATCACTCGTAATGACCAAACCACAGTTGTGCAGTTCCCTTCATTTTCAGCTCATTTGTGTTGGTTTTACAGCTCTGGTTTGCCCTCAATACTTCCATAAACTCCGTCTTCAGTTCCGGCAGGCAGCTGTTTTCAGTGAAACAGTTGTAAAAAACCCACTTTACACTACCTGCTCAGCACCAAACTGCAGTTAGCAACTAGCAGCTAGTCAACATAAGGGAGCATTTAGCAGCTAAAGAGCCAGATATCTGAGTTGGTCGAGACAATACAGAGCTAAAAGAGAGTGAGTATTGGACTTCAGTTTGTCAGGGGAGTAAACAAACATGACTCCAAATGAATAATAATGTTGCTCCATATCTGCTGGATCTATATATACAACTGTTTGATAATGAAAATATACCTATGAATATTATATTCCATTTTTGCCTCCTCCCAAAAGTTACACACTGAACCTTTAATGCAGGTTTAATTTACATCTGTACATTTGTGTTTATGCGTGTTTGGTTATGTACTTTTCAATGTGTGTGCAGTGCACGAGAGACACGCTTGTCCGGATGAAGAGATTCATTAATATGCCTGTTAGTCATGGCTTGAACAGCTGTACACATGCAAAGACGCTGTCATATTGACTGTTTTACAACTAGACTGGGGTGTATTCCTGTATCTGTGAGAACAGAGAGGAGAGGAAAGTCCCTCAAATTATATCCAAGTCCATTAGTTTTATATCAGGCTTTTCTCTATCCTCTTTTTCTTTACATTCTCATCCTATTAAATCTCTCTCCCCACTCTCTCGCTCTCTGCATGCCTTCATGTCTCAAACATCACTTCTTTTTCTCTCTCATTTCGCTTTCCCTTTGTATGTCACTGCTCTTTTATCCCTTCCCCCTCTTTGTCACTAGCCTCTCTTTCCTCTCTCTGTTCTCTCGATGTCTTCCTCCCTCACATCATCCCACTCTTCATTAATTTACCCCTATCTCTTCTACCTGCCCCGCACTGCATTTCCCACATTTCAACTTTTATTGCTGGTTCCTATAACTTAGAAGGGTCCCTTCAGCTTTTTTTTTTTCTGAAAGTCTTTCTGATCTATCTCTTTCTGCGTACATGGACCCTTTTGTGCAAACACAAACTCACTTAATGCCTGAATGGCTCAATCTGAGACCCCTGCCTGTAATTGAAGGCTATTACTGGGAGCCATTGCAATCAAACACACACACACACACACACACACACACACACACACACACATCACATCGGCATAAATGGTGAAGGAGGCCCAGGTCTTGATTGTCAAAATTCACCTCCACTAAATCATTTCAAACTAAAAAGTATACATGAGGAATTTATTTTGGTTGCTTCTAATTACTTTACTCTAGCTGTTAATATGCTAATCCTAATTTTATTGTTCATTTATGTAAAAAATCCAAACCTATATATGAATGTTACTATTAATATTTAAATGTAAGAAATATAGCTTTAAGTAGGTTTTTTATTTCCTTATATTGCTGTAAACTGATTTAGTGTTTTCATAAACTTCCAAAAAAGGATGCTCAAACTTACTGAGCAGGGGCCAAGTTTTCCTGACTCGAATAAAAAACACTGAATCCTACATTTCCATTCCTGGTACATGCACACCTCCTTCTAAAACTAGATTTATAGTTATAGCATCATAAGGATTATTGTCTCAGGCTTTAGAAATCTCCATCCACAGTCCCATAAGATATTCAACAAGTAGTACACCTCAGGACTGAAATAAAATCTGTGGTTCTTAAAAGAAATCTCCAATGGTGGTCTCTCTGAAAAACACACACTGGACGTTAAACTATAAGATTAAAGCAACTAAGTGCCTGCGCTACAGATCAGGGTTTTACAATTGCCTACAATGCCAAAGCTGCTTTCAAATATAAAGGCCTTAAACAGCAGATAAAGCAGAGATGTTTAGGGAAAACCACCAGGGGACAACCCAGCAATGAAGTGAAAAAGTATGTCAGTGACTGAAATAGAAAAGGTTTTTGCAAATATCTCCATCTTCTTCCATTGCCCTCTGGTGGGTTTTTTAACACACAAATATATACTGTAAGTGAAGCACACACACTGACTACCCAGAGAGTCTAAAATGGGATACCTCATGTTCAATAATTCATCATTAGAGAGAGGAACAGAAGAAAAACATGGAATTAGTGAGAGAAAAACATAGAGAAAGACTGACATAGACTAAAAGGGAAAGAGAGAGACAGACAGAGTGAGAGTAATGTAGAAGTAGAGCATGGTTAACCAACTCTGATTTGTTTTAGGTTAAACAGTGTGGGAGGGGAAGCTTCTTAAAGGATATAGCTGGTGTTTTTCTATATTTTTCTTATTGCCAAAAATTCAATGAAAAGTCCAAAACCAGCAAAGTGCTCCACAGTCTCTCAATACATTTTGACTTTGTTACCCTGTCTGGACCATTCAACACGAATACCATTCCTTACTGACTGCAGATGTCAACCTTTAAAACGGCTTACAAATAAATGTTTTAATCAAACCTAAGTAGTTTTCTAAAATGGCTGGGTATTGTAGTTTTAAGGAAACAGTAAAT